AAGCTTAGCCCGGGCAATAAGGCGCTGTCGAGTTGGAGTATCAAGATTCGGTTTTCTCCCTCTCTGTTTTTGAGGGGTCCACGGATTCTGGAGAGAGAGAGCATTGGATATAGTTCTGTAAGGCACACCAAGAGAGGAACCGATCCTTCGGTTATTCCAGCCAGCGTATCGAGAGAGGGAGAAAGCAATATCACGCTCTCGGTAGGAGAGACGGGTGCCCGGATCTCGAAGAATAGGATATTGAATTGGCCGTGGATGGTGGCCATTGTTCCGGCGTACAAGATTCGGCATTTTTATGATATAAAATACAAGGGCCCCTGCCGTTGTTTTATATTATCTAGCTATTCTGGTGGCTTCTGCAGATTTATAATACGCTTACTGTGGCTAAAACAACGCCAGCGCTAGCAGGGAGCGCCGGCAGCCCGCTCAGGTAGCCCCCTTGTAGCCGTTCCGCTAATCAGATGCGGAAAGCCGTATTGCGTCAGTGCAGGGTTCGAGTTCACGACCTCGCTTAGCTTCCCGAAAGTGGATATCATCTGCAACTGCAGCGATGCCCGCACGAACACTCTGAGAACAGTGTAGCAATACCAAGGGGAGGACTGCAGCCGTGGGAGGACATGGTGAGTACCGAGTTCTGCCAGAATCATATATCTTTGAGAGGCTTCCAAGATGCACGGAGTTCAGAAAGAACATAGGTCACGAGCTGGGGCTAAGTCATGTGCTAAGGGATGTCCTTTCTGGTATATAAAGCCGCCGTTTCTCCTTGAGAGAGCATCAAGGACTCATTCGCTTAGAGCCAGTACAAAAAAGACATGGCCAGACTACTATGTGGCACTTTTCTGCTGGAGGGGTGGCGGTGGAAGTTTGCAACACAGCTCAATTGTTAGACGCATGGTGCGGTCTGGGTGGCGCTTACTCCGCTCCCGTTGACGATGCTCGTCTCGAGTCATAACAGCTAAGCCAAATGTCTGCAATACACCGATTGTAATTACCTCTATCCCGAAGAGATTGTTTTCCATCATCCTCGTCAAGCGTTGGAGAGCATCAGATCATACAACGGTTCGCCACATTCCGCATTTTCCTGCCTGAAGTTTGATCCCTCGGAACCCACATCGACCTCCATTATACAGAAGTCTCATGACTGTTGAATCCCAAGCCAAACTCCCACGAAGCCATGAACTTGTGACAAATACTTTGTTGAATCCCAAAAACCAGGACTCCCACGGAGCCATGAAGTCGTGACATATACTTTCTTGTACCCCAACCCGCCCCTCCAACTCCATGAAGATCCCACTCCTCACAACGAAGAAGAAGTTTTATACCCCCTCCACCGCCAAGACCCATGACGAATCACGTGAAATTGGTGTAGTCACGAGTTTCTACAGGAATGACAAGCACCGGCGACCATGCTAGCTGCCAGGGTGAATAGACCGGAGGTGTCGGCGCCGTGCTTCGTCATGGCGACTAGAGTTTGGGCATAAAATCTCTCAAACGAACGGAGGTCAGACAGCCAGAGGTCGGGGTTCGTTTTGATCTTCAAAGGAAAGAGTGTGGAAATGTATGGAGGTGTGCTGGAAGGCAGAGATGATACGACGGAACGGATCATGTTCAGCATTCCAGCTATACAAGTTGCGATGGATGTGGAGTCGGATGGTTGGGGTTGGAAGGCAATGGAGGAGCGGTGGTGCGGCATCGAGCATCAACGCCTATCTATCGCACGTACCTTTTGTTCATGGAAGTTTGCGAGTGGGTCGGTGCTCGGTGCCGCGAGGTTGAAGTGTGATGATCGTGGGCGTTGGAGGGAAATGCTGGTGGTGTGCATCTATATCTGAGAGGAAACTTGACTTCTGATGGGCGTTGGGGTGATCTCTATTATGTCTTTCAGAAGAGTCTCTTCACCACTAGACTCGTTCGCTGGCCCGACTTTCCCCACTCCCATTTATTTGATGGGCTAGTGGGGTTGAAAGTCCGGCCCACAGCGTTGCGAGAATGAGCATGTTGAACTACTTCCTCCATTCGGTTTTCAATGGTTTATTGTTAAAGAAACAACAGCCGCCTCTTCCTATGAAGAACTCCAAGGCCGGGGAAAGTAAATTTTTTATAGGCGAGATTGATGAGTGATTAGGTCATCAGGTGGAGTGCACATGACTATTACTTTTTGGGATGACGTCGTCAGGAGGTCGGCGAGTGGCCGAAGGGGAATATTGGTACTCCTAGCGAAAGAGATGGGAGGCGTTATAGAGATCATAAAGTGGATATGCACTGTAATAGCGATCTAAATCGCCCAAGACTTGAAATGGGTATACAATAGAACACAGCCTATGCACCTCCTTTCCAAACATTACCACCACCTAAACCTTCTCTCTACTCCTATCCAACCCAGCCCTTAAATCGCCGCACACCCCCCCAACCCCTCCCCCCTCCCAACCCACCCCCAAGCATCCCAAACACCCCACAAATGCACACACGCCCCAACCACGACCAAACAATGAAAAATCTGATGACTGCCCCCCAAAACATCCACCCACCTCCCCTTCCCCTTACCCCCATACAACCCCCAAACCCACCTCTCGGGCCACCTCCCCGCAAAGAACCCGGCCCCAATCCCATACGCCACGCCCTCGCCCAACCACCACCGCATGCCGCTCTTCCCCCACATATCCGCCCACCCATACAACCACAGCCCATGCGCAATCGGCGCAAACCCGCTGAGCGCCGTCGCCACAAACGCCGTGGTGCGGACGGCGCGGCAGCGCGGGCCCTGCAGCTGCGGGTGCAGGATCAGGACGCCCGTGAGCAGCACCAAGAAGGCGATCATGGCCCAGTAGAGCAGCTTGAGCGCGGGCTCGCAGTAGAAGCCGACGTGGATGCCCGAGACGAAGGAGGCGAGGATGAGCAGCAGGATACCCGCGTAGTCGGCCAGTAGCGCCGCCGCGTTGATGGGCTGCGAGTGCGACATGCACGTGTGGTACGTAGCGGACAGGGAGAAGGTGGTGAGCGCCGCGAGCAGGTTGAGGGTGAAGATGGCGCCGTCGAGGGGCGTCGAGGTGGGGAGGTGCTCGCGGAGGAGGGATTGGGGGTAGGGCGTGAAGGATAGGAGGAGGAGGACGGCGGGGAGGAGGTGGGTGTAGATGTTTAGGGTTTCGTTGTGGAAGTAGGAGAGGGAGTGGAGGCAGTGCTTGAAGGAGTTGGAGACGGGACGGTAGGCCGTGCGAATGTAGGGGTTGTCTTGATACCAGGGTGGGAGGTCGTTGAAAGAAAGAAGCCGGAGGGGGGCTTGTGGATCCAGAGGTCGTGATTGGAGCTTCAGAGACTCTTCTGAGGTCCTGGAGCCAAGCCGGAGGAGTATATTTGGCCTCCGGAGGGTGAGGGTGATAGAGGCCATGATTAAGCCGGTACAGAGAGATGATACTTTAGCTGCAAGACCTTTAAAGAAACTCAGAAACCACCATCCCAATCATCTAGAGGAGCATGGCGACAACGGCGGGAGAAGAGAAAAGACATGAAAGCTGGGGTCCGGTATACTTAACGCGGCAGGAAGTGGGCGGATGTAAAATTTGTAAGGGAGGCACCCCTAAATCGGTGAGTAATTTCTGATGATAAGACTGGCCTGGTGAGTGGTCACCGGATGAATCGGATCCTCGGCAACATGCTACAACTGATGATCGGCGCCGTGGTACTCGTGCGTACTCGTGGGTCTTCCGGGCGTACTTTTAGTCATGCTCGGTAAATGTCTAGTTAACCTTGGGCCGCGAGAACGAATTAGAAGCTAAATTAATTGGGTACCTTTGATATCTGAAGCCTGTATCCATGAGAGATGTTAGCACGAAGTATGTATCTTCTTCCACCAATCCCAAGACACAAGATCATTACTATGCCCGACTCTTATTTCTCCGTCCTGAGATGCCGCATTCGTGTCTCAAATTACTGTACCTATGAGACGCCATAAATGCTCAAGATATCCGTCGAATTGGAGTAGTCCACTCCACATTTCTCACCAAAGCCCCCAAGAGTCTCCTCGCGCGACTGCACAAACTTCTGGAACGCGTCCCTCGAGCAGCTCTCCCCTGGTCCATCAGTGCACCCAGGGAGCGGCTGCGGACTCTGGTTTACCAGAACACGATAGTGCTCTCCAACACCGAAGCCATAGCTATCGCATGACAGCTTTTCGATCGCGACATTGGCCAAGAAGGGAATGATGTGTGACGATTTCCACGCACGACGATAGTTCTGAGCATCTAGCGGCATCGTGGCGTTGATGTCGTCGCCGCCCGAGAACGCAGAGTTGTTGAATAATCCTAGTGCTACGAGAACAACGGGAAGTTGTTCACGGTGCGTGAAAGAGACGTAGATATCCTGGGCATCGGAGCTGTTGGTGTCGTCCGAAGTCAATAGGCCTGCTGTAGCATTCAGCCACGGGAATCCAATGGCGCCGGATACTTCGTTTCCATAGCCCGTGTTAAAGTGGTATTGGATGTCGTTGGTATATTCGAATCCGAGCCAGTCATTCGGGCTGAAGACCTCCGGGGAGCAGAATGGTGACGAGCCCCGGATCACGGTCTCATATCCGCATAATTCCTGCATGCCAACGATATCATTCGGAGTGAAGTTGAATGAAGGAGCGAGAGCGTGAAAGCGCTCGATGATGGGTTTAGTGTAGAGTTCTTGGTATTGCTGGACACGAGAGTTAGCTTCGTTAGAAGCTGAAGAACTTTTTCCATCTTACCGCAGACTGCTCACTCCCAGCCGAAGAGCTATAAGCCGGACATCCCTCATACGGCGTGAGAGAGTCCGCACCCTCTTCCTCGCCTTCACTAACCGATACCAGCTCTGTCTCATTGCTCCGCGTAACCAGACCCTCAATAAAAGACTGTGCGCTCTTCTCCGTTCTTTCAGCCGTCGATGTCCACACTTTGCCCGGTGCCTTGAACGAAGGGTATCTCTGTCCAACACTGACACCCAATGTGAAGGCCTCCTGCCGGCCAACCTGTGTCAATTCCTCTATATCCTCGTTCTCGATTGGGGTTTTCCATGTGGATAGGAAAGCCAGTGGGCCAGCTCTTTTCCAGTCGACAGTCGTGTTCTGCAGCTTGGACACGAAGGGGTCGATGAACTCCTCATAGTCAAAGTCGTTGGCCCAGATGGCGGCGTGCCTGACCAGATACGCAGCCCGGGTTGCATTGCATCCTTGCGGCGGTGCCGGGTTGAGAGGAGGGTCTGAGGGCTCGAAGTAAGGTGTGATGCCCGCTAGGTGCTGGAGAGGATCGAATGTGTATGCTGCAAGCGCTGCATTAGCGACTGTGATGGGGAGAACGAGTGAGAGCAGCATGGTCAGGACTCCGGCAACAGGATGAGATGGACAGAGAACGCAGAAAAGCTTTCGGCAGACTTACGTACCTTTAAGCTGACAAGGCGTCCAAGGCCACCCGCAATGGATCGTACCTCGGTCTCGCAATGGATCGTACCTTGGTCTTCTCGCACTAAAACAATTTTGGTACCTTCGTGTTCCTATGACGATGCCCAGGTTGACGATGAGCTGGTGGGCAGGGATGTGTCAGTTGCGGCACAGACGCAGGAACAGAAGATCAATCCTGGCGCACATCGAGCTTTGCGGCGCCGAGTTTATTTCCCCGCCCTGCATTCGATCTAGCTGTTGTGATGAAATTGGACACTTTGGAAAAGAAAATTGAAAGGGTCCTGATCTCAATCATGGAGGCTTGAATCCAGTTCCAATTCTGGGTTTGTTGAACATCTCAATGGCGCAGAGCCTCTGAATCAGACCACAGCCAATCGGATAGCTCCAAGTTCTGTGAAAGACCTCTGCTGAAATAACATCCTGTCCAGTCACACGACCAACTGCACGACTTCCGAGTCCAAAGATGCGGATGATACGCGCAATGCATAACTTAGATACCGCGCGAAGTTGGAAAAGTAACAAAATGCTAGTGCTGTGCCATCGGTTACATATGAGATGAGAGTCCGTCACATGAGTGTTCTTATAATCATAGTAGGTTCTTTATGATGTTCTCATTCGACTAACGGCCAGCCACCCCCCTTCCAGAGCTTCTCAACTATCCAGGAGAAGCTAATGCGCAATCCCTTGATCCATCTCCAGCACAGGCAACTACCAGCCGTGCATGCAGTGTAAGAAGTTTCAGAACCACAAAGATACACCGAACCAAACAATTGAAGAAAAGCAACAAAACAAAAAAAGCCTTTCGTGACGCCTCTTAAACAAGACGGTGGACAACCATTAAAGGGAAACTATGTGCGCGAGGGCCGATGCCGCTGGGCATCGGCCTATGCGGGAAAGCATTTGTACGCCATTTGATATTTCCGTCCCAATCCCAATGCCATGTCGAGGATCGAATAATATTTCAACTACTCTACCGACTCCTTCGGTCTCCCCGATCATCGTACATATCGATGATCTTCTCCTGCTCCTGGCGTCAATGATCATAACCTGCTCCTCGTTGCCACGGGCTCGAATTATTCTGTGCCCGGAAAGCGCCCCCTTGGCTAGTAGCCTCACTCCGGAGGCTGCCTGCCCGAGGATATTGCTGATACGAGTTTCCGCTGGTGCTGTGGGAGCTTTGTACTCGCGGAACTGGGCTGGCACCGTTGCTTCGGTTGTAATACGTTGGCGGTGGTCCGCTAGGGGCTGCTGCTGGCGGGCTTCCGCCTTGGCTGGGGAACAGAGGCATCGATGGATTGATCGGGCTACGAGGTGGCTCGGCTCCAAAGTTGCCCTCTTTAGTTGCGAGGTGGGTGCGGTCCATTGATTCAGAGCTAAGGGAATCGTCATCATCATCGATGCCAGTCCTGGATCTGTGTTGACCCTTGCCCTCGCCGCGGGCTGTAGCCCCAAGGGCATCTAATTCAGTAGTAAGTTGGGTTTGCGACTTGATGAATGAGCCACGGTCATCACGCATCGGGTGGTAGCGGGTGTCCGGGTTCTTGGTGAAGAGCGCAAATCCGGAGGATATGAGAACCATAAGGAGAAGGACGAGAGCGAATGCAGCGTTGTAGACGAAGAAGATGACGCCCATGATACCTGTTGCGAGACCCTAATGCTGTTAGGCTTGAAACAAACAACTTTGGCGTGCGATCACTTACTGGTTGGTTGAAGACATTGCTGAAGACGAGGATAAATATGGAACTGAGGAAGTTGACAGCTGCAATCGCTATGTTGAAACCGTTCGTCTTCTTGTCCATGTACGGTCGGAGGACACTGATGCCGATGAGGAACGAGGCCTCGATCAAGACAAGCGCAATAGCCTGAACGACGCCACTTCCCTGCGCAAGACCGATGAACATTCCCTTGATGAGAATGTAGATCAAGAACGGGACGATAAAGTAATAGGCGGTGGCCTTGAACTGAACATAGAGAAAACCCCACTTGTTGAGAGCGATAGGATCCGAGTAGAGAATGTAGGCGGGGTTCTTGTGCATAAGGATTGAGCGCTGTGCAATGCGAATGACCTTGGAGGATGCCCATCCGAGGATTGCGAGCATGATGACGACGGTGAAGATGGCTAGCACAACTTCAGCTGCCGAGTCCCTAACGGTAAGCTCCCAGAAGCAAATGACAATCATCTGAGGGAAACCAATAAGGATCTGGTGATTTGTCAGTACAGAGCGCGGATGCTATGAAGACTGGAATCTTACAATGCGGAACATGATCCCCTTGAGAACAGTCTTCCAGCCATTTCGGAAATCGGTAAATTTGTCGGACTTCATCTTTCCAGCCTTAACGAGACCTTCGCAGATGAACTTGAAGAGGACGACACAGAAAATAACCAGTAGGACAAAAATAATGAAGAAAGCGTAGGCTGTAAAGAAGATGTTGGTAATCTCGATATTAGCGCGGAATCCGACACGCTTGATACCGTGAAGAACGACACGGTTCTGGTTCTCGGCGTTGGTGGCCGCGCTGTTGCTCCTTGAGTAGACACGTCCGAGAGCCCGAGTGGCGAGCTGACCGATGTTGATGCCGCGTTTCTGCACTTCGACAGACGTCGTCGAGAGACTAGAAAGGTAGGTCGTGGGGGTGCCGCCGGTAGAGCGCTGGTACCAGGTGGCCATCTTCTGCAGGAAACCAACGCGGATTATACCCATGCTCCACTGGAAGTTCTGAGTCCACGAGGCGACAATCGGCGGCTGTGAAACGGCCGTGATACCGAACATAGCTTGAGACTGGAAGAAGCCAAAGAGGGAAAGAGCGTTGGCAGCGACATGAGCGGCAGTGTTGGAGTGTCCGAGTCCAGAGGTGATGGCGGATGCTACTAGTCCAATACCAGCAATCACAGCAGTGACCCATCCGACAGCTTTGTGATCCACAGTCTGTCCATTGGAGAGTTCGGCTTCCACACAGGCAAGCGGCTCGTTGGTATCAGTGCTGTTGATGTAGACCTTGATCGTGGCGTCCAAGTCAGGAACCGTGTATGCAATACCTAGTCGAGTCAGAAGCGTCAGTTGGCAGTAGAACGGGCAATCTCACCAGGAATCTGCTTGATAACGCTCTTGCTGATATCAGGGTAGTTGGAGTTGATTGTAATCGAGCCGGTGTTCATCGGGCAAAGACCCTTCAGAGCGTCCTGCGTGCAAGGGTCGATCTTCTCAGTGATGGCCTTGTAGCCGTAGATGTAGACCTCAGCGACTATGGAGACATTGCCCGCGATAGCAGAAACACCGACGATGTTGAAGGTGAGGGTCCTGTTGTCCGGCGTGAAGGCGACATTGAAGAGGGTGGCGGAGAAGCTCGAGTTGGCCTGGCAAGGGTTGAGAGAATTCGACTGTATTATCCGCTCGGCGGATGACAGGGGGAGGAGGGCGAGGAGGGCGGAGAGGAGGAAGGAAAGGGGCCATCTGGATAGCGAGCGCAGCATGGTGGCGGGCGGTCGAGGAAGTCGAGATGCGGTGGTGGTGACGAAGGCGAGGCCTTCAGGGAGTCGCGGTACCCGTGAAGAGTACGATTACGTGGGACAGGCCAAACCAGCAGCGGTGTCGAGGAATCTCAGCGATAGTATGCGCTCCGAGGATGCGATGGAGATGTAGGGATTCGTGGGTGCCGGTAACGAGTGGAGGGTGGGTGGAGGTTGGTGTTGTTGCCGCGACGACGTCGACGAGGCCAGTAAAAACCGGGAAGCCACGGGTGGTGTGGCAGGCTAGCGTTCGAGAACGATGGTGGTGCGATCCACGGGACTGTCCAGTTCCCAGACGGATGCGCAGAAGTGCAGACTTTCGAGGCAGCCGGGCGACGGTGAAGATGAGAGAGTCTCTGGGTCTGGGGAACGAGCGAGTGTTGGGGTCGACCTTCGGCGCGGTGTTCCTGAGGGGAGAAGCGTCGCAGGCGTGGAGCACGAGGAGAAAGGGGCCGCGACAAGACAAGTCACGGGCTGCTAAATCAGTACACGCGGCTAGCTGCTGGGCACCGGGCGTGGCGATGGAGCTGAGCGTCGGCAGAAGCACGCTGACGGGTGGGCAGTGCAGGATGGTGTTTGAATCCACGTCGCAGAGGCGCCTGCCGGGTGTACCTGAGGTGTAGCAGTGGTTTCTGCAGCCTTTGTTCGCGATGGGCTCCAAAAATCAACCCTCCAGGGCCTCGAAGCCGCATGCAGCCCGGCCCTGCACGACAAAGAGGGCACTTGTGCCTGGCGACTCGAGTGTGGCGGAGCAGAGCTACCCCGGATGATGACGCCAGGCATTTGCTGCAATAATCGCAGAAGCCGGCCCCTGCTGCCCGCCAGAGCCTCCCACGAGCCTATTGATTGCACCCTTCGATGGGCCCTCATATCCCAACACGAAGCACACCGCGACGCCAGAACACCACCCACCAGCGCCGAGAGTGCGCGCGTCGGGCATCCTTCGCCAGCATTTTGCTTCCTCCGCATCCACAGTGATCAACCTTAATCCACAAATCCTGAGACACACGCTTGGCCCGCACATCTCCCGCACGAATCCTCTGCGACCCGCCGTGTTTGAGGCCTGTGTGAGCGGCCTCTTACCGCCAAGCGTTGCTTCGCCGGCGCATGCCCATTCCGAACCCCACCATCATCGCCGCGCGTATACCTCCGACGAACCTACCTCCTCTTACTTCCCTGTTAGGTTAGTGCCGTATCCCCTGTTTGTAAGCATAATTACGTCCGGCTCAACTTCGGCTCAGCCTCTCAGCCTCTGCTCAGGTCGCACCGCCACTGCTCAGGATGCTCACCTTTCTGTCCAAAGTCCGTTGACTAGTCCAATTATAGTGCATGCGGAACTATCATTGCCAGAGTTCTTCAGTTAACTATATGCGAGATACGACCCCAGGGATATTTTGCATGAGGCCCAAAACTCTGGGATAGTCATGCTGTAGCCCAGAATTGTACTGTGCCGCGACCCCAAACCATGAAGGCACTGATCCCAGAAATCCGAGCTTCCGGTGTTCGTCGAATCTCCCCTAACCGCAATTGGAACAGAGTTGCGCCTACATTTCCTAGAAGGGGCTTCAGCATGGCATCTACGAGTGAGTGGACTGGCTCATCGGGACATCTCTACCAGTTCAAGGAGTTACTCCAAGAAAGAGCACATTTTGGGCGGGTGTGTCTAGCGACGTTTGTGCATCTGTGGGCACTCTATCAATAACCTGTACTAAAGCATTGCAGATCCGAAGACGAGAAATTTGTGTTGAAGGATATTCCTGAAGCGATATTTTCTAACTTCAACGATTTAATTCTGCCCCACCTTAGAGACAGCCCTTACATACGGCTCCCATGTGACAGCATCCCGAATCAGCGTGTATTCGTGTACAAGTACTTGGCCGATGACCTATTGAGCCTCATACGCAGAAGTATTTCGATGAAAGCTCGGAGACAAATCCTCAAAGCAGCTTTACGAGGCATAGCGGAGCTGCACAGCCGAGACGTTATTCATCTAGGCAAGTTGACTTCAGCATTGTGTACAGCTCCAAGCTAAGAGTTTTTCAGATGTGAAACCCGACAACATCATGGTCAACTACCACCAAGAGGGCCAAGACATAAGAATCGAAAGCGTCCAAATCATAGACCTTGAAAACGCCGCCTATCTCCCGAAAGGGAGATGCATCAAAGGGATGCTCCCCGGAAACGAAAACTGGCGCAGCCCAGAGGGTCACCTCAAGGGCGAACTCAACAAACCGACCGACATGTTCTCTTTCGGTGCCGTGGTAACTATTTCCAATTTTCGTACCCGCGAAGACCTTTGTCGCTAAAAGCATCAGTGCATCTATGCCATGCTCGGCCGCGTCATCTTCGGTCCTGATGCCGACTTTCAAAAGCACGAGGCGGCGGGCGCACTCCCGGAGATGGTTCGCCTCCAGCGCCAGATATCCTACTTTCCAAATCGGGAGAGTTTCAATGGGCTCATTACGCACCTGGGAGATGATGAACTCAGTTGCCAGGTCCTTGGCATGCTTTGGGATGACCGGGTCGCGGATTATCATTCCTATGAGCCGTTTTCTAGCTGGAAAGACGTCGAGGACTTTTTGTTCCAGGAAGTTGTCGCAGAAATGATGCAGCTGGATCCTGCGAGGCGCATTTCGGCTCAGCAGGCTTTAGGCCACGCTTGGTTTCGAGGGTTCGATATAGATTAAAGGATTAAAGAGGAGAAGTTGCGGTCATGACGAAAAGTATATATGGCGTGTATAGTAGGCTGTAGATTACCGTTTGTTGTGGTGCTGGTTATGTAGACACACCTATGATGTAGCAAACGGGTATGAAGTATTCATAGCTGATATTTTATAAGAGAAAGTATATCTAGTATTAAGAATTTGGCCACTGAGTGGGGGAGTGGCCTGAATCTAGGATATTTGTTAGCCTGCTTAGACTTGCTCAGGGCCGCCAGGGCATGCTCAGGATTGCACAGCCACTAGTTAGCTCAGCTTTACTTAGTCATTGCTCGGTTTAAAACCCTGTACGCTCAGGTTCAAAAGCGGAAATGGAATTTGGTAGGATCAGTTTTGCCCGGGACTATTACTAGTGATTACTTCATCGCTGAATACGGCCCCGCTTTCACCTTGGCGCCCGAGATTGCCGTAAGCCAACACCGTTTGAGGTGGCCGGAGAGCTTTCAGCCCTGCCAAAATTATCGTCTCACAATTCTTAACGACGTACTAGAGGACCTCAAGTGGTGCCAGGCAAGCGTACACGATCCAGAAAGAGAGCTTACTCGAGGGTAGGCATCGTTAAATCAGCTGCTGGGGAGCCTGTAACGTGTGCTTCAGCCTCGATCACATTCATTCACCATGTCAACGGAAAAGAGGCCCTTTGCATATGATGCCGCGGACAGGGCGGCGACGAGGAAGAAATCAAGGGCTTCAGCTCCGCGACCCCCCAATGCCTTGTGAGGCTCTTTACATAATGGCTATTTAGAAAGTCGGACCTTCACTAAACCCTTGTAGATCAGCCTTCAACGCGGCCGAATCGCCCTTCTTGAGGCTGCCGGCAGAACTGAGAAACAGCATCTATGAGCTGGTATTTACAGTGAATCCGATCCACGTCGAACATGAGCGCAAAGACGACCCAGATGTCCGTCGGTCGTACAGGGATCCAGTTTTAGCTCAGGTTACTGACGTGCCCAAATACTTCCGCTTCTATCTTTGTCAGGCCGACATCTCTGAAGCCGAAGCATATCGTCGATCTATAGATACTACTCTGGATGAACGAATCGCCCTGGACGACGAAGAAGCCACCCAAGACCTCCACCCAAACCACTGGCGCATGGGCGACCGCTTCCACATCGACTCCTGCAAAGAACGACACAAAGCCTGCATCCCCCCTCCCCTCCCTCCAGCCTGGCTCTCCGCCCAAACCCAGCTCACCGAACCCCCCAACAAACCCATCTCCCTCAAACACACCCTCACCCTCTCCCTCCTCCGCGTCTGCGCCCAAATCCACACCGAAGCCCACGCCCTCCCCTACACCCTCTCCCACTTCTCCTTCCGCCACGCCGCCGCCTTCCGCGCCTTCCTCTCCGCCCTCCCGCCCCGCCACGGGCCCCACCTAAGAGAATTCACCCTCTGCATGACCGCCGGCGAGAACCCCACCGACGCCGCCCGCTGCGCCCGCTGGAACACGCACCTCTTCGAGTCCGGCGCGCGCGTCGCGCGCCTCCGCGGCCTGCGCACCCTGCACCTCTCCCTCACCATCGCCCACCACGAGATGGGCGCCGACGGGCCGCTGCGCGCCGACCTCGCCGCCCCCGCGCAGCTGGACATGTGGGTCGTCGGGCTGGGGCGGCTGCGAGAGCTGGCGCTGCAGGAGGTGACGGTCGTGGTGACGGATGATCCGGGGAGCAGGTTTGGCATCGATGGCGCGCAGACGGTGAGGAAGTATATGCTCGGGCATTTCCATGGGTCGTGGGGGGCGATGCGCGAGAGGGAGTGTTTTACGGCGGGGGAGAAGCGGTGGTGGGCGGAGAGGATGAGGGGGAGGTTGTTATGGGGGAGGAAGGGGGATGAGGGTAGGTAGTGAGCGGCGTTGGGGTGTTGATGGAAGAGACGAGGTTTGATGCTGTGAGACTGCTCCCTTCGAAAGGGTTGAGATAGCGATAGAGGGGCTTCAGGCGATCACCTATGGAAGGCTGGTGAGGTGAGGTCCAAGCCGAGCGGTGCGCGCGTTTGTTGATTTGGGATGCCGAATTTCAGGGTCCAAGTTCAAGAACCCGATCGTTATAGCTATATCTGTTATACCTCTCCAATGTGCACACTCTCAGACTCCTGCCGCTCACGTGATCTTACGCCGCTGTGGCTGAGTTCGGCTAAGGGTCTCCTCAGGTTCTCACCTTCGCTCACCCGCTGCTTCGCAGTCTCAGAGGGCCCACCAGAAATTGTCAAGTTTTAGCGAAAGAGCCTCAAATCTGTCCCTAGTCCTAAATCAAAGCCCACACAGTTTGTAAACCTCAAAAGCTCCACACTAGGTATTATCGGGAAGGTGAACTCTGTTGTATTCACGAATTCTCTCTCAATACTTGGTGAACCCTCCCTCTACAGCAATCACAGCCAAACACCGGTCCTACATGGAATCGATCAATGAATCCAGCTGTGCCTGTGTGATAGACTCCCGTGCCTCCTTAACATACACCCGTAGGTTATTATACGAGTGCTGGACATCACCGTACCTCTCCTCAATATAATTCTTCATCCAATTCCAGATTGTCTCGATAGGATTCAAATCTGGGGAATAGCCTGGCCAGAAGATGGTAATAATGCCCCTTTCTAACAGTTTGTTATGAACGGTACGGGGCAGGGCCAACAGGAAGCAATCACGAAGAAGGTTGCAGGAAAGACGACCCAGCGTCAGCGGACCTGCGGATCGCACAACAATACGCGGGATAGCATCACGTAACCAGAGGTCATGTGAAGTTCTCTCCGTGCTCTCCATAATCTGCAGGGAGCAGAGAGAGCAGAGAGAGCAGGCACCAAATTGTATGGAGGAAGGAAAGGTATAAGAACACGGTCGTTCGCAACGTTGCTTTCTCTCCTTCGTACTCAACTTATGTTTTAACTTTCAACGTACTGAATCTCAACGGCAAACATACTCCACGAATCTATTTGTTACACACCCTCCGATACTACTGAAGCCCTGACCCGTTCTAACGTCGGCCTTATCATACTTCAACTCTCTTACGTACGAGCAGTACGTACCTTGAGCTCTTAGTTAGTGAGCCCGAACCTGACCGTGCTAACCTCCCTTGGTGTTACTCATTCGACAAGCGCAGCAGGACTACGCTCATTGTCGAAACATCTTTAGGTGAACGAGGAGTTCATAACACAGTTCTTCCTTGGTTGACCCTGCTGAATGCCCTGGGGTACCATTCTGCATGAATTGGAGGTGTGGATTCGTCCTGATCCATCCGTGAACGATAGGAACAATCCTTTCACAGTATGTGATCTGGTTGATGGTGCCCCATTACTTCTCTCAGAAAAGACCTGGTCCTTTCACTCCACCGCTGAAACAACCCCAGAACATCCAGCCCCTTCTCTTTTGTATCTTCTCAAGCACGAAAGTATCATCCAGCTCTTCTCCTGCCCTCCTTGTCACCCACTGCCTTCTGTTTCGTCCTCCTGTCACCCAGGTTTTATCACTCCACAGGATGTTGCACCACTGTTCCCGGGTCCAATTCACATGCTGCTGTGCCCAGCGCGGCGAATTTCTCTGTTTTTAGCATTAAGAGTGTTACAACCAGTAACACCGATAACTCGATTGCTGAGGCATTCGAGACAAGCAGGCAGCAACTGAGGCTTATCACATCCAGCTGGCCCGCCGGCCCTAGGGGAACGAGGTTCCGCCTTAGCATCTTGGACTCGCCTGACTAAGGTCACGTGATAGACCATGAGGATCGATATGATCCCCAGTGATCCCCAGTGATCCCCAGTGATCCCCAGTTGGATCATGAGGATCGGTATGATCCCCGAAGATCCCAAGAGGTTTCACAGGAGTACAGGATGTATATAACCACGGTCATTCCCCCCATAGGAACCTCGTATTCAACTCAAAATTCTACAATACTACCTATTGCAGAGTAACCCGTCTATGCTTGAGACATCTGCTTGTTCCCTGCCTGCATTTCTGAAGACTATCGCACCCCAACGACGACTTGCCCTGTACCTTGCCTTGTCTGAGCACTTGGAAGTTACGAGAGAGACGACCCGTTACAAAGAGGTGGCTTTGAGCGAGCAATGCAGCGAGAATAGCCTCTAGCCTTCAGTACCCTGCGGATGGTATATTCCCCTACTTTGAAGTGGTGGAATGGGCCAATAGCAAGGGCAAAATAGCTCATGAGCCGACCTTGTTTGGGGGAACAGACATATTCCTCAATTTCATCAATCTGTTCTTTGGAAAGTGTCGACTTTTGACCAGTCTGTTTCTTTGGCGTGAATCTGTCAACCAGAAGAGAGTGCTCAGCCTGTCGAAGAGTGATACCAGGTGGGCTGTGATGTCCTTGTGTGTCCATTTGATATCGCGCAGTTTATGGATTTTGACCCGGGTATCACGGTGGAGGTGGCGTGAACTGGATCGCTTCGGTGTCATTGGATTTGGTGGATCTGGCCCCGGTAGATCCTCCATGGTGACCGGATTTGTATCCAGGATAAAAGCTGCTGGTGTGGTTATTGTTGTTAAAACAGCGAGCATTTTGATACATACAAACCAGGGTTGTGATTGGTGTTTTGAATTTTTTCCTACCTGCTAGCGCGCCCTACCCACAAAAGATACGCCTGACACCGTAGTAGGGGCAGAATACATAGGGGAGAGTAAGATGAGGAACTAGACCTTGTATGCGCCGAGAGGCGTGCCGAGAGGCTTGAAAAGGATTGAAAAGGATCGGAATTGATTGAGAACCTTGGTGTTGATGGAGCATACCCCCGGGGTGGGGGTCACGTGCTCACGTGTGTTGAGTTGGTGATAAGTTGAGGTATAGCCTCAACCCGCGTTCCACACATCCAATACTACTGAAGCCTACCTTCCTTCCAACGTCCGCTTATTCACACTCGAACCTTGTGTCACGTGTTGGCGCGTGATGCAGTACCCAGCAGGAGAGTAGGGCTTAACCATCCGGACGCTCTCTTCGAAGTCCCTTGTATCTCAACGATGCCAGAGACGGTCGGAAAGACGGCAGTCAACGTGCCAACCTGCAGTCGCGTGACAGCGCGACTGCAGGTTGGGAATGCGTTTGAGCTACGGGAATGGGTGATAGTAGCCATTGCTAGAATTGGATTTGCAATGCTGGGGGGAGTGATGTAGTGTTTGAGGTGTTTTGCAGTATTGTAAAAATACGTGATAGAAGGCCAGTTTCGCTCTATTAAAACTTGCCGGATGACCCATTGTGACCATCTGATTTAACGAAGGGTTCTCTGGGTTAGTAAGATTCAGCCGAAAGCGATGTACGTCATTGCTGCATTCAAAATTAGTATCGAATAACTGGTATATACTCTATAGTAGCTTCGATGGTTGTTTTTCTTTCCTGCCACAATACTATACGAAGTAGAGTGAACGTCGTCGCTCAAAGCGCTTCACGCATATTAGAAATTCAGAACCAATGTACGTCCTGCAACTCTTCTACGTCCAACGATACATGGAGTAAACGACCTCTAGGTTTAGAAGCCGAGTAGAGTAAAGACAAAGGGCGGCTCTGGAGAAGAGTTTCCTAGAGATCAGGCATGAGAACGCCACATTGCACTTCACATCTTTCCCACGGCATCTTTGCCATGACAAACTCAGGAAAATCTTCTTTGGATCGCGAGTATGGTAATTGCAGAAGTTGACTTTGTAGCTTCAAGGGCTTCATTTTGTATCCGGGCATGAGGCACAGTTCTTCAGATCGCACGTACATGCATAGTACCTACGTGGTCTGCATAGCACACTTCTCCCAATGGAAATATCCTCTATTATACTAAATAGAACTCTCATAAAGAAAACTTATATAAATCTGTTATTCTACGCTCAAGTAAGAAGACTCTGCATTGGTAAAGCTAATTTGATCTAAGATTCTATCAGTGGAGTCTGCACCGCCGTAATCCAATCCTAATCCTTCCACCACCAACGCCAATTCTTTGCTGAAGGCTCTCCTTAAAGCTTCTTGGAGCCCAGAAAACCGCGTTATCACTTTTCCTTGTGGGTTCCATCCTTGTGGACGTGTGTGGACTTCACTTTCGTTCCGGCTGCCGTCTGAAGAGTCAATGATATGACCGATTGAGGATCGCTTGGGTCTGAGTAGGACTTGTGTGCCTTTGCGCCCCTAGACACATCAACAAGTTAGAACGTGAGTGATTATCCTGTAGAGCAATTCGGAGTGCCTAACTTGATAATGGCCACTTTGATGCGCGAGTCCTGTCGCAGGCAGTTGGTTAGCAAAGAATGCTTGAAGAGGAAACGAACCCCTACTTACCTCCGACTCAAGCTCATCGGTAGCTTTTTCAAGAGCGCTGGCCTATCCTTTACCGCTCTGCTTTTCGACATCCGAGAGCTTCACCTTGCCGCCCCATCGAATAAGTCTGGCTAGAGTTCTGTTCATGGTGAAGAGCAACTGGGAGACCTGATAAAGGAAGAAATATGGTAGTTGAGAGGTCTGATGGACTGGGCATAAGATGAGGAGTATGTCGATCGCTGGTTATAGGCGGTGTCAGTACGACAAATGCAGCCCGCTTATATAGAGACATGTCGAACAATTTGGACTATCCTACAGCTCCGAGCGGCTTGAGTATCATCACCTCCTCTCTGAGCCACCCCCCTGTCACTACTCGCGCGTAGGCGATGAGCTAATTTTGGTATAGGCAATTGCTGCGCGCATGAATCGCAACATAGGGAGCGAGGCGGAGGCTGCGCGGTTGAGACGAGGCCTGCACGGTTGCGGCACAGCTTTCTAACACAGCATCCGATAGGTAATGTTGGCGCCCGGAGAAGAATCCCACAGGTATCCGGGGAGGTCCAGCGCCTGGAGAAGACTGCCCGTGTAGCCCTCAGGGGACGTTTATGCATGGGTGATTCTACTGGCTTTTGGATGGGTGATTCTACTGGCTTTTGGATGGGTGCCTCCAACGCGTCCAATGGTGAGTCTGGTTTCGTCAAACCCCCTGGGCTGAAGGTTTCTCGAAAATGGTTGGAAACGATTCTTTGACTCGATTTATGAGCTACTATCAGATCTGGGATAGCCAGGTTTGATTCAATTGAGTCAGGATCCAAGTCGGGAAGCCCGAGATCCTAAGCTCCAAGAAACTTCGCCTAGGGGCCCTTCTCTTTGCCAAAGTTATGCCAGACCATTCATAAGTGCCAAGAGAAGCTGGAGTACTCGAAGTCAATTTGGGCGAGCATCAACAAGTAAGTTTGTGTGTGGTAGCTCGGGAAAATGTGGCTGGAGCCGAGCTTCTGTAGGTTCCATGCAGGTGGTGTTCACTCAACGGATTAGTCAGCGGCAACCGAGGCTGGGGCTCCTGCGGCTTTGGTCTTGACCCTGTCCTGCCATTCCTTTCTTGCTTGTCTTTCGTTCCATCACTCGCTTGCAATGAAAATTTTCCTCAGAGGTGTTCGTGGCTTTACGCGCAGGCCAGCGTCACCTGCACGCAAAATCAGGTCGTCGGGGTTTGCAATTATTGACGAGGCAGTTGAAATCGAAGAAGAGCGGATGCCACATTATAAGACTTCCGTCTACTATCCCGTCCGCATCGGAGACATCTTTCATGATCGATATCAAGTCCTCAACAAGCTGGGGTATGGCGCAAATTCGACTGTGTGGTTCTGTCGCGACCTCAGGTGAGCATAAACCTCGATTTTCAAGCTCACTCTGACAATAAATATACGAAAGGCAGCACAACTATGTTGCGCTGAAAATCTGCATCAATAGCTCTATAGTAAATCGCGAGGTCGAAGTGTTTAAGCATATTGCAGCAACTCGATCAAAGCACAGTGGAGCATCCTACGTTCGCTCTATGCAAGACTCTTTTGAAATTAAGGGTCCGGCTAGTGTCCATCAATGTTTGGTACAGGAACCAATGCTAGCGAGTCTTTATGACCTGCAATGTGCACTAAACCCAAAAAGTTTGACTGAAGCATTGCTTAAGTCGGCGTTGCAGTATATATTCGCCGGCCTTGACTACCTCCACTCCGAAGCCCACGTTGTACACACTGGTAAGTGAAGACCAGGCGCGTCAAAGATATGCAAGCTAATCAGAGACCAGATCTCCAAGCTAAAAACATCATGCTCGCTTGCTCTGATCCAACGGTATTCAAAGAGTGGGAGAGGATGGAGGAGGAAGAACCAAGTCCTCGCAAAGTCGATGGCGATCAAGTAATCTACAAATCTCGTCAAGATTTCGCTCTACGAAAGTATCTGCAAGCTATTGGTCCATGCATGATTGCAGATCTGGGTATGGCCCGTATCGGCAAGCAGCACGAAGGCTTCATACAACCAGAGATATATCGCGCTCCGGAAGTCATGCTTTGTATGCCATGGGGCTCAGCAGCAGATATATGGAACATTGGTGTGATGGTATGTATAAACACTGTTCCTACATCCCAACCTTTAATAACTCCTCGCTGTTATAATCAGATTCATGTTCTAATTTAGATTTAAAGATCTGGGATTTATTCGAAGAAGGACACATGTTCAGTCCTGGAGGCGACAATAGGAAAATCTCCAATGCGCGTATGCTGGGCGAAATGATTGCTCTGCTCGGTCCTCCCTCACAAGAGTTCCTGCGAAGAGCCGACGAGACTCTAGCTTATTGGAATCATGAAGGCAAGTAGTGATCGTGTTGCTTTTCTGCAATTGCTGACTGCGTCACTAATTATTTTTATCAGGCCAATGGAAAGGATTCGCAGAGATTCCGGATTACTCCTTAGAGGATTGTGAAGTTTATCTCGAAGGCGAGAACAAGAAACTCTTCATGTCTTTCATGCGGAAAATGTTGCAGTGGGAGCCAGAAAAAAGGGCCACGGCGCGTGAGCTGCTACAAGATGAGTGGTTAAATAGTTCAACAAAAGGGGTTTGATCGGCCTCGTGGAGTGTTCTGGCATATCTCTCTTGCAGTCCTATAGCCGTATTATGATACATATTCACCCATGAAAAACCGCATCATTCCAACAATTGTGATATTCACAGCTATCACAACTCTGGCTATGCCATGCCATGGGAAAATCTACATGAGCAAACCGCCGCATGCCATGATCCCTTTTCCTGCCCGCTATCCAGCTCCCATGCACACGCCAAGACTCCAAGATGATTCGATGCTTTCTCGGCGAGCCTCCCAAATGACCAGGACGAAAATTTTGAATGCAAGAGCAAGGGCCGATTCGCAGCAAGGGACACCTGTGAAGTGCGAGAAACGATGCGACGAGCGCATGGTATTGCGCCGCGCATACCTGCTAACAATCAAGCAAGCAAATAATTAGCCCTATTGCTTACTTGATTGCCTAATTCTCAGCGTCTTGCTTGCTTGTTACTTGCTTGGATCCACTTATTTGCAATTAATTTAATTAATTGCGAATAAGCCAGAAAAAGGTGCCAAGAATTGGCCGGAATTGCTCTTTCTCTATATTTTAGTACTGTATCGTATAATATACGTTAAGAGCTTTCATTTGCACTTACTCCGCAGTGAATAGCTATACAAACGTAGGTGTAGTGGAGAGAATCGTGATATCCGATTTTGAAGTCCTCGGGCGGCGCCGAGGCCGTGCAGAGAGGACCTCTCTCCACGCAATTGCGCAGCCCCAGATTATCATGATAATTCCAGATCCGTACGTGCACCTACTATATTGAGGCCGTATATTCGATCGCGCGCATAAAATATCGTGAATTCGTGGTGGTTGAGGAGTCGCACGTGTGCGAAGTTGGGGCTCCCGGCGATTTTGGCGATTTCGGTGGGGTACGCTGCTTAGTCAGCAGACGAAAAATCATGTCGCCAAGCAGCCTCACCACCATCGGCTCAGAGGCAACGACACAACCACCACATATTATCTAATTCCAAAACTTTGGGCGCCGTTAGATGCAAGGTATGTCATGCAGTTCGCGAGAGGGTTAAGGGTTGGGTATTGTGGTTGTTGTGTAGTTGCCTATGAGCAGATGGAAATCTTGAAATCGACGTAACTTCGTCGACTGAGCTCGCAGCAAGCTCAAACAAAGGCCCACGATCACAAATTGTTAGGTTGAATCGGCTCTGATTGATTTGGGTGGTTATCTAGCTGTATATATACAGAAGGGGAATTATAGGAGCCCACCCCATAGGGGCGTCCGAAATGAAGATCAAACGTCGAAACAGTGATAGCCAAAAGGCCAAAATAAGAGGGTGGTGATCAACAATTTGCTGATGGAAAGAATGGAGGAGCGAACTAACATACCCCCCATTAGCTGTTAGGTACTAATATATAGAAATGAGGCTGTAGAGCTATATATAGAGCTGGAAATTAAGCTAAAATATAGTGCTATTTCTGAACCTACTCCGTGAACTACCTAACATGTAAGACAGAGACAGAAGTACGCCGCTCAGCGATAAGCAGGTGAACGTGATTTAGCAGGTAAACATAACTCGACGCAATCTACCTAGGTATATATTTCGAAAAATTCTGTGGCTCCTCCATAGCGCCATCGGTGCCCGTCCGGGGGCACCACGTAAGTCGCCCCGATGGCTGGGTTGGAATCCAGCCTCTGGTGTAACACGACCTTCCACACGACAAAGATGTAGTGCAGGGCTCGGCCCGACGAACTTTTTGCTCCTTGATTATTCTTTTTTGGGCCCGTCGGCAAGCCGGAGTTCGACTCGCGATCGGAGAACTTGTTTTTGACTTTCTTTTGTTTTGAAAAAAAACCAAAGTTTTAGAGACCCCGTATAATTGGTGTGGTAGCTGGGCACCTAGCTGAGCTGGTTTGCAACTCGAGGATGAGGAGTTCGAGGCCCGTGGCGGATGGCTTTGGTTTTTCTGGTGGTTTTTTTTGGTTGCAAGATGTATAAGAGCTGGATCGTTGCTGTAGAAGGATAGTCCAGCTTATGTCGCGTGTATCAGATAGACACTAAAGGATATGTTTTCAACCGAAGTGAAGAAATGCGGAGATGTGGCGATTTCTTGCCATGTCAATGTAGCTAGCTTGAATAGCGTTGTCAAAGGTATGAAGCCCCTCCTCTTGAGTGGTTCCTCTTGGGGACAGACGCGCATTAACCTGGAAAGGCACTCTAAAGGCATCACTAAAGCTCAATCGATATTTACGATAATCCTTTATCACTAGGCGGCACCCATTGGGTGAGCCTATTACGGTGATCCATATAGTAGATTTTTCCAGCTTCCGTAGTCCGCTGATCCCATCCAGAAGGCAAACCCAAGTCGGGCTCTATGTGGGCATCTGAGCCCACAAGCTTTTGTGTTGATTTTGGACTGGGTGTACAGACGATGGTCTCCTTCCCAGCGGCGGATGTAAAGTATGAGCTACCATTGGAAATCTCTTTTCTCTGCCAGCCTTCTGGTGTAGGATCCGAGTGAACATGGTCCATCAGGTCCTGAATCCTTTCGATGGTCCGAGATGAGGGCTCTGGCTTCACAACAGGCTCTGGTCGAACCTCGACGTTCAAGGAGCCATTCCAAATTCCATCGAGATCAAGCTGAATTTGTTTTGATACAAGCTTCATTAGCACTGATCTATCTGTACAGTGTCTCGTGAAAGATTTGCGTACAGTCCTTTGTTACTGCAGTACTAAGGAAGTATATGCAAACGTATGACAAGGTATCGGAATTGATCTTGCTATTCGGCACTTACTTGGTTCAGATTCCGCAAGATTGACATAGTCATCGAGGAGAAACTCACATTCTCCTAACGATTTATCGTCTAAACGCAGAAACTTATTGGCCTGGTGATCTACGACGCGTATGGCATATTTGGTTCCAGCATTAGCGACACTATCGTTGTCAGCATGGCGAAAAGCTCAAGTGGACGGTCGTATAGACACCTACAATTCAAATGTTTCGTTCCAGACCGGAGTAAGCGTCTTCTTTGCGGGATGTGTGCATTGCGGTGCGTTCCACCCGTCCGATTCCAGATAAGCCACTGGATTGGGCAGTCGTAGGCTTGGTCATTAATGACAACTTGGGCATAGCAAGACCCACGTACTGAATCGATCTTTCTTTACAAAACCATGACCATCTCTGATAGTGAGTTTGACTCTGTTTGACCTCTTAGCGTTCTCTATCGCTTCCTCCCAGATCTTCTTGTCTTTTGAGGCGAGTTGGACATCCCTGAGTGCAATGGTCAGGCTCAATCTATTCACAGCGTCGCTTTTCAATATTGAGTACTCTGCAAACCAGAGCTTGCATTTATCAATGATGGCCTCTGCGCCTGTTAGGCATTTCGAGGCTTCGGTGATTCGCTTTGCGCGTTCTTGCATGCGCATTTTTCGCCACCTCTCATGGCGGGGAGGCATTGATCTGATCGCAGTTCCTAGCCTCTGAAGTCCCATAGCGAAGATGAATCCCAAAATCAATTCAAGTAGGCTATTGGACTGGCCGCGGAGTGCCTTGGCATCTTCTAAAGGGCAAACAGAGAAGCTGTCACTATCTTGAATTGGGACCAGGTCTGCCACAGCAATGAACTCGTCCAACTCATGGTCATTTTGGGGTCTAGATAGCCTATCGTTTTCAAATACGAAAAATGATGACGCCGCATTGAGAACGGCATCAACAGGCTTCTGATATTCGCCATATCCCTCTGGAGACAGTATCTCCAGTATTTCACTCAGGTTGAAATTGATGTGAACTCTGATTTCTATAGACGTCTAGCTAGTTGTATATATACTAGGGGAAGGAAGGGGGCCACCCCCAGGGTGGCGCGCTAGTAAGTTCAGATGAGCCCTGCACAGCTGAGGCTTCAGCTCGGTTCTCTACAGCTGAGATTTCAGCTGGGTTCTCTACAGCTGATGTTCGGAGAGTAGCTTTCTGGCATATGAGTTGTTGATCCTAGGTTGTAGTGCTGCAACCTGAGTATTTCAGTCCTTTTGCCCCAATGAGACAATGATTGACTAAGAGCGGGTATGCACATCTTTGTAGCAATGAGGTACTGGGAACAGAAGGCAGCCGTGTCGGCGATTGGCAGCTTCTTAGAGTTGATGGACTTATCGAGGCCAAATGAAAATGTCCAACCCCCGGCAGATGTAGACTTTTGCCAACCCCAAAGAAGAGGCGCCTGATCCTTTTTCTGGTTATAGGTAGCCTGCAATAGATTTTCGACGGCCCGACGACCATGCTTGATATCCCTTTTAATTCGTGCTTGCAAGTCTTGTTCCGCAATTTTATCGACAAGAGAAATGAGGCTAACTAGCAAGTCTTCACATTCTTGAAGATCTATTTTCCCGTCCTTGTTCTTGTCACCCACTGACACAAGTGACGCGAGGGTGGAATCTGATACGTCAATGTCGATCAGATCTAGAACTTTGCGGAACTCGTCTTGAACAGTGAATCGGTACAAAAATCCGCGACCAGTCCAGTCCAGTTGATGATAAACTCTTTTGGCAATCCTTTTGACCCGGATCTCATCACTTAGGACAGAATTCTCTAGCTGCAGTACTTTCTTGAGCAAACCTTGAACATAGTCTGGATTGGGACCATCGACGGGACGCCATGCACTGTCCTTGCTGCTATGAGAACTGAAGCTGGCACTCCTCTTTTGCTGGCTGGCGATAGGGCTTTGGAGAGGTGACTCAAGTGTCAGCCTGGTGAGACTGGTTTCCGGGGGTGTGGCAGATGCCGGCCAGGGTGGACTGTCGTTATATGCTTCATCACGCTCCATGCCCTCTGGCTCTTCTATAATTACCTTTTCGATCCAATCCCGTACGAACGCTTGGTTCTGCCGTACTAAATCGACGGGTACGTGCTCGCTCTGTATATCGGCTTCGATCTCCTTCCATGCGACATTGCCTGAGGTGTTCAAATCCGCGACGGTGACAGAAGAGAACGCAGGAGCCGCACGCTGGCCAGTCTCGTAGTCGCGGTGAATTACATTGAGTGCTTCGAGCAATTTTGCCTGTGCATTGGCACTGGATGTAGCGCTTGATCGATGTCAGTATCTATGTATGAATTGAAGGGATAGGCTTGTGAGACGAAACGTGGCCTACGTGATAACGTTGTTGAAGGTTGACAGAAGCGTCGTCTGGAGTATGAGCTTGTTGCGTATCGGTGCGATGTCATTGGGGACCCATCTCATCCGCGCTATGAAGCTCTCTCCACTTGCCAGACTCTTATGTTTATCAAGCAGCTCTTTTAATTCCTCAAGAACCCCTTCACAGCCTGCGGCAAGTGTCCTTAAGTTCTCCTTTTGGTCCGCGGCAAGGTCGCTCTTTCGCTCATTTTCCTCTTTCCAGTAGGTCTCAATCGCATTCAGCACAATGGTCATTGACATGACCTCGCGGGAGAGGTCCCGAAACTCGACGGCGGAAGATTTGCATCGATCGTAGACCTATAGTATCAACGTGCCAGTGTGGAATTCTTAGCGTTCGGGTGATACTCGGGCACGTGATGTATAGAACACGTGATGTATAGGTTTATATGTACGTGAAATGTAGATCTATAGTAGGAACGCCTCCTACTATAGATCTAGTTTAATTGGAGGCCGCACGGGCCTCGCCTACGTGTATATAGCCTAGCTAGATTCCTACATAGAATCGACATCTATTGTCCTCCGAATTGTTCACCACGTGATCGGAAATATCACATCAGTTCCAGGGAAGTCAGGCTAGCCGGAACGGACCATTCTCAGTCGGTTCATTACTTACATTCCATGCCAATGTCCCGACAGTGATGAAGTCGCCGACACTGAATCCGAAGCTCATAGTTCGCTTTCGTCAAAAGGTGTATTTGAGATGATTTCAACAGTTAGTCAAGAACAGGTTGACGCCATTCGAGTGCCGCCGCCAGGCTGAACATCTCAGCCGCATGCCCCTAATCATTCGAGATGCGGAGATCACCGACACCCCTCTTTTCCGCCCCAAATAACCCCAACTATCTTCAGTTAACGCGGATAGTTAGTAGGAAAGGGTACAAGGGAGTTATACAGCAATTGAAATTTCCATTCGAGAGTTATATTTGCAGTAAGATGCTATTTTAAGGGTGTATATGCGCCCACCACTCCTCTCATCCCTCAATGTCGGTAGAACCCTCCAACATACCCAAGCGCTACTTGCGCTTGTCCTCCCTAGAGGTCATCTCTCGTCGCTAAATAAGGAGTCTTCACCCAACTGCAAATTACGAATTTGGTCAAAGTTCTACTCCGATCCACATCTGGCAACACGAGGCCTATGGAGGCTATCGAGTCGCTATTAAACTTCCATCTTTCCCCGCGACGCGCATTTCAACCCCCAATAGAGCTCTACTACGATTTTAGGGTAACATCACCCCATCGCACCCGCGGACCCGCGGACCCATAAGCAAGAGGCTTTAGGCTATGCTCTTTACCTGGCAGGCTGGGATTTTCTCCGTTGGTAGCATTCTATGTACGCTGAAGGGTGTAGCTCAGGCCACGGAACCAGTCGATATGTCCTTAGGGCGTCATGTCCTAGGCCTAGCCCAAACCTACTCGGTAGCCTTCCCGGGGCACAGCTAGAAAACCGAACGTGTCTTCTTTGGGTACGCGTGGCCAGACAAAGGTTGACCGTATTGATATTGGTGGTATGCCGATACTGCTGGTATCTCAAACAGGCTTCTACGAGTAGGGAATATCTCTGAAGAAGTTGCCGGCCGAATTTTTCGCAACACTGAGAATGAACTTGAGCTCTTTCGCAACCTGGTCCGCTCTCGGACGGCTGTCAGGGCTGATTCTCAGGCACCTTTCTACCAGTCCAAGAAGACGAAGTATAGGACCTGAAGCTGCTTGGTGTGTGCAATGCCGCTTGAGGAATTCGATACGCTCCAACACTTCGGGTCGAAGCTGGGGGGTGCCGGTTTGGTCGTAGTGATAGTACCCCTGGGTTGTAATTTGGGGGCGGTGGAAATCGATCGCGCCGGATCTGTCGCCTGTAAGCTAATACACTCTCATATGTAACCGAGGGGTCACGAACCTTTTACATGCAAAGGTTTCCAGACCGTCGGAGCCTTCTTTCAACCAAACGATGAACTCGAGGACAATGCATCCGAGAGACCATATATCATAAGCGCGTGCTTGTTTCCGTTCGAGGCTACGAGCGCCAGCTTCCGGCGCTGCGTAGACCTCGCTTCCCCGAATAGTCTCCGTGGCGCTGCCCTGGATCTGGGTGCGAAATTTGCCCAGGCCAAAGTCCGACATTACGATTCGGCCAAAACCTACTTCAAGCCCCTTTAGCGGCTCGTCGAACGTTTCATCCATCTGCACGAAGAGCAGCAAATTTTCCGGCTTGAGGTCGTGGTGGTAACCAAACCGGACTGGCTTGCCCAGCAGGTCGTTAGGTTGAAGCGTGTTGCCAACATCCTGGTGAATGTGGTTCAGACCTTCAGCAAGCCCTTGGAGCTGTTCGAGCGTCCAAATGACATACTTGCTTTGATTTTGCCCTCGAGGGTCCACCAATTGGAAGTGCTTCTGGAGGTCCGATCGGGCAAAAGGAAAGATGAGATAGTATTTGTCGCCGTGCTGGAAAGCCGTTAAGAGACGAATGAGGTGCTTTTGATGGCCGAACTCTTCCAGTTGAGTTAGCATTGTCCATTCTTTCTCGTAGTCTTCTTTGCTTCCCTCCCGTTTAGCCTCTTTCATAGCCAAGTAAGGGTTCGGGTCCTGTAAGACAATCATTATTAGAAAATACACAAAATGAGGGGGACTTGACTAGGCCAAAGTATGTTATGAACACCAAAGACTACTTACATTGGCCAGTTTGTATGCCTTCTGATGAGATGCCTTCACCTTGATCCTATACACCATTCCGAATCCTCCAGCTCCCACTTGCTGTACGTCTTCGAGTGGTAGGGCGTGTTTTGAGCTATACGCCCGTTTCCGGTTCCCCTGCCCGCCTTTGGGTGGAGGAGGGATCTCTATAGCTATTGTTTGCCACTGAAACATACAAATTCGTTGATGTTGTTCGTCGTTACAGAACCAAGGAAGATATTTAGCGCTGTCGGAGAACGGCATCATGTTGTCATACATTCTATGCTGTAGGAATTGACTGAGAAGATGCCCGAGATCGCCATCGAATCCGGCGAGAACCAGCGTCGCCAAAAGTCGAGGCGCTTTGCGACATATGTCAGTGATTTCTGATCTCGTTTTCGATTTTAGTTCTACTAGATCTTGAAAAAGAGAGGTTACGGCAGTCTCGGAGATTATTTCAAGAAGCCTATCAACGGGAACAAACCAGGCATCGTTCTCGTTGTCCAGGTTCTTATTCTGTATCCTCTCCTTGTGAATAGCATCGAAGAGCTGCTGACGGCTAGTGGTGGTGACTCGTCCCTCAATGCGCAAAAAAGTTGCCTTGTACGTGATCTTGTCATAACCTCGGATATGAAAGTCTTCCATTGCCTGTTCAAATTGTGGGCGCGATGCGATCGGGAACTCCTCGCAGCTCCCGCTTCTTTCCAGAATTACAAAGCGGCCTTTGCATTCGCCTTCAATATGGTGTCTCTCGAGAACATTACATATCAATTCCTGAACTTCGGAGTATGGTTCCTTAGCAGGTAGGTTCAAAGTGCGATTCTCGGACAGGATTTGATGCTCCGTTGACCTGGGCTTGACCTCGACGCAAACGTGGAGAATAGTTGATTTCGGTTTTTCCGCACCTCTGAATAGATAGTGTCCATTTGCGTGCGTATGCTCGTCAAAATTGCTGAGGCGAATCTCAGGGCCCACTGTCGCTTGAGTTTCGAGCTGCATGGTGGTGTAGAGGGCAGCCTCTCTGAACTTTCGGGGTAACTTAGAAATCTGGCAAGACCGCGTAGCTGTAGTAGGGCTCTGTGCTTCGCATAGGCTTCTGCGAAATGCCCGTTAGAAGACTCCATAATTTTATCAGGAGAACATACCCGAAATTGTAGATCCTCTTCAAGGTAAGGATGTTGTGTACTGGATAATGCAAAGCCTAGCTAGGCCGCATTAGCAGTTTGATGTATTAGAATAATGCGTTGAGGAGAGATCCGAGCGGGCGAATATCATGGAGTGACTTGGCAAAGAGAGAAGCTTCGGGGAGCGCTAAGTGCGTGGCACTGGAAAGGTCTAGTTATATAGACCTAGCCTGGCCGTTGGGTCTTGTTGGAGGCTGAGTTTAAAAGAGCCTCTGCAACGCATTTCGGTCATCATCCCTATGAATGCGCCTCACGGTGCCCAACGTGTATTTCGATGATAGGTCACGCAGAGGATGACCGGTCAAGGCATGTTCCTACAATTCGCTGTTCATGTCCTTCATGCAAGCCAAGAAATAAGGCTGCGAGGCTGCGCATCGTTCGCCTTTTTCTGCCTTGTTACGTCCAACCAATCAGAAAATATGGCGTCTGCAGATTTGAGTCACATAACCCAAAGGAAGGGTGTCCGTTTGATTACTTGGGGAGATAAGTTTTTGACTTTCTATGCCACCATGGCGTAAGTCTATCAACCTTGTAAGGTTGATTGGGGTGCATACCTACTCTAGAATAGTTTGCTGGATCGAATTGGAACTGTCCCCTTTGTATCTCAAGGTGCGTCTCAAATATCTCACGAAAGAAGTTGATTGCTCGTTGAGAGCACGTGGCGACGCTTACGTAAGATCAAATAGAACGTGCTGATGCCCGGCTTGTGTCGATGTCGAATTTTTTTAGATGGGTCGTCGAAGGTAGGGAGTGCCCGTGAAATGCATTTCGGATATCCCTGGCGATATTGGAGATCGCAAGTCCGATACATCGCTAGAGACGGAGTTGATAGATCGAGTCATTTCAGCGTGCTCGGGGTCGTGATTTGAAGCATCGGTATCGCGATGTTTCAGGAAACGGGCTTTCTCGAGTCGGTGAAGAGCCATAGTCTTGAATTTGGTAGATGATGTTATGTACCATATTAGGAGCGTGACGAGTGTCAGCGGAATAGTTATCGCAAAATAGATCCACCATTTCTTTGAGATAGTAAGACCTTGCGGATCGATGGAGACGAATTGCGTTGAGAAGAATCCTGCGACTACAGTCGCCGGGAGGAAAAAAACCGTAATGATGGTGATTATCTTGATAGCCTACGATTGACAGTTAGCGGAGCCTCTTTTTAAATGTTGCAAGCGAGTAGCCTACACCGGAGTCTTTGGTCGCCTTTTCGGTTAGATGCCGCATCGCCAGGTTATCTTGTCGAGCCTCTTCCGCTAGCAGACGGAGGGAATACGCGTTCTCGTAGTCCAGGAGACCAGAGAGCAAAAAGGAGGCACCATGCACACGCTTGTCGAGAACTCCCGCCTTTGCCAGGTAGAGTTTTGACTCATCGAGAGCTTCGTTGTAACCGTTGATAAGGAATGCTGACTCTTCTTCGTCGCGATGCCCCGATACTCTGGAAAGGTGCTTTGTGAGGGATGATATAGTACCTATAGTTGATTCAAGCATTACGTGTAGGTTCAAAATAGAATCCTCCAAAGTCTTCAGCCTTTGCCTATCACGGAAGTCGATTTTGAAATCAGGTAAACCATCCACCTTGTCCTTGGCGACGTCTGCAAGTGTGATTCTATCAGACTGATCTTGTACCCGTTGGGTCATGTCGTTGAGATACCATCGCCACTCGACTAGAGACGCTTCAATCATCGTAAGATGGAGTGCGAACGCTTGGGCCGGATCAGAGTTATCTTGTCTGCGAGTGTATGCTATTATATGGCGCTCTAAGCTAGAACGTTTGGGTATTCCTATGAAAATCCAGACGTTTTGACTCCGCGATGGATCATATCTTTGATATACGGCGTATTGGCGGACCGACCATCTCTCTTTGCCATCAACATTACCATTATCAGCAACGTAACGTAGCCCATATAAACATTCATATTGCTTAGTCTTCATGGCTTTGTCTCCTTTGGAGAAACGGAACCGACAGGTTGGAGGTGCGAAGTCGTACTCTTTGTTCTTTTGGCCGAACGACATGACGAATTCTTTGAAGCGAGGGTTAACTGAGAATTTATGTAACAAGCCGTCGAACAGCGCTTGGGAAGGCGAGAGACGACTGTTAGAATTTCTTGTGAATCGTATAAAGCTGACCATGTTAGACATACGTTGGTTAGGAATATCGCGGATACTACTAACAACATCGGCTGCGCATGGTCCTGATAATAATCGAGATCATGAACGTCCTGGATCTTCTGCAGTTCATCTCCAGGGTATGCATTCTCTTCATTGCATTCGTTGTCAGAGATGACCCAGGAGTTGTCTTCCGAGGCTACACAAACGTAAGCAAGGCACGATTTGATTTGAAGGTCGGCGATGTAGTCCCTGGGAGGAATTGAGGAGTATGGGAATAGAGCAACTTTAGAGAAACATCTGAACAAATGAACGAGGTTGAAACGTATATTGCTAAGGCAAAACTTGATGGATGGATGGATGAATCCCGATTATTGCCCAAATGAACACCAACAGCTGAGACTTCTATAATTGAGCCAAGCTGCGAGATCATTCTTCGATAGTTCCGGCGGTGACTGTAGAGGGGGAGATGCGTAATCTTTGGAGACGGGAGCTAGGTGCGGCCGAAGCAGTACGGCGTTGATGCCAGTCATCCCTCGAACAATATGAAACAAAGTACTCGAAAAGACCCACTTACGACGAGAGTAGACATCAATCCATGTTTTCGGGCTATCCAGCTGAAAGATCTTCTTCGAGCGTTCCTCGAAGCTCTCCAAGGCTGGAGATGCCAAGTCGTAATGAAGATACGCGGATGCCATTTCCATCGGCTCGTAGGATGTTGACTGTCGACCGCCTGGGACTGTCTCGATTTTCATCTCGGCAAGGCACACTGATCATCTTCACCGGTGCTTATAGTGGTAAGGAAGTGATCGTGAGAAGGACGGTTGTCCGAGCGATGTGTTGGCCACTGCGTAACGGGGCGCATTGGGTCTGGGCATTATGAGGCTGAGTCCAGCCGAGGTCCTATTGGTCCAAAGCAAGGGAATCTCATACACCAATACCTCCCTCAAGGCGATGCTTCACAGGCGAGGCAGTGGTTGAAGTCTGCTGCGTTGATGACGTTGAAGTAAAGCTGAAGTGAAAGCCGTTAAAAGACGACCACGGCGCCGCCGCGTCCACCGATTCTAATGGATCTATCCGTCCCTGATTAATGCCAAGATCTCTTGTACAATACCTATAGTTATGCAGTCCAGTAACTAAGCCTTATTTTTCTAGGACTCGGCTTAGGCATTGCTCCGAGGCTTTCCTAGGGCAATAGCCCCACAGAAGAGCCACATGGCACGTTTCTAGAGCTTTTCCTTCCCTTAGCAAATCATCATCCGATATACTGGCTGTCAACCTCCTGGCAGCCTCACAGCCCGACCTCTAGAGACCCTATACACTATCGGCCTTTGCCCTCCTCATAGGAGATACTCCGCCACGTAGCGACCCGCCTTTCGGACGCCAGCGACGAAGTGCGCTGTGCGACCTGCCGTGTGCACACTTGTCTGCATTAATCAGAAACCCTCTCGGAGTACAGAAAGGATTTGCCCGGATCACACCGCTGTTCTCCAAGAATTTTGCCTCTGGAATGCCCCACGCTTCGTCCTCGGAAGAAATTTCCATTCATCACAAATCGAAGTCTTTTCACTTCAACATTATATACCCCAAGGGCATCCAGATTGGTATTACCTCTGCGAGAAAGACCATTCTCCACGGTTCTGACCTCCCGAGCCATTGTTCTATCTCGTCATGGCATATTACCGATCATCCACCACCAAGCTTGAACGTCCTGTCCAAGTCCTCAACGACGCCTACATTGATACGAAAAGGCTCATAGAAATGATGGACGGGTTGTTTCCCTCCGGAGACTACAAAGCTCGGGTGAGCAACATGTCTGAAAAATCACGGCCGTTTTCTGATCCGTATTTCAGCATAAGGACAACCGCTGGATGATCCAAGCTCCACGACCGCTCACGGACGTAAGTGACACTTTCCGAGAAGCTCATGGGCCATCTAACCTTTCTTGAGGACGAGATCGAGTCCATCTACCAAGATTCTTCCTCGATTTAATCTCTTAGATTGTATGCCACTCCTGAGGCGCACGTGAGCCCACGCACCCATCTTCGGAATCCGAATGCAACATAAATCAGCCTACATAGTACTGTAGAAGTGGCATCCGAAGCTCATGCTGTCAGCTCACAAACCACACAAGAGTCCGAGAACACGAGAGTCAGCCGCACGTCAGCATCTACCCACATACATCAGGAAGAATTTCAGATATCACATATACTCGGTGATGGAGCGAGAGGCGTCAGATTCAGTCATTGGTTGTTACGATTTTTTGATATATCAATAGTTGCTTCTCGTCGCATCCGTCGTACGTGTGTGCATACCCGCTGCGTAATGGAACGCGCCGTAGGCTTTCACCAGAGCGGCTTTCATACAAATTCCGCTTCTATTTTTTTCCTCGCGGGGATGACTCGCACATCGTACAGCTTCGCTCGACAGTGGCGACGGACAGCAAAAGGCGCAGTCGCCGTTGAGAATTTGCCATCGTTCACCAGTGGCGGTTTCATGATCGGAACGTCGTTTGGCTGAACCTGCCATATCCTTGTATATTTCTCGTTACACGACATCTCCCGCATGCACGACATCCTCGATGCGGGTTTTCAGTCTTCGAGCCCTTGATAATATGTATGTCTGGAGCATATATCGGTCCTTTCGGAACTGGTAGCTCATCCCTATCTTGAACCCATCCTAGCTAATCCACAAGCTTCGAACACGTTGTTTTTATGTATGCTTGCAACATGCAGCCTGTACTGTTTCCAGAAAGTCTCGGATTGCGCCACCAGAATTCAGCCAATTGGATGGGCCGGGCTCGGGGAGTTGCATCCGATACAACACACATGCTCTCGATCCACCAAAGTACATCAATGCTTCCTTGTTGAAGCAGTCCATTGGATCTAGGACATGCGTAAGTCCCAGAAAGGCAAGGTCTAACAGCGGCCAAAGCCAATCTGCGCCGATGAACCCGCCTGGGCTCGGAGGCCTTCAAGTAGAGTTCTATTTTTGACTAGACATAGAGAAAGATCTCGCAATCCTTTCTTGAAGCCTCACAGCGAAGCGAAGAGTATAATCTCCGCTCATAACATTTTCGCACAGTCCGAATGTCTAGATCCCTGTACTGCCTATCGTTTCTCATTCCTTGCAATGTCTCGGTCCGACTACTACCAACTTGTACCAACCTCAACAACTACAAATTATCGGATTCCAAAGGCTATAGCAATGACTTACACTGCTGTCATGACTATGAAGATAGCTACAGTAGGCACCAGAAGGCGGCGGAGGTGAAGGCGACTCTAACGAAAGCAAATAGTTCAACAGCCCGGCGGAGGAGAAACAAACGGCGACAACCACTACCGCTGGTCCGATCGCTTCAACGAAGAGCCCCTAGGAAGAAGGCGGATACGGCAACGAAGGCCGTCAGGATGGAGGCGGGTACGGCAACGAAAGACGCCAGGGAGGCTACGGCAGCGAAGGACACCAGGGAGGCTACGGCGGCCAAAGACACTAGGGAGGCTACGGCAGCTAAATACACTAGGGAGGCTACGGCAACGAAGGACGCCAGGGTGGACGCGGGTATGTTAGTGAAGGCCGCTAGGGTGGAGGAGGCGGGTACAGCAATGAAGGTCGCTAGGGTGGTGAAGGTGGATACGGCAACGAAGGACGCCAGGATGGACGCGGGTATGTCAGTGAAGGCCGCCAGGGTGGAGGAGGCGGGTACAGCAATGAAGGTCGCCAGGGCGGTGGAGGTGGATACGGCAACGAAGGATGCCAATCCCAAGCCCTCACGCCTTCATGGTTACGAAGGCGGTGGAGGCTCTCAGGATACTAGGGCGGCGGAGGCAACTAGGGCGGCGGAGGCAACTAGGGCGGCGGAGGCAGGTGTATATCGTACCTCAATACCCTTAAAGAGACCGTGAAATGAAGCAGCCAATGAAATAACATGTAAGCTTACCTCACCGGACTGTACCCCTATCCACTTCCAAGGCTACCTAGGCATAAGAACCAACAGCGCACCAAGGCAGCCTCCAGGGCAGACTCAAGCTGGTCAAATTAACGCAACATCAGTGAACACTATCTTGCCCCACGCTCTACAGCCTCTCCTCTCATCACACCATGTACATATGCCTCGCCTACAACGGTCTTACACGTATTCCCTTCCTCCCAATCGCCACTACGCACATATGCCCTCCCCAGCCCCCGGAAGTAACCACAACTCATCTCCATCCGCGGCCGACACCGGTCCTAGCCCCAAGTACCCCGTCACAATCAACTCCCTCCTTCTATACACCCACTAGAAAAGTGTCACAAACAGCGCATCCGGTGGCATCAACGGCCATCCCCTCATATCCCACATCCGATACATCGAGCATCCCCGAAGCGCCTCAATCTCTAACAACGGCGTGCAGCACCCCCCTACTGCGTCCCTGTTCACGATAACACGTGTAGCTTAAACAGCGGTATGTATGGGGCCCTGCTGATGCGCCCTGCATGACATGTCAAGACGCCCAGGATGAGGCATACACGCTCATGGCGTACAGCAGCTCGTCAGCCTACATGCTGCGTGCGCCCTAGATGATGGGGGGAGGGGGAGCGCGCCACCGTTTCTCACAGCTGCAGGCTGGGCTTCGTTGATCGCGCGTTTGCAGGGCATGGCGCAGACAAACTGGCACCAGGGAGGTTTTCGCTAGCGGTCGGGTCGGCGATGAGGATGTGCCAGAAGATAGTGGCGCGGTGTTCGGGGAGGAGCTCTTCATCGTCACTTGGCTCCCTTTGGTTTGCATACGTAGATTTAGACTTGTTTGATAATGAAAATCTCTTTCTGATTTCGACCTAGCTGGGGTCTAGGGCCATAATTGAGTTGGTGTATACATATAGAATCGACACAATTGCTGGAGCTTATTTCAGGCGGCTATCATCCGTCAACCTCGAGTCACATGTTGGCAGTTGGGTCAGGGTATCGTGAAGTTTCTCCGCACGCTGAACGTTGACTGTCAACGATAACAGGGACTAGTCTGTCAGCAGTTCATTACAGCCCAACTCCTCTGGAATGGTGGCGAAATTGGATTCCGGGATTGCTATTAAGATCCGAAGGATTCAGACTGCACTGAAGCATCTACCTTGCGTGGCGTGTACCCGGAGAAGCCGGAGGGATGACTGTGTAGAGAAGGGGGAGTACTCATCACGGGTGGAACTTCTTCATTAGCTACATCGTTGAGGGCCTCTGGGGGACTCTCTGAGGGTGCTATCTCGCCTGGAAAGAGGGATGGGGATAACCGTCCGACAGAAACGAGTTGTGGCTATTGAGAGGCAGAGTGAGGCTTCAGCCGCTCAACTATGCAGGCACCTCGTATTGCGAAATAGTTGTAATTCGCCGTGCAGTACAGAATACGAAGAGACGAAGAATCTCATGAGGTGGTTGTGAGCTTCACTATACCTGTTCCGGTTAGGCTGGTGAATCGCGGGATGCCGCCGCGCTATCGTCATTCCTCCACGGCGAGCGACGCGTGCTGCTGCTTTCTCTCCCGACCATATGCGACATGCGGACCTTGGATGAAGCTAGGTAGGTATATCTCATACAAGTCTCGTACACATCGCTAAAGTCGCGCAGGAAGTGTTGGCCCCAGCTAGACGAAGTCACCTCTATCAGTCAATTGAGGAAGGCTGTGTCTTCGCCGGACAAGCCTCGGATCACTTCAGGCTTACGGTCGATATGCTGGAAGGTATGCGCAATGTGTCTGCCTTTAGAGCTCTCCTTACAGCAAGAAACAGATATTCCTCCTCTTCAATAACCTCGACCGCACGTCATGGCCGACCGCCCTAGTAGACTCGAGAACCGCATACGACTCCCTCCGATCCCACTTCCTGCGAGCAATCGAACACCCAAATGAGATAGAGTCGGCGGTAGACCCCCTGAGTGAACATGAAGAGGTACTACACCTAATGCGGCTCCTCGTAGGCCACAAAAGCGAAACTCAATCTGTCTGACACCTCACTAAGACTTGAAAGTCCCCCTGGGTAGCTCTCCGCAAAGACGAAACTCTACGAGCCGAGATATTCCAAGATGTTGAGCGATGTATGCCCGACAACATGTATTTCCGCCAGCCGTCGACTCAGAATATGATGCTAGACATAATCTTCATATTTTGCAAGCTCAACCCGGATGTTGGTTACAGACAAGGCATGCACGAGGTGCTGGCGCCTATCCTTTGGGTGGTGGAAAGAGACTCCATTAACCCTGGAAGCATAGAGCGGGGACGAAATACTGGCACAGCAAGTAGACTGCTTCGCGATGTCTGCGATCTTCGCTTCATGGAGCACGACACGTTCACGTTATTCCGACTGGTTATGCAGAACGCAAAATTCTTCTATGCTCCCGGAGAAGGACAATCAGGGTTCTCGCAACAACCTCAAAACGATACGCCGATGTTGATACGAAGCAAGAGGATATTTGAGGAGTATCTTCCAATGGCTGACCCCAGCCTGGCGGCTCATCTGAAGAAGGTGGACATAGTACCTCAAATATTTCTGATGTACGTTGAGCATCCATCAGCACCATAAGCCCATCACTAATGACTGTAGGCGGTGGATACGGCTTTTGTTTGGCCGAGAGTTTTCATTCAACGAAGTATTGGTGATGTGGGACATTATCTTTGCCGAGGACTCCTCCTTAGAGCTTGTCGACTTTATTTGCATAGCGATGCTACTTCGTATACGATGGGATCGTAAGCTAGGTTCCAGAATCCGGTCATTATCCCATTGCTGATCATCCCTAGTCGTTGAGGCCGACACAAATACTGCTTTCACACTACTGCTAAGATACCCAGAACCTGATAATCCACCATTCACCTTTGTACATGACGCGCTATATCTGCGGGATAATCTGAATCCCCAGGCCGGTGCCAACATTATCAAGAAATACGGCAAGAAATCACCCCCAATATCGGAAAATGAATCGCGAGTAACCAATCACGCTCGCACGTCAATCGGAGCTTCAAACAGTCTCGTCCCGCAACCTGGGAGCCTAGAAGCTATATTACAGGATGCTGCTCGAGGGGTTTACAACCGCGGGGAGAAATGGGGCATTGCGAAAGCTGTCCGTGACGCCGTTGGAGAAGTAAAGAAAAACGTGCAGACGTTGCAGCAGTCCAACTCTGGGCAAAGCACCCCACGATCTGGCGGAAGAGAATACAGGAAGCCGGCACGACCTGTGCTCAAATCCACACAGTCCAACTCTGAAGTTTTGCGGAGGATTTCTGCGCTCGAGACGCGCAACAAAGGTCTCGCCAAGATGCTCGAGGGAGCACTCTCCGAATTATGGGAATGCCACAAGGAGAAAAGCGACGAGGCGGATGTTGACAAAGCCTCTTTGGAGGCATTAAGTGTCGCTATTGCCAAAGTCCAATTCGTACAGGTCTATCTAGAAGACGCATCCATACCTCTACCCATCGAAGAAGACAAAGGCAAGGCACCAATGAGGGTTCTAATCCCACCAGAGCGCACCTCCAGCGCGCCACCAACCTCAAGCCCGGCCTCCTCAAGGTCCGCAGCTATTTCCTCGCCATCTTCCAAGCCTCCACGACCACAAAGAAGCATTGGCAACGCGCCATCAAGCAAAACCGCCCTTCCAATCGATATCCCATCTCTGCCGACCACACTAAAGAGCTCGACATCTAGAATCACCGCTGTGCCAACCATTACAGCGCCCAGCCCCTCGCCACCCAGCCCAACCATCTCCGTCTCTCCCCGCGTGCGTCCCGCCCTCGCACAATCCGCCTTCTCCTGGATGCTCGGCCAGGACGAGCGCACCTCCACATTCGCATCCGCATCCGCCCACACAGCGTTCCCGTCGGACGAGAAGCGGCGCATGGCCAGAGGCAAGGACAGCATTGGCGGCAAGGGGTACCTATTTGGCGAAGACGACGAGGAGGGCAGCCCGATCAAGGATGGACGAGCAAAGGGGAAGGGGAGTAAGGCGGAGAAGGAGATTGAGGAGGAGGTCATTGACTTGGGGCCGTTGGGGAAGAGCGCCGTTGCGTGAGGGCTTGTAGAATATTGATTTTGTGAACTTTGTAGACTGTTGTATACCATTCTGATGAAGCCAGCTTGGGTTTCGACTTCTATAGGGCCTCGTTGAAGCACCCCAGGCAGTAGTGAAAGTATGCTTTGTGTATTCATCTCCTTGACCAGCTGATTCAGGGGCGTGTGCTGCTTGGTTTTGACCTGTGAGATGGCAAGCGGACTGGCTCCCGTTTATACATCCGAACATTAGCTAATAATACGGTCTAATTCACGGCCTTCAGATTTCAGATCAGGAAAAGCAGGCGGAATTAGGACGTTTGAGACGCAGTTGCGTGCACCCTGTTGTTGACGCTGGCTGTCTGGGGTGGCCTCGCGAGTTTAGTAGCTGTTTAAGGTACAGAACTTCTCTCTTTTTCGGAACGCTAGAAATACTAGGAGATATGAGGCCCCTCATGCAGCGGTAGACGAGTGTACGGATATCTATGACGGGGCATTGGAATCTGAAGCATTGCTGAGGGCAAATGTATGCAATTCTAGTATGTTCTCTATCTAAATCAGAGAACTAAACCCGATGAGTCGCAATTTCACTGTGCCACCTTCCAATGCTTTTCAACCCAATGCTAAACCCTCGCCAAATGCAAACTGCCAAAAATCAAAAGCCAATCCTAACCCCTCGCAAAGCCATCCCAGCCGAGGCTAACACCCACAGCACTGCCCCTAGTACCTCGAATTTCTCCTGAATCCAGCAACCCGCCTCCGAAACGCACGAGGATGGTTCCTCGCGCGTTCCATCTCCTTCGCAGCCTGTACAGCCAAGAAGCGGGGTCTCTCGTACTCGGATTCGAAGTTGGGCTTTGCCTCCTCTTGTGATTCGCTCTTCATCCTCGGGAGGCTAGGGAAGCCAGCTGAGAAGCCGGGAGGGAAGGCAGGAGCACTAGGTCCTATGATGTACGGGCGTCCGTCGCGTCGAGCTCGTTCCATATCGGCGACGATACGGCCGCGGACTGCCTCGGCGTTGTGCTGCTGGCCGGCATAATTTTGCTCGATGGCGCCTTGGCGTTTGACTTCTTCCTCGTCGTCGTCATCATCATCTTCCTCTTCGCCATCCTCGTCGTCGTCCTCGCTCTCATCTTCGTCATCAGATTCTCCCCTGTTAGCATCATTGCCAGTGCCGCCGATGCTAAGCTCATCGTCGATGCTGATGGCGTTGCTAGACTTTAGAATACTAAAATCCAGTGAGTTCCGTCTCACGACTTCCATCACATACTGTACCCTTACATTTGGTTTGAATCGGATTCTACATCTGAATCAGAAGAGTCGCTGCTGCTGCTACTCTCATCGTCCGAGACATCAGTGCGGCGTTTGCGGTTGCGGGCTCGCGGTTTCGGGAGCGGGGCTGGAAGGTCGTCGTCGTCGAATACAAGTCGCGTTCCGGCTCCTTTGGACACGATCGTCTTCGGGACTGCGTTAGGTGCATACATGTAAGGGACGACTGGGGCAGGCCTCTGTGCCAGAGGTGAAACTGAAACTGTAGGTCATCTGTTAGCATAATACTCAAACAAAAGCACCAGAAAATACTGGAAACTGGGTGCGAGTGGAAAGTTGCTCGTGAAAACGTCGTCTGGGGTGGCTCACGCCGCATATTCCCGAATTCCGAAAATGCGTCGAAGCACACCAAACATTGGCAGAAAAGTGTACGCATATTCAGAACAAAGCAGTGTAGTCCCAAGAATCAAGGGGCGAGATAGGTGACAAAACAGAACACTGGTAGATGGAAGCGTCAAAGGGTACTTACGATAGTGTTCAACATGCACAGGATGGAGTCTGGAGGGCGAGGGCTTAGATGCTTTCAGCGGAGCTGGAGCTGCAGTGCCGGCCTCAAGTGCCTCCAGGATCTCTTGCGCGCGCTGGTGTGTCAGTTGCTTCTTCGGTTTTGGGCCTGCCATCTCTGGAAGCTGGTGCCCTGCATCGAGAAACCGCTTCGTGCGCTTGAGGGTCTTGATCAGGGCCGCGTCTTGGGCGGCTTTGCGAGCCTCTCGGTCATCGAGGATCTCCATGTCTTCGACCTCGTCAGCCTCACCAGTTTCTTTGAGAATAGCAGTGGCTGCTTCGTGCAATCGATCACGAGCCGCCGCACCTTGCAGTCCGGTGATGTACTCTTTTAAGGCGGGAGAGTACTCAGGTGGAATGCGGTAGACGTTCAGAGCATCTCTGAGCAGGTTGCTCTGGGTTGCTTTGTTGAACTTCCAGGTTTCACGTGAGGTGTGGTAGCGAGTGAGGTAGTTAAGGTAAGCAGCTGACTCTGTGTTATTCGCTGCTGCCTTCGTCGCTTTCTTTGCTGCTTTGAGCTCGGCTTTCGACGGTTTGGAAGGCTCTTCGGATGATGCCTTGACTGACTTTTCTTCCACGTCGTGTGGTGTTGTGGCGGATTTGTTCAGTTTGGTCTTCTCTATCTTTTCAGCCTTCTTGGCTTCTTTCTTGTTGGGCTTCTCAGATGGGGGAAGGTCGTTGGCTGGGTGTAGTTTCGGAGGTGGAGTGAACTGAGCTACTTCGGACGGAGTGAAGTCGGCCGATGGTCCTTTCTGCTGCGCTGCCCAGGCCTTGAACAGCTCCGAAGCACTGTTGCCGTCCACGGTCTTAGTGTCCGGGGTGAAGGTGACTGACTTCCGTCGAGTGAGAGTTGGAGTGAGTTCTATCGAGGTCCTGTGTGTATCTGGTGTCTTCTTGAGTTTGGATAATTTCTTGGTATCGTTTATTCCAGCAACCACGTGATAGTGACCAGTCTCGGTAGATTGACGTAGAGTGTCCTGATCACTGTCCGAACTGACACTCTTGACTTCATTAGGTGAGGTTTCATCGCCATTGCTGTAATTGAGCCTAGCAGTGATCGCTGGTCCATGACCTTCTGACGAAATACGACGTTTCTTTGGTACTGAATCTAGATTCTTCCCCTTTTTGCTTCGATAGTTCGGGTCTCCACGAGGCTTACTGTCTTGCTCTGCGATGCTAGTTGACGGGTTCGTGACTGCTATCTCTTGTACAGCTGGGGAAGCTGCCGGCAAGTCGTTCAGCCCCACGCTCTTCTCTTTCAGTCGCTTCTTAGATGGCTTCTCGTCATCTCCGAGAATGCTGCTCTCAGCCTTCCTTTTGCCCAATTTGGCCGGACTCTGCCCGTCGCTGGCGGCATCTTGGAGTACAGGTGGCCCAGTAGATGCACTCGAGGGTTGGTTCTCAAAGCTCCCTTCTTGCCTCGCCTCGACAGCCGCGTATACTGCTGGGTAATGGGTCGGCTCTTCCGGTGGCTGCTGATTTTTCAATTGAAGGCCCAGTCTCTTCCAGGCCGGTACACGAACAGGTGCTGGGGTAGTCGAGGCCATTTTCTAGGCTCGAAATGGAATGTGGTTGAATTCAAAGACGGTCGCGCATATCCGTGTCAGCTCTCGAGTCAGTATGGAGTTCTGGAAAGGCGAGGGTAGCGTGATAAAGGAATTGTGCGTTCTGCGTTGTCGTTGGCTGCCAGAAAATTTATGCCTAAAGTGTGGCGGTGCGCTCAGCCTTGGCACGGCTTCACCGCCCTGGCAGGCAGTAGAGCATACGCAGACGAGGAACTCAAGATCGTCAAGTTTACCAACAAGCCGCCCTCACTCCTCTCTCCATCACCCTGGTGCTGACATCTAATTTCCTGGCCCTGCCGACCAAGCTGAAGCAGCACCCGCAAGACATCAGCACTTATAGCCCATCATGTCCGGCACGTTCACCTCCCCGTTGAAGCTCCATCTCAAGCTCCCCAGCTAACAGCTCTCTGCCTTAATAGGAAGTGCGGGCTATGACCGACACATTACCATCTTCTCCGACCAAGGCCGGTTATATCAAGTTGGTATGTTACATTCTCATATAGTCTGGCTGTGCCGCTGGTGTCGTTGCACGCTGCAGTTGGGACGCGCTCCGCCAGCATCACAACAGCTCACCATGCACCTCTACAGAATATGCCTTCAAGGCCATCACGGCAGCGAACATCACGTCCGTAGGAGTCAAGGGCAAGAGCTGTGCTGTGGTCATCTCACAGAAGAAAGTTCCAGTGCGTATATTCCATCGGTAGGCGGGTGGCTCAGCTGCTGATGGCATGCCAGGACAAACTCATCGACCCCTCCTCCGTGTCGTACATCTACAAACTCTCACCGTCGGTTGGATGTGTCATGACAGGGTCGATTGCAGATGCCCGAGCATCGGTCAATCGGGCACGAGGTGAAGCTGCTGAGTTCAGATACAAGTTTGGATACGAGATGCCCTGCGACGCGTTGGCGAAGCGGATAGCCAACATCAGCCAGGTCTACACACAGCGCGTAAGCAAAGCTACGCCGCTGATATACGTATCCCCTATGCGACTCTGACATGGTGCTAGGCGTACATGCGTCCCCTCGGTGTCGCGACGACGCTCATCTCAGTGGACTCGGAACTCGGCCCCCAACTCTTCAAGTGCGATCCGGCTGGCTACTACGTGGGCTACAAGGCGACAGCGTCTGGCCCCAAGACGCAGGAGGCTCTGAACTTCCTTGAGAAGAAGCTGAAGAACAAGGATTACGCCGAGGGCGATTGGGAGGAGGTGGTGGAGCTCGGAATTGCGACGCTCAGCACCGTCCTGAGCGTTGATTTCAAGAAGGGCGAATTGGAGGTCGGCATCGTGGGCGGACCGCGGGCGGACGGCAAGGAAGGCACCGAGACCGAATTCCGGGCCCTGACAGAGGACGAGATTGACGAACGGCTGCAAGCCATTGCCGACAAGGACTGAGCGAGGTGCGCTGAGATGGGGACGGCGAGGCTGGCATGCAGGGTTGTAGTGGAGGACCGTTTGGCCGGCTCCGGGGGCGTCTGGTGCGGCGTCTGGTGCAGCGTCTCCAGCTGTGACGAACGCAATGCAAGGGCAATTTTGGGATGCTCCCCTGCATAAGCGTAGCGTGATCTGGGATCGGGGAAAGAGGACTGGGAGCGGTTCAGAGGGTGTTCTCAGCCGCGACGATGGTGAGAGTTTGTATGTCGCTAGTCCTTCTACTGAGCTCAATTCCAGCCGTCGTCCTAGGATCTCACTACCACACTCACAAGCCCCCCAGGATGCGCCGTCTGAAGGGCTCGCCACAGTTGCGGGATCTTCAAATCGTTTTATTCGAACTGATCAGTCCGTGTTGGAGCAGGTCAGACAGAAGCAACCCAATGGATGCAGGTATCTAACTGCCAGTTCTCATCAGACAGCGGTCAGAGAGCACAGCACTCTACCTGCACGCATCTACAGGACCAGCTGCAGTTGTCCGCACCAGCAGCCGCGTCAAATGTCCGCACCAATCGTTTTACGCTCTCGGTCACCAGCTAGTCAGTTCCCACTACGATTACCAGCTGCGACGGTCCCCGCTATTACTACCGCACAGCAAGCTGCAGCTTCTACTGGCACCGCATAGAGCCGCACAGCCTTATGTGGCGCGGCTGTTGTTTTTAGTTTTCCACTGGGCTCGCCAATCATGTGCGGGCTATCGTGTCCGCTGCGGCTGGGATTAAAATATTAACCGCTTACGGGGAACGCTTGGACGGTGGCGTCTCGGAGGCTTGCGTAGGAAACCATTGGCGGCCGTGAATGGTACCATCCAGCTCACTGCCATAGCAAGGCCGTTGCTTTTCACTAATTGTGCCAGTAAGGTTGCTGTGATGCAACTGTTGCGCCTTATCGTCAGACCCCTTTCTGCCTGATCCCTTGCAATGCTGAAGAACAGTCCCCAGCTGGCATCCTTTCACGGCTGTAGTAGTGGGACTCGGTAAACACTGGCGGCGGGAGTAGCCCTAAGTGATTGAGCCTGATCCGGGGCCTTAACACCAGAACACCTTCAGGAACACTGCTTAAGCCTCTTTATAAACACCACTGCAAGCCTCCAGAGAGCACCCAGCATCACTTCGAGACCGCAGTACTACGCCTGTTCCCTTCTCTTCGTCTTTGCACACTCTGTTCCCTTCTCACCACTCTTATTTCCTACCTAATTCTAATCCCACAATGGCCGACGGACGTAAGGCTCTCCCTGCTTTGCACTCTCCCTGAGTCCCATCAATCACCGCAGTATCAGTGAAGGGAGGCGGCATCATCTCTACAGAACGCTTGCTAAGATTGCTCTCCTGCTAGTCAACGATGCCCGCGCTATGCGTGTCGCCGAGATCATGTCCGACTTCCGCAACTTGCAAAACTACATTGCTCAGATACGGGCCACACCCACCGCAGAGGAGTACTATCTCGAGGGCTATGCTCTTCTGCGACAGTGTGCGACCGAAGCCCAGGCGGTTCTTTCGGCGCCCTTCGCCGCGTCAACCTCGTCACCAGACGGCAACCCGGAGAGAGAGAAGGCCCAGTTGAGATCGTAAGACACTGCCCTTCGTCATCTACCGCACTCTTTAGATGAGCAGACTACCCGCTTGTTGAGATCCGGTGCCGAAGTGACGGACGCTGTGTGTTGGTGGAGCGCCCAGGCTGACGAGAACTTCAAACGCAGCATCATTCTAGACTCCGCCATCCGTCGATTCCAGTGTCAGAGGGCGTATCTTCGTGCCCACGCTGCGCTGAGGTGGATGAACTCTCGAAATGCCATCTTGCGAGGCCAGAAAGCTCACGCCGGCCACTTTCAAGCTTTGCAAGCCATTGATAACACTCTTCGGGTGGTACGTACTCTCTAAAAGCCACCATTCATCACTTATATCGATGGGAATGATGCGACACTACGATCATCTGAGCTTTACTGATGGTGGTTGACGATAGGAGCTCGCTGGCATCACTGACCAGCACGTCGACTATACTCTCCGATCGCAGGACGCAATGCAAGGCAAATGGCTAGCCGAAGATCCAGCACTAGTTACGATCCAGCAGATCCTCGCAGCACGACAATAAGACCTACATATTGAATTATGAGCAAACGGCCGGTCTAATGGTTCCTTCTCGACTTCAAAAGCTCCGAGGACCGCTTTCCCTTCATCTTATCGGCAGTTGACAATACCCTCATACCCCCAATACCTTCGTCGTCCCTTTTCCTTTGCCTCGCCTAGGCCGCCAAGTCCTGGAGACTAGTCCGCCAGTGGCGTTTGCAGAACGACTTCGACTCTTCTTTAGCGCGCTGTTTCCTTCGATTCGACCGCTTCTCCGCACAGCTGTTGAGCAGCACGGGATATTATCATACAAAACCCACAAACATTTTGCTGTTACACTCTTTCCAATGAGAGTCGGAGCGATTATGTGGGCTTTCTGGATGGCGCCGGGTGGCGCAGAAGTCTGAGACATACCGTTTATTGTTTCTGACCCATACCGTTTTCTTATCTTCCCTTGGCTTGGATCACATTCACGGCAATTCGAATGCATGGACCTTCTCTATACCACAAAAGCACGGCTGGGAATCATTGGGATAGCTATTAGGGCTTTTGAGCGTTATATGGCATTTGCATGGGCATAGGATCTATTTTTGCTTTCTTTCGTTGGTTTGGATCATCTCCCACGGATTACGGTCCTTTTGCTACTAGATGGCTGGTAGGTACGCACGATAGAGCTTGGGAATACACACACAATCTCAACTCCGGATACTCATTTGCTCCCTTGTTGCCTCCCGTACACACAATCGCGACGTGTCCACTTTCCTTCACACACAAAAACCTCACTTGTCCTGGCGCGCTTGAGTCAACGATAGGACCATTTCCCAGTCCTCAAAGCCCCAGATGATCCAGCAATTCAAGTCCCACGGAGTAGAGATCCGGATCAGGTACAGGCGAAGTTGCGATTGCGCTACTGGGGCCAGTATAGCGCCAAAGTCGGTATCAGACCACGCTCGCATCCGATCAAATGCTGTTCTGTCTGTCGCAGCAAGAACGCTTGGAAAGCGCATCCTCCTGAGTTCAATAGAGAACCGATTGAGTGGATTGCTACCTTATTCACACACCCCCGGCACGACTTGCACGAGTTCGAAGTGATTTTCCACGTGGCTCGCTGCAGCTGATGCAGAGTGCAGCTACCGTTAGTCCGACGTTCGGAGTCTCCGGGAGCCATGGGACCAATCGTGCAATGCGCTAATCAAGCCTCCTCCCACACCTCCTCCTCTTTTTCATGGCCATACAAGACCAAAATATGATCGCCGTTGCCGCCGCCCTGATAGAGGTACAGCACAGCCTCCCTTGGCGTCCGGTGGTCACTCTCTAACATCAACCCAGCAACTCACCGTATAAGGGAGCAGCTCCGGGGCGCCTTTAGGGGGGAATAGCAACCTTGTAGCCGATCAATCCTTAAGCCGGCTAAATACTAGCCGAGAAAAGATGCATATCAGGATCGACTCACTTCAGCGCAGACCACCACGTGAAGAGAGGCTGTACAGCATCTCTTCACGTCCGGTGAACATAGCGCTAAGCTGAGTCAATCCTGGTATACCTCTTTTCTGGGCTAGTACTTAACCGGCTTGAGGATTGATTGGCTAGAACGTTGCTATTCCCCCCTAAAGGCGTCCGGAGTTGCTCCCTTATACGGTAAGTCTGTGGCTTGATATTAGAGAGTGACCACCGGACGTAAAGAGATGCTGTATCGTGATGTCGCGTGGGGTGCACGTGTGGATGTACAAAGGTACAGTACAGCGGCGAGAAGGGGAGGGGGGCGTTTGGCGCCTGCTCTCTGGCTACCCCACCATCTTCGCAACGTTATTTCCGCCAAACGGAACGAGGGGGTGTTGATAGCTCTAATCTTCGCCGGGCCTGTAGAACAGCCGAAGTGAAGGGCGGAGATGCCGTCTACGCGCGTCGTTGAATTTTCTCTACTTGTCGTCACATCCTCACGAATTGGCATCATAGGTACCTTGGTACCCGATCTCAGACTGTTCAGCCCAAGAGCAGGACCCAATCAACCCCTCTATCCCCATCCCGCCGCCACCTACCTCACCGCCCCTCAGCCCTCTCAATTCGGAGAGGTTCACCCAAGGCCCCGAGCTCCCCGCCCCCCTCCCCTCCACGATCTGACCATACCTATCATCGGACCCGGTGTCCTGGCACCGGACTCGCGCCTATTTACTCTCCGGCCTTGGTAGTTGGAGCCGAATCACCGAGCTGAAACCGCGCCGCTTTTGGCATGGATGCGTCAGGGCGTCCTCAGCTGGGCCGGGGTGTGACAGTCACCGGCGTGCTCAGCTTGAAATACTCGACCATTGGGAACTTAAGATTGGGGGTATAGTAGCAGTATGTAGTCATTTCGGAGATTGTGTCATGGGATTAGGTATATCTGGGTGGGGGGAAGGTGAGGGTCGCCGCGGCGTCTCGTCAAAAGTCTATAGATATCTGTGCGATTTGCTTGACAGTGCGTGTAGTGCTTCAACGTCCTCAGAGAAATCCGGGGGAGTAGGTTCGTTCGTGCGATCCAAGTCACTTCGTTGGACGGATGGCAGATACAGCGCCGTGCTCAAAGTCGGACACAGTTGCTAGCCACCGTCGGAGGTGCTTCGGCGCATTCTAAAAGTTTTGAGGAGACATGAAGTTCCTGAGGGCTTGAATCAGAGACATTTCACATGCTAACAATCGGCCTGCTTGCCGCTGTTTGTGGTGCTTCACCACCTCATCATAAATCAGGACGAGACGAGAATTACGGCGTGCCCGAACTTGTGTCCTAGTACTGTAAGGGACTTCATGCAGAGTTTTCAAGACCCAAGCACGATGTCTGGTCTAATCATAATATCTTTCCTATTTCATGCGACAGGTATCTGAGTGTTGGCATCAGGGTACGGCCATTTGCATTCCGGTAGGGGGAATACTGGGCATTTCCTTGTGTCATTTGATTTGGTTCAACGATCCATCTAGTGTCATAGTTTTGGAATGCTGTTGGACAGGGAATAGGTCATTTTACATAGGTCTGGATTGAATTGTAAACCATTAGGTTACGGCCCCCAACTTCAACGCCATTTTCCCAATGCACCAGCACGCACCCAAGAAACCCACGTGAAATTCAGTTCCCACCTACCCTTTCCCTTTTCCCTTTTCGACTCCAGCCTCTGATGAGCCGGGCTTCGGGGTCTCTTTCTTCTTCTCTGTTCTCCGCTTCCGCCTCGCTGGCTGATACACATCATTGAAATTCATAACCATGGCCAGCCACCTCATATCATGATCAGGCTGGTGATACAAATCGCCTAGCAAAACATTGACCCTACTTCTGAATTCCACCAGCAAATTCCCAAGTCGGATACGTAGTGCAGGCAGCACGTCGTCCTCGTTGCCGCCTGCGGGCTGCATGATAGGGAAAGGAGAATCTGTATCGGCAGATCTAGGTTTGCGACCCTTGGTGGCGCCAGGCGTAGCGTCGTTGTCGAGCGCGTCCTTCTCTGATATGCCCCATCGGCCTTCTGCGGTGCGTGTCTCAATCTTCGCGCTGATTTCCTGCCGCCGGGTGAACTCTGCGACAGAGAAGGAATATAAGCCGTCTACTGCGTCCTTGTAGGCAAGCATGATCTTCAACAGCTCGTGTAGCTGGCTCGTGAAGTCCACGTGCTGGCTACCCAGCAGGCCTTTCCTCGTAATGCTCGTGAGGTACTTAGCGTGGGCCTCGATGAGATCGTCCAGGGTGCTCTCAGGCTTGCGCAACGCTTCCTGGAGGTCATTCCAAGACGACTCGATGACTTCAAAGAGAATGTAGTATTGCAATTGGTTGACGAAATGGATCATCTCTGCAACGGCGCACCGAGCTTTCTTCCAATCAGTACCAACCTTGTCGGACACGGTCCCAAGAACACCACGGGCGCCTGTCATGCAACGACGCCAGGTGGAGCCAAGTGCGAATTCGACGCGCTTGACGCGCCAAAGGAAATTGAAAACTTTGAGGTATTGCTTCGAGCCGAATGGGGTTACGATGACGTCGACTGGAGCGTCAATCTTGTATTCGAGAGTGAAGACGTCCCAGCCGATCTCGCCGTGCGAAAGCTCCAACATGCGGGAGTCGAGGCGTCGAAGAACGTCCGGAGAATCGTATTGGGCGTTTGAGTTGCGGACGGCATGTTCGAGTTGAGCAGTAAGGGTATGTCGGTATTGCGTGTTAGCTGGACGGTCGAGATTTGAGGATAGTGATTCCATGAGAACGGCGATGAAGTCCCCAGCGCCAAGGAGGATGTATTTCTTTAACGCCTGGAGATGTTCAAGAAGCTTGAATTTGTCGACCATCAGACTGATGAGACGCGCCATTGTCGTTTTATACGCTTCTCCGATTGAATGTTCGAGGCCGGCGGTGTCGCCATAGCGCAGCTCTTTCGATGCCTCTTTGGAGTAGCTTTCTACCCAAGCGGCATCCCCACACCCGTATCGGATGAAGTTCAAGCTCTTCCCGATCAAAAACACCTTATTCGCGAAATCTTCCGTAATGATGGTTGGAATCATGCGGTCGTCGAGTTTGTATTTGTCTTCCCAAACGCTGGTAGCACCACCTTTTTGACCGTCGCCGTTCGTGTTTGTGATTTCATCCTCGCTTTGCTCCGAGACAAAAAATTCGAGGTAAGGGTCAGCCAGCTCGCCGTCATAGATCCATTGTCGTAACATATCGTAGAAAGGTCGTGTCACGTGCGCAAGCAGTCGCTCAGCAAATGCTCCGACATAAGGGTCGCCATGCGTTAGTGAAAACGAATGAATCAACGAAATCAACTGCCCGCCCTTTTTGCCTTGACAGAGTCAGTGATACTCGATATGAAAATTGCCCCAAGAAGCTTACCTTTTGACTCTTCAACCATTAAACTCATTAATCGTAGTCCCATTGTGGGCTCTCTCGTCCAAATTACACAACGCTTAAGGGTTACGCCAGCTTTGCCAATTCCTTGCCGTGGCTGAGAAGCGTCTAGCATTGCAAGTGCCTGCCTGATTTGTCCCTCCAACGTGGCTACAAGACCAAGGTACGACCTCAGCTCTTTGCTCAGCGCTGACCGGAAACTTTGTCCCACCAATCCCCCCTCTGTCGACTCCACAAATTGCGATAGCCCACGGTATAGTAGCGATGGTTCGGCGAGGGTATGTAGTAGACTTATGAGGGGAACAGGAAGTGTGGTAGGAAGCTTGAGCGCTGCTGTTTCATGGTGGGAAAAAACCAAATTTGTAGAAGATAGACCTTGCAGGGTGAAAGGAAGATCGCGGAGCAGCGCTGGTTCGGTTGGGCTCATCGGTGGGTATCTCTGCTCACGTTGTGGTGACTCTTCGCGAGACTTATCCTTAATCCCATCCACTGCGGGCTTCTCCCGCCTTCTCTCCGCTTTTTCGTGATGTATTGGTGGCGGTCGGGGAGAGGGCTGAGGGGAGCCACCGTTCAGGGGGAGTCTTCGCAGTCCTGCATTCGAGAAGGCCTCGTTGAGAGAGGGGCTGTCAACGCTACCTTGTCGCTCGCCCCTAACTTTGTGCGGTGTGGATGGATTACGAGCCCGCTGCTCAACGTCGGCGGCAAGCGTATTGTGCGCGGCAGGAATTGTGGTGGATGGCATGCTTGAATCTGAGAGTTGGTATAGAAAGTAGAGCATCGCCCATTTCTGACTCAAGACCGGCTGCGTAATGAGTTTCGAGAAGAGATTCGAGAAATTGAGGGCTTTGTTCGGGCTCGAATTGTCTCTCACAACTGTAGAGTTCAGCGCCTATTGCCATAGATAGGATTGTGGTCCATACGTTTCCTCTTGATGAGGTCGGAGACGTGGTTGAGATCGGGTTCGACTGAGGGTTCCCCAGCACTAAGTCACAGTTAGAAAGGTTTCTTTCAATCGTATGTGTCTGCTTGCCTGCGTATCGCATCACTAGCGAAGTTGTAGGCATTGTCGAATCGCTCATCCGATTGCGCTTCATCTTCGTCGGGGTATGTGGGTAGGACGCGTTCAAGTAGCTGTGTTAACGCGTGTTCGACGCGATCCTCTCTTGCTTGTGACATCTGACTCTCGTACTATCATGACTGCAGCACGATAGAGAGGGAGAGACTCGACGCGTCCTCGCTGGCGGAGGTGAACTGTGGAGTTGTTGTCGAAGTTTGGCTTGGCAGGGAGGGGAGGAAGCCGACCCCGAAATTCTCCCCAATCACCACCACCTGTAAACACTCACTTCACCAAGACGGGGCTCTCAGCTTTGGGCCTAGTCTTAAACACATGACAGCTGGCCATCGAACACTCGCGACTCCAATGAATCGATCCATGGCTTCCTCCAACCCGATCCTTGTTCGTCATCCAACTTCTACGCTCAAATCATATCGAGCCATCTTAATGTACTTCCATTGATGCAAGCCCATGTTCTTCTGCAAGGTAGGACTAATAAGCATGTAGATCTAGTAAATACATCAAATTTGACATAAAAGTCGCTCTCTTCCCAAGGTTCTGAAGTGCTCCCAGTACAAAGTGGCACGGTGAAACGAAACGAACTCTTTCTTTGGTTATGTTTGGCGAGAGTCATAGAACTGCTTCCAGACATTTCGGAGTCGTAGGAGTCTACCGCGGTGGCATTGCAACCATCCCTCACCAATACTCAACATTCAGACCTCGAATTACTCATCGAACATGTACGGTACTAGGATATAAGCTTGTGTACTTACTTTCGCCCCTGAGCCTGAATCCTCTTACTGAAGTTTGACAACACGTTGACGCACCCCAAATAATGGCAACGTAGGCCGATCAGAGGCGTTTGATACCGCTCAAATTCGCACTTCCTAGACATTGCCATATAAGGGATCGAAGCACCCCAAACGGTGGCGAACAGGCGTGCACAGATTTCTGTCTAGGTGCTGTATCGTTAGTTGTACACTGTCTCGCGTCTTCTAAATATTACATCCTTTATCAGAGACTATACTGACGAGCCATCGCTCTACTCTATGACCCGACCGAAGCAATCGCTGATAGCCAGGCTCCCTTAAACAAAGAGAGGCAGTTCACGAATCTGTGATTTTATTTTGAGCCTTCATCTACCTTGGATACCCAAATTTTCTAGACTTGCCTAGTACCGCTTGAGGACCTCTGGTACGTTATTAGAAACTGTAAAAAGACGGTTCTGACAAGACTAATAGCTGTGCAGGCCACCTCAGGCGGTGCTGGGCTGTCACATTATGTTTAGCGGAGCTGACAGCCAGCTATCATCCCCTAGAATGCAGAGAATTGCGCCCTGGCTGCGTTGCTCAGTGGCCCCCCTTTTGCTGATTTTCAATGTTGCTTGACACTGTCGGAGGTGGCTTCATGAGTTTCTAGATTGTTCAAAATGATGGCCTCGACCACGCTTCAGGACTTTGAAAGCCTGTTGAAGAACTTCTGACAATGGCAACACGGTCCGGCCAGCACTCCAAACGTAGTTTGTCACAGCATTCAGTACTAGGAAAAGAAATTGCCTTACACGTTACTGACAGCGCTTGTGGTGCTTCGAAAGACCTTCGCCGATTCAAAACCTGTTCAAATCTATCCTTTTGACAATCCTGAAACATTATCGAGCAACCTCAGGCGGTGGCAAAAAGCTGTACACGGATCGGACTTGTGGTCCGTTATTCCAGGGCCTTAATAGTACTTTGACACACCACAGGCGGTGTCAAAAGGTGTAAGGAAAATTATGTCCTAGTACTGTAGAAACAGATCCCGAGCTCTGCATCCTCCATGTCCTTTCAACCCCATTTCCTCCAGTACTCCTAGTCACCAGAAGTGAGGTTACATTGAGTATAAATTAAAGCCTCGTCCCATCCCTGCTCAATCTCTCTTACATTCCACTCCTCCCAACACTCTCATCCCTCCAAAGTGAGGTTCGTCCGATACAAATTGACACCTTGACCTCGGTCTCCTCCATCTCTTTTATACTCCACTACCTCCAACATTCCCGGCCCCTTCGAAGTGAGGTCTGGTCCGGTATAAATCAGACACTCGAACTCCGTCCTCTCCATCTCTTTTACACTCCACTCTCTTCAGCTTACTTGGTCCCTCCCCAGTGAAGTTTGTCCGGAATAAATCCAGAGGCCGACCCCCGTCTTGTCCAGCTTCTTTACACTCCACGTTCTTTAGCACTGTGAAGTGAGGTTTCGTCCGATACAAATCGACACTTCGGCCTCAGACTCCTCCGTCACCTTTACACTCCACTTTTCTATCATCTTACACTTCATCTGATTCCAACTTTCCTCAGTCAACACGAAGGACCAACTTAATGGGGTCCGAGACTCCATACACCATGTCCCACACACCCGATTTCAGGATGACGGTGGAACGTCCCGGCCGCGACTCACCGTCGCCAGATAGTCAGGGGTGAGTGCTTATTGTTCGAGGAAGCTCATCATTTTGGACGTCTAGTAAGCTCGTGAGGCGACCCCAGGTAACGGCAGACGGGCATAGACACTTACCAATGAGCGTGGGTTATTCTCGGCAAGTGTGCGCGCGCTTCTGGCACTGCCTAGGGTGGCCTCACGAGCCTACTGGTTGTCCAAAATGATGAGCTTCCACCCCCGATTCAGACTCAGAGAGAATGCTAACCTATCCTAGCTACCTTTACGTCACGCCTTTCCACCTCGAGTGTGGCGCCGAGAAAAAGCGACTTATGGTCCACAAGGAGCTCATGTGCTCCGCCAGTCCCTACATCAAGGATCTATGCGACAAGGCCAAGCCACTGAGGGGCTCGTCCGAAAATCTCGCTGGGCTTTCCCGTTTCTTCGAAGAGTCTCTGAAGGAAGGAAATGCCGCTGGAATCAATACAATAGTAATGCACTTTGGCACTAATAATCAATCTCTACTGACTCATATATTGTAGCGCGTCAAGATGCTCATCAACGTTTGGAACGGCAAGTACGATGTCAGTGCAAACCACAAGAAGGACCTGAGGGCCCTCATAAAGAATCAAACGAACTCAGCGTACATGAACAACAAGATGAGGGATACAAAGAATGCACCAGAAGGGGTCGCCGCGACCAATCCCGGACAGGATAATATTCCTGATCGCTTGTGGCTTCTCAAGGCCGTTGCAGTCAGGAAAGTAGCTGAGGCCCTTCACGATGCATTGAAGACAGTCAAGAGAGCGGAGTCCGAGTCAATCGCCAAGAATCCTCTTCACGCCGTCGCCAACGACACTTTGGTTCTGGAAGACATCGATTCCGCAACCGTCCAGCATTTGATCCAGTACATCTATCAGGGCACCCTCCAGGACAAGACCAGCGTGCTACGCATGTGCGAGCTCTACTCTCTGGCTCACAAATTCCGCATGGAGGCACTCCAGGAGGTCGTCATGACTCGTATCATCACCTGCATCGTGAACGATGTTGAGGTCTCCGCTCCAGACCTGAAAATCGAGGCTCCCACGTCGCAAACCTCCGAGCATCCAACACCAGCCCCGCAGATCTCACCGTTGTACCCGCCTCTTGCTATAGTCTTACAATACGTCTTCGTAACGCCTACAGCACCATGGGAACTGCGCAACCTAGTCGTCGAGACTCTGGCGTGGTGCGCCAAGCCATCTGACCTTTTGGCCATCTGGGGCAAACTTAATCGGAAGATGGCTCTAATGCTGGCTCATGCTGTCATGGAGCGCCTGACAGACGTGAGACTTGCCGGCGTCGAACTGAGTCTGATGGAGCGATTGAAGCGCGCTGACGAGAAGATGGCGAACGAGGCCGCGAATTGAGCGCTTCGGATGGAGGGTTTGCGCGATGATATATGGCATGGGGGCACCCCTGACGCTGCCAACTAGGGTTAAGCATTTCTGAAGTTCTGGGCTTGCGTCTCAGCATGGAAGCACAGATGTTTTGCACAGTTGGAGCAGGCCTTGAGGCACCCTGGGCTGCCGCATGAACTGGGAAGGCTTGGGTTTGTCTTTTTGCGCCTAATTTTTGAGGCTATTTCATTTCAGCGTGGGATCTTGGCATTTTGCACATTGGATTGGATCTCGAGGCATCCCAGGCAGCTCGATGCATTTGGAAGGTTTGGTTTTCTATAGGTCTCATTCACGAAGGCATATCACGGCGTTTAGACCGCGGCCTTCATTTCAGCTATGCCGGCGGAGGATTTTGCGCAGTTGGACTGGTCCTCGGCTCACCCCAGCCGCTGCATCAGATCTGCAAATTCAAGCGTTTCTAAACCTCATCTGCGATGGATACGTTTACCGGTCTTATTTTCATCTTTATTTCTTTAGGAAAAGTCTAGGTATATATATAGATTACTCTAGGGAACCCCAGGGGTGGTACGGCTTTACAAAAATAACACCTCCTTCAACTCGATATACAGCGCAATGCCACAATGCTAAGCTCGCATCTACAACTCCGCCATCACAAGCGCAAACTCCGACATATCGGGTGGCGGCTTGTCTACCTTCACCTTCAATTTCCTATTGAAGTACGCGCCCCGATTATCCACAAACAGGTCACTACTCAGCTTCCTCATCCGCCGAACCTCGTCGTCGCTCACTCCTACCTCATCCTGCGGGATCCACACGCTCGGTTTCGTCTGCCGCATAATCGGATGCGTAAACGCCACGGATAGGAGGATGTCACGCTCCTCGGGCTCGAGGTCCTCCAGCTCGTCGTTATGCTGCATAATGATCTTCGAGATGGGGTCGTTCATCATCTGGGCCTCGATGTCCTTGCGACGCGGTATGAGGACGTTACCGACGCGCTCTTCGACTTGCGCGAGGTCGTTCTCAAGCTGTGCGAGACGAGTCTCGTTAAGAGGCCGGTTGAGGCGCGCGAGGATGTGCTTCGCGGATTCGCGGTCGGCGCGTTGTTGGTCTTGCATGTCTTGTGCGCGGGGAAGGGCGGCTGTGTAATTGGAGCGGAAGGTCGACGTTCTTCTTCCCAGTTTCAGGTCTGGACTGAGATCTGCGTCGGAATTTCGATGTCGTTGTGGTGGTGGGTGAAGCTCGGTTTTGCTGGAGGGAGAGTCAATCGGAATCTTTTCGCTTGAGCCTAGTTCCTTGTCGCTGCTCAGAGCGGGTTGATCGATTGCTTCAGGCGCTGTGGTTAGGCGTTCCATTTCAATATCCTCATCCCGTTTCGCTGCCTCTGACAACTGGCGGACTGGAGCGAATTTGAAGAGACCGTTAAAGTTTGTGGTGAGCCAGATCTGGTAGAAGATGGTGAATACTAGAACAACTGCCATGATGATACCTTGAGCTTCACACGCAAGGTTGCCCTTTCTATTGCGCACCAAGAAGAAGAGACCGATGAGGCAGATCTCCATGAAGTAGAGACCGGTGAAGAGCTGATTGATGGCACTTGGAAAGAACAGTCCGCCGCCGTCTACGTTTCCAGTTCGGATGACGTACAAGATATTGTTCTTAATCACAAACCAGAAGAGACTGAACGTGATGATCATGAAGATTAGCATCAGCGGCGCGATTACTGAGTAAACGAGACCTGAATGGTGTTAGCCAAGGCCTTCGATCTCAAAGAAATTATTTACCTATAACCGCAAAGGTTGTGTACCACGGAATGTTTGATCCTATGCGAGTTCGGTTGGTCCATGAAAGCTTCTCGAATACGCTGTCCGGAGTATTGACGCCACCGATGACATAGAAGTTAAACAAGCGGATAGTTTGCAGTATCGAACTGGCGCTGATGGAAAGCGCTTGCAGGATCAAGAATGAGAAGAAGTAGTTTGATGCGGTGGGTAAGTCCTGGGCCAGGATTTCCGGAACCGACATGGTATTTGAGATGATTGTGTTCACAATCGAAGTCAACCCGGCAGAAATTGTGGGTATGAGGAAAATTTCGATTACCAGGAAGATGAAGTACCATAATTGAAGTGAACGCTCGCCCTGTGAGCCAGTTGTGGCGCCTCTGGTGCTGTTGGTAAGCGCTCGGAGTATTATTGGAAGCGGTCCACTCAAAAGGATGACTTGAATGACTGGTGGTAGGGTACCCTGTATGAAGGAGAGTAGCCACGGAGGCAAGTCTCCGATCCAGCGTAACCAATGATATGAGTTTGACAGCGTCGAGGCTTTGGATAGAATACCAGTAGCAAAAGAAATGATACCAAACACTAGTATTAGGAGAGCGAAGATCAAGATGAACGCAGCTAGGCGTAGATATCGGCCTCTCCAAGACAAATTCAAGGCCGCCCAATTGATGTCTGCTGGTGAGATCTCAACTGTGCGGTTTGTCATCTGTCTTGGGCGAATGTCGGCGACAGCTTGGCAAGCGAGATGAGCCGCCTTCTGATTGTTGAACTGTATAAAAGCCGACTGGTTGTGGGAATAAGATTCCGGGAGATCGACCTCATTCTCGATTTCTTTATTCAGGCGAGCAAGTTCCCTGCGACAGTAGTAGATAGTGTCGACCTTAGTAGAGAAGAATCGCCCAATCAGAGGAATCTTGAATGCCGCCGTGTGATTGCCTTTCGGTATTCTCATGGATTCTCGTTGTTTTGGGCCCAGGTATTGCGTCCAAGCAGCTTTCGTTTCCATATCATACTCAAGATCAGTCTGGCAAGCTACTGGGGTTGTGGCGCTATCAATATTTTCCTGTAGTGCACGCTGAGACTGAGCAGACTCTACTCGACCTGAGTCTGATGGAGATCGTATTGATTGGACATCCATCTCCAATGGCTCTGTAGGTGTCGGAGCGGAATCGTTCAATGCTCCTCTCGCCTTCCTCTTCTGTTGCTTGCGATAGCTTTTGACCACTTTCCGTAGTAAGTTCGTCTCCGCGTTCTCCAGACGGGATTCGAATGACTTGCGAACCTCGTCCTTACTAACAAGAGCACTGAAGTCGCGATTGATCCAGATTCTGCGTATACCACCAGGAAAGTCGTCATACAGCTCGGTGAGCGCCTCCGGGCTACAGAGATCTTCGGGAATGTCCGTGATGAGAACTGTGGTACTCGACGCTTTTAGTCGATGACTCGGGCTCCCAAGAAACTCTTGACGCTTGCGAATGTAATGATAAAGCTCTTTGTAGAAAATGTAGCCGACCCATACCACCACAATCACTGCCAGAACCAAATGCGCCCAGTAACGCGAGGTATGCTCTGGAGACACATTCGACCAAGCAAGCGTATCCTATTTTTGGGTTCAGTTTTCATGGAACAGAGAGAATGTTAGAGTAACTAACCAGGCCGGTAACGTTGAAGTGGTTATTGCCATCGATCCTCGTACCCTTCCCAGAAACGTAATTCAGAGGTATTAAAATCGGTATAATCACCAGCGCCATCGGGAAGAAAATCTTTAGGCACATGGACAGATACCGAAGAAAGAAGTACGCGTCCATGCCCGCCTTCCGCAGAACTTCCGGGTCCTCCTCGATCTTGAAAACGGTCACAAGCCATTTCAAAGGATTGTTTGGCGGTGGCTTGACTCTGTCTTTGAGTGGTATCAGGAAAGATCTTGGTTGGCTAACAGTCGATTAGCAGCCTGACGATAAGGGGGGCAGTGCTTCGTCATAAGTATATACACTGTCCTGACGCCGTTTGAGGCAGCCCTCTGAATACACAGATTGTTGGGTGACAGGCTTCCGTTTCATACAAGTGTTTTAAATGAGTCGAGACACCCAAAGCGTAGCAAATACGTATATATAGACCTATGGTACGGCCATTATCAAATTTGAGAAAGTCCAACTTACTAGATTCGCTTTGACCAGAGGTAATTCCTGAAGATGAGGAAGGCACCGAATTGCACGCCAAAGAGAACGAACCCAGCCGAGAGAGATATGAGAAACGTTTGGATAGTGGTGCCTACTTTGCCTTGGGCAGAGCCAGCTGAGCCGTCGATGATACTTGTTAGGTTCGTCATTCTGGGCTACACAGCACTCTGATTAACGTTGTATCGCGCGGAGTCGCGTCATCGCAATATACCGAGTCCGGGAGGGAAAAGTGTGTTGATGTCGGGTATTAAAGGAGATATTCGGAAGCGCAATCCATGAGAGAGAAAGGTATCTTGCAGGTCGAAGGTGCAGTCTGTTGTGGTGCCCAGTAAAGAAACCGTGGTGGGCGCTGCACGAGGTCTGGCCAATCTAGTGCCCATGTGACCCCTGAGTCCGGACATGACGTGGCGCCAAGACCGATGCGCTTTTGCTGCCCCTTCACACCTTTGGCTACGAGAGCGCCATGCAAAGAATCAGTGTTTGCTCAGTAGATTACATCCCAAAGTCGTCTATTTCATCACTACTAAGCGAGTGGCGTTCGTATAAAGACGAGGTGTTCTAAAGCACAAGGAAAGAGGTCTTCTTTGACTTTGACAGCTTTGGTGAGTTCTCGAATGTTAAGACAATTGTCCTCGCTCTTTGTGCTTAGGGCAGAGAATGATCTGGTGTTACATTCTACTATACTACCCAGTAAAGCGTTAATTCATATTACCAAGCCAGCTATGTGTCGCAGATTGTCATATCGAATGTTTTGCGCGGAATCATATCATCACGTGATATTAGGGGAATGTTCAACATGAGGCAATGAAGCAAGAGGTCTTCTACTCTTACTACACCAGCCCGTCTCTACTCTCCCTCTAGGATATTGGATCCATCAATATTTCTTTCGCTCACAGTGTCAACTATTGTGAGCCACTTTCCATGAAGCTTCACCTTGGTTTCGAATAAGTCAAGGCCACTGAGTTTGTGAACGCGCAGATCGAGCCACTTTCAGTCTGCAAACTTCTGGCAGGAAAATACCTCGAGGGATCTCAAGCGATTAGGCTGGGAGCGTGTATAGGCTGACGTCTACAGTATTTTAAATCGTCGATTGTACAACTGCATGACTCGCTCTCCACGTTGTCTCTTTGAAGCGGCAGCTTCTAGGCGTAAGAGACTGCTACAAGTCTCATAATGAGGTTCTCCTGTGGCATTCGGCTACCTGGAGATCAGGCGATCCGCGGAGTAACAAGGCAAGGAGAAATTACCAACGGATAGGTACGCATCATCAGTACAACCCTTCCTCTGAGATAAGGAGCATGTTAAGGAGGTTTACTAATTGACTAGAGTCATGGCCTCCAGAAGCAGGCTTATTATGTGATAGTTCAATATATATGTGGGCCGTTATTGTAGGAGATGGTATTGCTGGGTCAGGGTCATTCAATTCGCTTTGATTTCAATGCCCACTTTGGGAAATCAAACCAAATTGGGCTGATATCCGCTACCTAGTTCTCCAGCAGCGGCCGTACCAGCCAGACAGGTCAGACGGAAACAACATCAATCAAGGCTCCGCCATGACGAAAGGGCAGGCAGATGTGGCTTGCTGCAAGCCGGCGAGACTCCAGCAAGCTCCCTCGTGGCAAGGCGGGTGTCATGGCGGCGGCTGGGGATATGCTGCGGGCGCTGCTGAATCTGCACATGGAATCGGAGCACGAACGAGGCTGTGTGACAGAGGACGAACGACCGTTGGCCCTCCGCGCGGGACTGGAGTTCTTGGAATGAACAAACATCCCTTTCGTCCTACGCAGCTACTAGGCCCAGAGCTACCAGGTACCAGGTCGTATACATGCTCTTGCCCGTCTCTGGACGCGTTCGCGTGGCCCGCTTGATGGCGAGCTGGGGACTGCGCTGCTTGTGTCCCTCTGAGCTATCTCGGCCTAGCACCCGGAAGTCGCGTAGTCCGTGGATGGGGACTCGGGATCTCCAGATCGCGGATGAGCGTGCAAATGACACAACGGGGTTCATCGGCCTCAAGGGCCAGAGAACGTTTCGAGGGCGTCGATCGGGATTGTGGTAGTCGTCCAGGGGCCGCTTGGTCTGCACTCGCTGGCTTCTCTCAGCAAAACGTCCCCTCACTCTGCTCATCGACAACACCCCCCACATCTCCCATAGCGACAATTGCTCCGTGTTTCAACATCGCGATAGCAGCCTCCAGCCCACCTGAAACAGTGGCTTGGGCAACGGCCGAGAGAGGAATGTGGACTACCTGCTCCGAGTCGCCTTGTTGCACTCCACAGCTCAAACACGCGCACAGTACGACCTCAACCGTTGCTAGGCACGGTTCTGTTGCGTACTCAATATGGCACCATTCGGCCGGGAGGTAAGTGATACTCCTGCCGCGGCGGATTTGCAAGAGAGTGGGCAGGACGCTGAGCAGAGAAGCCATTCTAATGCCATCCATGCTGCCGGAGAGGCACAGACGAGCCAATGGAATGTGTCTATAGTCCTTTGTCATTTGCCCAAGCAGCAGCAGCATCGAGCTTCTAAGCCCTGGGGCGTTGTTTGAGCTACAAGTGGCGACCTCTGCAGATTCGCTCGCTTTTATACTCGCTCCGCATGTGGCTCCCTTGGACAGGTAGGTGACGCCGTGAAACAAGACGCCGCCCCTAAGCACCGCCGAACAGTCCTCCACCATAGTATCGGTAGTGAGTCCGCTCGAGACCTCATCACTATCTGGTATACGTCCCAGCGTCGCTCATGAATGGCCGCACGTGGGGAATAGACTCATCCATGCTTCTCCCAACGTCCCCCTCCGCACTTTCCTCGGTCACCACTTCTCCCCCAACAGCTATTTAGTATCAGCGCCTGATAAGACCAGGACCTGCTTTAATCAATGCTGTAGTTCTCTTTCGCTCCCTGTCACCGGTGCCAGGGCAATCAGTTCTTTTTCTTTGCCTGTATACTATTCGCTCGTTTCACACAGGTCCTCCACCGGCCGGCATGAACGACGACGAGTTTGAAGACTGGGCCGACCTGTACTATTCGTCGCGTTTTTCCATCGTGGTGAATGATGTACCCGATTACTTTCAGCACGTACCCCCTCCATATGGCATTTATCAGCCCGCTCATTATGGCCCGTCCTTCCCCAACAGACGCAGTCACTCATCGCCACCCACCTGCCTGCACAGTTTCGACTTCTTCCGACATAGGTCCACGTTCCATGAGCTTCAATTCCCTCCCTTGGCATACACCGTCAACATGTCAAACTACCACACAAGCGATGACTTCCACGTTTCCGATTGGAAGCACAACCCTTCGTCTTCCACTCGGGATCTAGAAGCTACTCATTCATCTGAAGGCAAAGCGCATGACCTCGGGACACTCGAATGGGTGCTCACTCCTCAATCTTCGCCTTTCACCATTGGCGAGGGTTCCCAATTCTTTGACGTGGACCTCTCCCCTCAACCCACGGCCCTGGATCCCGGAAGCGTCCCAGCCAAGCGTCAGTTCAAAATCATGCGCCATCTCAGGTACACCTGCTTCACGGTATACCGACGTCTGTTCTCGATTGTATTCCTCGCGAACGTCATTGCCACCGTGCTCGTTTTCATAAAGTATGGATACCGCAATGTGCCATCCTCAATCGTCACCACGGCCGCATCCGGAAACTTCTTCGTAGCAGTTCTTGTACGCCAAGATTTCTTCGTCAATATGCTTTACAGCACCTCTTGGCTGGTTCCCAGGACTGCTCCACTACGACTCAGGCGCCTGGTTGCCAAAGTCTACGAGAACGGTGGCGTACATAGCGGAGCTGCTGTCGCTGGTACGATGTGGTTCATTGTACTAAACATCATGATCACTGGCGGATTGGTCCGAGGCGAGGCCTTCAGCTCGACCGCGCTCTTCTGTTCCACGTGGGCACTCCAAGTAACGCTTTTAGTCATTCTTTTCTGTTCCCATCCGTATATTCGAGCCAGGACTCACAATACCTTCGAGTACACGCATCGGTTGGGCGGCTGGCTCGCCATTGTACTATTTTGGGTCGAATCCCTAATGATTATTGCAACCAAATGCAAGGCTCTCGGTGTCACGATAGCCTCGGTTCTCGTCCAACACCCGGCTTTCTGGCTACTCACCGCGACCACTGTCCTACTCATCCTTCCGTGGCTGCGTCTACGTCACTGGGAGTTCACGCCGGAGAAACTCTCGTCCCACGCTATGCGTCTCCACTACACCCAGAATCTCAAACGCTTTAGTTGTCTGTTCATCTCGGACTCGCCACTTCTACAATGGCACCCCTTCGCTACCTTTCCGGCTCGTGATAGGGAACCTGGTGGTTCTATGGTCATCTCTGACGCTGGCGATTGGACCCACAACCTCATCCTAAACCCAGCCAAGAAGTATTGGGTCAAGGGATTACCTACTTACGGAACCCTCAGCATGGCCTGCATCTTCCAGCGAGTTATCCTCGTCACTACCGGCTCTGGAATCGGCCCTAGCCTCGGATATCTTCTCGACCGTCCCGAAGGTCAGTTCTGTCGCCTCATCTGGAGTACCCGAACTCCGGTCCACACCTATGGCGCTGCTCTCAACGATTGGATCCACGAGATCGAGCCCAACGCCCTCGTCCTTGATACGAACAAGACCGGCCGCCCCGACCTCGTCCAGCTCGCCTACCAGATGTATATGTTGTACAAAGCGGAGGCCGTGTTCGTGCTCAGCAACGAGACCGTCACCCGCAAGGTTGTCTACGGCATGGAGAGCCGCGGCATTCCTGCCTACGGACCCATCTGGGACTCATAGGCAAGCAACGGCCCCGTGAGCCCACGCTTGTGCACATATCATCCTATACGACTCCTGTACACATGTACGACATGCGATTTTCGCAATCGAACGAAATGGCGGCGGCATTTGGCGGAATGTTCGATAATAACACTGTACATTCTCCTGTTCTCTGGCCACATCCGTCATTTGTATGGCTTGATCCGGAGCGATCATACTCTTTTGTAGGGACAGGTTGGTGGCGTCACGGAAACGGAGAACATCAACAGCATACATACTACATGGCGGTGGGGTTTAGGCGGAGAGATTGTCAGGTGTAGAACGCCTGGAGCAGGCTTAGAAACTCTGTGGAAACGGGCTACGACAATGGCGTTGGTAATGGCACCTATTTGTCAAAAGATTGTTTGATAATGTGTACGTGCTAGTGCTACAGAGTACGCTTTGCACATGTGCGTCACTCTTCGAAGTGCTTCCTCAAATGCTGAGGTATTGCCCCTTTCCGCTCTGGTCTTCTAGGACAGAATAATCGACGTTCGCCGGTCCGGTTGTTTTGCAGGTCACTTAGATCTATGTTGATACATCAATTCATTGCTGCAACGAACAAATTCATACAGTTCAGAATGAGTTTTGTGTGCTAATTTTACATATTTTCCGTACCAGCCAACTATGCACTAGTAAAGTTGTTTCCCGTGTGAAAGAAAAGACATGATAACACAAGCTCCGCTATCCCATCAGAGGTTTGGACACACCCTTCTACTACTGTTGGAATTGTCTCGATACAGTTCGAAGAACACACGCATCCAGCAGTGGCAAGAATGTGGACGCAGACCAAAGACAAGGACTTTGTAGTCAAGAAGAGGTGAGTGAAAGTATGGAGGAGAGGGTAATTCAGACCAAAACGCCAACGCTAAGAGCAAAACCTAGGACTTCCGAAATCGTACAAAGAGTGTTACCAACACGCTTGTCACATAGCCATGCGATACGCGCACCGTCTCCTCGTTTAATCTTCATGGTGGTCGCCAAGGTCCTCGATGGCCTGGCCACTCTCATTCTCCACCTTCTTGAACCCAGCCCCGTGATGCCCGTGTGTGACCATCTCTCTGTCCCTCCGCATCCCCTCCAGTACTCCCACCAACCCGCCCTCCCGCATCCGCTCCAACACAACTTTCATCCCCTCCATCGCATTCGGCTGGCTCCTCCGCGCCCGCTTCAAGCCAATCAGCTCAATCGAGCGCTGCAAACTCGCCGTACTCCAGCTCTTAAAAAATCCCACCTTCTGCGGCTGCTCCGCCTCCTCCTCGACAACCGCCTTCCCTGCTGCGGCCGCATCTTGCTCCGAATGAATCCCAGCCGCCGCCCGCCTCTTCTTCCACTGTCCTAGCCGCGATAATAGTATAACTGTGCTCTGCACATCCGTCCGCCCCGCCGCCTCCCCCTTCTCCAGAAAGCCATGCTTCTCCGCCGCCCCCTCGCACGACTTGAACGCCTGATCATCGGGCGGCGAGGCAGGCCGGCGGAACGTCTGCTTCTCGACCACGCTCAGCACGCCGGTCCACTCGAGGTTGCGGCTCTCGGCGTGCATGACGCCCTCCTTGACATCGACGGTGCTGGTCTCGAGGATGTAGCTCTGGGAGTCGCCGGCGGCGGAGGCGCCGAGGAGGGAGCGGGGGAGGAGTTTGAGGACGGCGGATGGGAGTTTCGAGCGCTTGAGATGCAGGCGGACGGTGGTGAGGCGCTGGGTGGCGGGGTCGAAGGAGCGCGAGATGGTGTCGGTGGAGAGGACGTGGGTGGAGTACGGGTTCGGGTAGCGCAGAAAGTAGGCGAGGGTCACGGCGGGGAATGGGTAGGAGTAGTCGTAGGTTGAGCTGTAGAATTTGACCATGGTGGCTGTTGGGCGGTATTAAGGTGGAGGAGGAGAGGTTGCGTGGGAGCTGTAGTAGTGGTACGAGAGGGGTTGAAGGATCGTCGGGGATGTTTAGGCCGAGGCGATGCGTCTAGGGTATTCAGGTTGTGGAGAAGCGCATTGTTTTGCTGCGGAAGCAAGCAGAGCTTCGGAAGCCGCAGCGATAGTGGTCGAAGATGGTTATTCGTGGGTGAAGGACGGGGAGTGAATGATGAGCGATGATGAATCGAGAAGAGCCTTGACGTCGCTGCTTGCTCGGCTGTACTTTCGCGCGATGGTCACGTGCAGCACTCAGGCAAACGATAGCTGTGTTCAATCATGAGATTTTCTGACATCTGCTTGGTCCTGCTTGTAGTGCTTCAATATATTCTTCGAAGTCTGAGAGTTGTGAGGTCATCGCCTCGTTTCGACGGTCTTCAGATAAATATTCGCCTCAGCTTCACGCCTCATTCGGCTCGCACTCTCTCTACGTCGCACTATAGAGACCCGACCTGCACTAGCATACCGTACCGCGGGGATGCCAAAGAATCGAAAGCGAGACATCGAGATGAGACGCGACGTGGACATAAGTTTATCAATTGACCTCCAGCTTCGCAACTTGGTTGCAGTAAACGGATTGAGCTTGCTGTGAGTTTTGCATTTGTCACGTAAGTAGGTTTCAGTACGTGGTACTTCCTGGTAAACTGAGTCACAGTGTCCATGTATTGAAGGATTCGTTGGAGTCACTCACAATCAAAATAAATACTAACCTCTCCTTCTTAAAGCCACCTCCGTTTCTGTCTCTAAAACTCACACCTATCCCTCCACCACTATGGCGGAAAACGCCCCCACGGGACTCGGCGAACCGCCATCCGTCGCAGCTCTTTCACTCGCCGAAACGGCTACGACTCCAGCGAAGCACCTCACCGAGCAGGAGATCAACCCTTGGGATGTACAAGCGGGGACGGACGAACACGGCAATACACTTGAATTCGACTACGTCGCCATCTCGCAGAAGTGGAATACAAAGCTCCTAGACAAGGCTACCCTCGAGCGATTCGAGAGGCTCACTGGCAAGAAACCCCACCGCTGGTTACGGCGCGGCCTCTTCTTCTCGCATCGCGATTTCGACCTCATACTGGATTACTATGAGCGGGGAGAGCCTTTCATGCTCTACACTGGCCGAGGACCTTCCGCAGGATCACTACATGTTGGACATAGCATACCGTTCGAATTCACAAAATGGTTACAGGATGTGTTTGATGTGCCGCTAGTCATCATGTTGACGGATGATGAAAAGTTTCTATTCAAGGAGGGGTTGACCATTGAAGCTGTCAAGAAGTTCTCTATAGAAAATGCGAAAGATGCCATCGCAATGGGCTACGACCTCAAAAAGACCTTCATATACTCGGACTTTCTGTTCATGGGATCAGGTAGCAATGGCCATTTTTACGAAAATGCGATGGAATTCTCGAAGCTAGTCAACTTCAATCAAATGCGAGGAGCCTTTGGATTTGATGGCAGCACAAGCAGTGGTCGAGTATTCTTCCCTAATCTTCAATGCGTGGGTAAGTGATATGGCTTCGACGGCTTAGGCTTGGCGTCTTATAGTAACGCGTGTGATAGCCGCCTTTGCCTCTTCATACCCGTTCATCTGGGGCGATGACATAGAAGCCGATCGCAAGGCGACAACAGCGGCAATCCCATGTTTGATCCCTTGCGCTATCGTAAGTCACCTAACGCGCCTTTGCATCATCTACAGAGTCAATTTTCTAACTCCTCGAAGGACCAAGATCCCTACTTCCGCCTGGTCCGCGACAACTCACTCCGAATGCAACGCCCATCGCCGAAACCGGCCCTCATTCACTCAAAATTCTTGACGAGTCTTCAAGGTACATCTCTCCTAGTAGTCACCATCTTCAGCATAAGCCCCTAACCATTCCCAGGTGCCGGCGGCAAAATGAGCGCCAGCGTCCCCATGTCTGCGATCTTTCTTGACGATACACCCAACCAGATCAAGAAGAAGATCAATGCCTCATTTTCCGGCGGTCAGGAAACCCTGGAGCTACATCGGGAGCTGGGCGGAAACCCAGACGTAGACGTCCCATACCAGTATCTTTGCTACTTCGAGGTATGTCGTTAGCTCAACTGCCGGTCACCAAGACCACAAGTACTAATTTTCCCCTAGGATGACGACGAAAAGCTAGACCGCTTCTACCACGCCTACAAGAAAGGCGAGATGCTCACCGGCGAAATGAAGAAGGAGTGTATCACGCTCGTCCAATCATACGTCAAGAGCTTCCAAGAGGCCAGGGCAAAGGTCACTGATGAGGTATGCTTGGCTGCCTTATCTTCTACGCTCCCCACTGACACATCCTAGGTCGTCAAAGAATACATGAAGCCCCGAAAGCTCGAATGGAAAGGCAACCCGAACCCCACTAAGCCTCCCAAAAAAGCAGAAGAAGCGACGGAAAAGGCCGACGCGGATGGCCAGAAGGGGCAGGGCAAGCGGGCTGCGAAGCGGGCCGCCAAGGCGGCGGAGAAGGCAGCGGGAGATGCGTCAAAGGGGGCTTAGACAGTGGGAATGTAGAGTTTGTAGTAACCAAAGGCATAGCGTGGGAGTAACAATAGCTCTTTCTTGTGCTGATTTGAAACTCCTTATCGGTTTCTAGGTCGCTTTGAGGCAATATCTTACGCTCATCCGAAACGTATTGTGAGATCTCGCACGTGTAGGTCCAACCGCCTTTCTGGATCTAAATTGCAAACTCGTTTCTCGTGAGAGGTATCCCACTGTGAAATCACCCCTTCACATATTTGTAAGACATGCCGCCCCATTCAAGAGGTTTCCTTTCGCAGAACAGTTTTTCACCATGCGTAGCAACGTCTAGAATTCTCCAATCCATTATCCAGCCCCAAGCCGCATCTGAAGCTCCCTCCGACCGTACATCAAACTGCCTCTCTGGTTCTAGATATCATTTTCTTTGGAGTAACAAAAGCGTCTTTGTCAAATCGCTGCTTTGCTAACAGTGAGACATGACGCTGTTGTTGCTGTTGGAGAGTTTTCTTTGAGCCTCCCGGAGGCACAATTTGTTATATAGCAGCGTCCAGCGCGACTGCAGTCCGAACTTCATCTCAAACGCAAGGCGGATAAGTTCAGAGATTGAGATCGAAAGCAGTTCCACACACACCAGGCATCAATTTCCCACTTTCCCGAGCCAAGCCCGAGAGCTCATCGTCCGACATGCACGTCAGACACGAAAGCGAGATCCGTCCACGCTCGTACTTCTCACCTCGATCGAGCTTCAGCTTCCTGCACGTTCACCACTCGTCGGAGCGGTCTTCTAGTGCGGAGAGGGATCGGCATCGGAGGCGGTGCTATGAGCTCGAAGAGAAGCTTGAAGATTGCAAGGCGGAGATCAGGGTGCTCAAGAGAGACAAGGAGGACTTGAATAAGGACAAGAGGATGCGAATGAGGGATTATGAGATCTTGTCAGAGAGGCATGAGATGGTCAAGAGGGAGAAAATGGATCATTTCCTTCAGACTGAGAAGGAGATTCACGAGCTCACGACGAAGAACGAGACGTTGAGACGGGAGAGCCAGAGCACGGAAGAGAGGCTGAAGCGGCTCCAGAGGGCCAACAAAGATTTAGGAGAGGGGAAGTTGGTAGAACGCGAAAGATGGAGTGGGCTGAAAACTTGGCCAGGGGAGGATCTGGAATGAGTGAATGGGTATTGTTGTGGAGGGATGATTGTGTTTTTCGATGTTTGATTGCCATCGGGAATGAAGTAGATTGATGGTAGTTGGGGTTTGGAAAGTCGATGCTGGAAAGGGCTCTCATGATGGTCAATTTTGTCCTTCGATATTGAAACGGCCTGGACGTCATGTTTGTGGGTTTTTGGGTATACCTTCGTCCGATGGATCGTATATTGCCGTTTGGTAGAAGCATGGCTGATGCCTGGAGAATCCGTGCTACGCAACGAGTCACCAAATCGTCCTTTCTCTGCATTTTCTAGACTTTTGGGACGAGATCTCTGCTCTGATGGTGGTCTTCAGTGGTGAACATAAGAGCAAGCTAGGCGCTGACTGGCGGAGATGCGACGCCGAACTTTTAACCCTAGGAGGAAGTAGCAAGGTCGATCAGCCTTGCCGCTGCCCTCAGTAAACGATTCTCTCCCTATCTTCTTACATTACTCATAATGACATACGCCTGTTCGTCGCTGGACCGGACGGAAATGGTCAAGACGGAGACGAGGTCCCGGGCGAGAGACCGAGGCACGCCGCACGTGACCTCTCTGGATGAAGGAGTGGAGGAGGAGAGGAAGTGTCTTCCGGAAAGTGAGAGAAAATCGATTTGCTAATACAACATAAGTGGTATAACGTTCACAGGACGCCAAATCCTGCAAATAGGGCATTGCCATCCCGAAAAGAATACAGAAGTAGCAGCAAGGTCGAACTTCAGCAACTCCAGCAACTCCAGTAACTTCCAATAATACAAACAACACTCCATTTGCCCAATCCGCCTTGCGCCTTTCGCCTTTTGAGGAGTCGAGTGGAATTCCGCTGCGTCAAGCACTTCGTCGTAACCTTTGTCCCACTGGGATGGGCTTGTTGACGAAGACATCGTTGTCGTCCTCCCCTCGCATAGCCTGCTTCTCCTCGTAATCCCGAGAAGCGTCCTTCAAGTCTTCGATTTGCGCCTGTTCCAGTCAGTGCCAGGACGACCAATGGCAGCCCTCAGGGGTAAATACTTTGGTCAATGGTGGACCTGATGTTGTCACGAGGAATCCATCTCTACCCTGTATTCCATGTCAGCCTTGTTACTGGTGTCGAGCTGGCTGTACCACGATGCCCGCAGAACTTACCTGATGTGTGTACGGCCTCACTATTGCGTCTGGTCCACAATGATAACGTATCTCATTCTGTATTACAGCCCTGGAAATGCCAAAGCCAGGCACGAAGTAGCTATTTTGAGCAGCAGCCATTTCGGAACGTATTGGAGAAGAAGAAAAAGAAGAAATCTATGTTATTATGCTCGATCGATCGATTCGAGTCTGAGGCTAAGAGGTGATAAACAGAGCCAGCTGCTGATGTTGGGTTGAAGACCGGAGTGGTATTTGCAGGGCTTAAAAGTCGGCCCCCCTTAAATATAATAGGTACCGCGACAATCTCATCCAGGCTTGATATTCAACAACCGGGCTGGAGTCCGGCGACACGGCTCGGCCACGATGGTTGGGCCGACGTGCTCCGGGGTGGAGGATATGGGCTCCAAAGCCTCACGCCTCACTCCGTTCGCCCCAAGGTTCCGCCCTGCCCAAGCTACGCCCTCCTGCCCAACCACACCCTGCACACGCCAGTGCCCGAACTGGGGCTCGGATGAGTCGACAAGCCAGCATCCTTTCGGCTTAGAACCAGCACCGGCTTACGAGCTTCAGGGCGTGCTCCCTGGTTCACCGGCCTCACGATGATTGAATGAACAGCACACTACTGCGTTGGCACCTCCAACACGCGCTCGTGGCAGAGAAGAAGTCATATATTACGCGCCGTTTCGCCACCTCTTTCTGCCTATGGAGTCCGATCGTCGCTTTCTCTTCAAAAGCAGATTCAATTGCATCTCTCTTTTTTCGCCGGGAAATTCGAACGTTCAACGACTTCAAGGCGAGATGATCTGTTTAGGCTTGGCGTGAACAGTGGAGTGCCGATCACAACTCACGTCCCAGAGGCGTCGCCAGGCGGACAGCGATGCCCATCCCTCCATCTCGCCGGAAACCATGCTGGCGCTCACTCCTGCTCCGTCAAGTTGGGCAGTATCACGTCTATCCACGTCTCCCAGGTCACACGTTCCGTCCCCAATCCGCACCCGAGCGTCTGCCAGGAACACCCTGTGTTCCCTTCGCAATCAACGCCTTTGAGCCCAAGGGCAGCTCTGCATTGCATTCCTAGCGGAGACCCCAAATAGGACATCGCCTCTTCAGAGATCTGTGGACGCCAGGCTGGTCTGTTACCCTTTGACTGCTCCGATACAAAACGCAAATCAGCCGCTCTAATCCGCCTGGATACTGTTCATCGATGATTGAAGACATCTTGAAGGAACCTCGGTCGGGACAGATAAGTCCACACAGAATAATGGCAGGAGTCGTAATTGCTTTTCTTGTGCAACGCCTACGAATACCGACCCAACCCGTCAGTGAACCCTGGACAGATTAGGTCTCTATGCTCCTCTGGGGAATCTCAGGAGTATCGTTCGCTATGCACGACATGCTGGCGGTTCAGTGAACTTGCAAGTTTCTCAGTGGGCCTTCACCGATCGCACGCGGATCCGCCGCTTCATGCTAGACACGCTGGCATTGCCGTCTTCTTGCAGCACGACATTCAAAACCTGTGTGGCGGAAATGTGGCCCTCATTATTGCTGGAACCTGCGAACCCCACCCTCCATCTCTACAACGTTAAGACAGGGCTCTCTAGCATGAAATGTGCCTACGATTCAGGTGTACAACCTGCTGATCCCCGCGGAGGCCTATCTACCATTGATCAGTTAGATTTATCTGGAAACACGCCAGACCACTCAGACAGCGGGTACCAGGTACTATCCGATACCCGCCCTTGATGTGCCTGGCCAAATACTGGAGCACGAGGCGGATATCCACCTCAGTGTCGGCGCATAGTGGGTCGCAAACGCTGAGGCCGGCGGTTTACTTCGAGAATGCTCTTCCCTTACTCATCCGCTGCTTCAGATCTACCATATCAGGAGATTCTGACGTTCCTCTCCATCAGATAGAGCACGCCTAGCTTGATCGTGGTATCACTGCTAGAGTTTTGACAACGCATCGGACCCCGCACGCCGCTGATGACAGCCGACACCACGTTCCGCGCCTGCCGTCTCCACAGGACACACCGTCTCCTTCTTTTGTGGCTTCCATCCATCCTTGTCCCTGAATTTGCCACCGTCGGCGTTGCTGATGCTCCAAGCATCGTGAGCTGTCCGTCCTGCAACCTCACACCGCTGGTTTTGGGCCGCAGCCACGCTGGCATCCGTTATCGATGGGATTATGGTCGAAGATTTCCAAAGCCTTGCAAATTCAATATTCATCCGCATAACTCGTTTGCAAAAGTGTAGTTGCCCGGTTCGTGTTGAACATGGGGTCCGTGTGACCAGCATTGCCCGGGGTGTCTCAAGGTCCCAGGAGATGTTCCGAATTCTCACGTTGAGCTTCAGTAATCTACTCCTCAAGCGTGTCTTACGGCTATCCAATCTACGAAACTGCCACCTTGCAAATATACTTCGACACTATCACCGGCCAAAAAGCAAGGTCCGGCGCTCGGCGCAATCAGAGGATGTCTCACGAACGCCTCACGATGCTAAATGAGAACCAAGGCCTCCGAGAAGTAGCGAGCACCAACGATGCCGTGAGGCGGCGCACCTGTAACGTCGGTTGATCGAATCATCCAGCCATTCTCGCTCGCCGCGGCGGCACAGTAAGCGGCGGGTGGAAAAAGGAGATCCAGATTCTCGAATCCCAGGCCTAGTAGCCCTGCTTTCCCTCAGAATTATCCCTTTCGCCCCAGAAAGTAAAGTGAATTCGAAACACCCCTCTCCATGATGGTGAGATTTCGACTCAGGGTGCCAAGACTTTTCATTCACCGGAAGAGAGTTTTCTTCTCTTGAGCTGGGCAACGCACGAGAAGACTCACCGAAGTGGCCTCACTTCTACAGCGTATCGGATGAAGATATTTGCGTGCTTTTTTACTTCTTCCGACGTTTGCCGGAATGAATAGTCACTCCGCTTACTTCTTCACAGTAGTCGGGCGAACTCCTTAGCGACAGACTTCGGGTTTCGGGAACGCGATGGGGGCGTACGACTCCTGCCATAGCCTTCCCATTATATTGCGACACCTTTTCGACACGCCACACAGATGCCGAAAGACAAGTCCCCCCTAGATGACGATGGCCGAGATGGCCCAGCGAGTTCATGCCCCGTTCAGAACGGTTTCATTGACTACAACTCGTCCCAACGGCTGAAACACACTCATTATCTCGTACACCGGCAAGATAGTATACACAGACTGATGTCGTGGCACTGCGACCTATCTCGTCTACTTTTCTAGCAAAGCCCTCTATTGAAACTCACGAATCGCGTCCTCCTGGAGCTTTTTCGCCCTCATACTCGAACTCGCTGTCATACCTACCATACACCGAGAACCACGACAGTGAGTGCAATAGCGCTAGCTAGCACCATTCTCCATTCGTTCGACGCGACTAGACTACAGCTTGAATTATAAGCGAAGAAGTTCCTGGTAGAAACAGTATCGTGACCTTAAAAGAAGTAAAGATGGCTCCGTCTAACAAGCCCACGGAAGGAACTACATAAATTATACAAAAGGTAACGATCTGTGTCTAGTTTATCTCAAACGCCCCATATCCCAGACGCATCATCTAAACCCCCAACTCCTGCAGCCTCGCCAACTCCCAATACACGCCCCCCTTCGCCACCAAGTCCTCATGCCGACCCTTCTCCACCACTCGCCCATTATCGAACACATAGATACAGTCTGCGTGCTGAACAGTGCTCAATCGATGCGCAATCGCGATGGTGGTTCGGCCTTTCGAAGCTTTGTCGAGCGCGGCTTGGACGGCGGCTTCGGAGGTTGAGTCAAGGGAGGAGGTGGCCTCGTCGAGGAGGCTAAGAGAAATTTCAGTGGAAGTAAGGGGGAGTATTTTGTCCTAGGGATATGTATCTAGTAACGTCGATGACAAGAAAGCTTACAGTAATTTAGGATTTCGTAGTAACGCTCTCGCAATTGCCAGACGCTGGCGTTGTCCTCCAGAAAGCAACATCCCTTTTGCACCTACGAGGGTGTTCAAGCCATCTGGCAACGAACTCTGGATTACTCCGGTTAGCGTAACAAGACAGCAACCGACAGTAGTATACCCACGATATAGTCGAAGATGTTCGCATCCTTACACGCTTGCACGATAGCGCTTTCAGGAACGGTATCGTCATCTGCAAGGATGTTCTCTCGAATAGTCCCAGTATAGAGCATAGTTTCTTGGCTAACGAGGGCCATCTGGCTCCGGTAGTCCTGGAGATTGTATTCGGGTATTGGAACATCGTCTAGGATGATTGAACCTGACGTAGGATCGTAGAAGCGCTCTAGCAACCCCATCGCGGTGGACTTGCCGCAACCACTGGCCCCTACGAGGGCGATGAATTGCCCTGGTAGTGCGGTAAGATTGACTCCTCCCAAGACCTTTTGAAACGGACGCCCAGGATAGGCGAAGTGAACGTCCCTAAACTCAATCTTTCCCTCCGCAGCGTCTATTTTGCGGCCCTCCGTCGACCAGGAATCAATGAGCGGCCTTCGATTGAGGAGGGTATGAACGCGTTGAGCCGCAGAGCGCGCGTCACCAACATCAGTCACGTAGGCCACCAAGCCCCCAGCGGTCTGAGACGAGAGAATGATCGCGACGAAGCAGACGAAAAACTGCACCAGGCTGTACTGGCCATCCAGGATCAAAGAGCCTCCGTACCAGAATGCAAGGGCCATGGCGAACATCGACAAGCTGTTCGAAAGAGCAAAGAGGAACGAGGAGTACGCCGAGAAGCGTAAGTTGCCTGTCGTTTGGGTCTTCAGCTTCTCGCAATATTGGTTCAGCAGATGTGGCTCCAACGTTAGCGAAGCAACGGTCCGGATTGACGATGCGACCTCGCATGCGAAAGCTGCGGCTTCTGATTTGCTCTGCATGCGACTGTCGAAGCTTTTGATGACCTATGTATGATCAGCATAAGAGGCGTACTAAGAGCACTGACGAGACCGAACGACATTTTCGGGGTAATGAAATTAGAGCATACCTGAAATCGCCAGTACCCACAGGCAAGTAGAAACGGTACCGTAGATACAGAGACCAGAGCTAGCTTCCATCCGAAAGAGGCCGCAATAGCAAACCCTCCGAGTATGGTGGCGGTTGCGGTCAAGAGAGACCCAAGGATGGCACCGCTAATTCCAGCGAGACGGTTGGGTTCTGTCGCAAGAAAGGACGATAGCGATCCGGAGGTCACCTCATCCGTGTCGAAGAATGACATATCCTGTCGTAGTATCGAACGAAAGACAAGGGACCGAGCTCGCCGAATAAGCCGCCTATCAACGGTTAATCAGTAACAATGCTACGGTAGGGGTGATACCTACGCCGATCCAAAACTCAAAGCTACTCCTTGAATTGTGTTGATCACGAGTGCCACTAGGGCGAGCATGAGAAACATGAGACACCAAAAGTTGATACCATGGCCGCCAGAACTCTTGGTATGTCCAGAGATGGCGTCAATCGAATGCCCGAAGAAAATGGCTTGAATAGGCTGCAGAAACCCTGCCAAGATTGCGAACACGATGCCTAGGTAGATCAACCGCCTCTCTTCATTGTTGATAGTCCAGATGAACTTCATCAGCTGCCAAGTCGTGCTCGCAACTTCAGAATCAGGGTGTGTCGGCTCTACGGTACCTGTTTTGTTAAGTTGATGCTGAGATTCCATGGATTGGATGTTGCGTAGAGGTTCCGACTTCTCGCTCTTCTCGAACACTCCCATATCCTGTTCGTTCTGGGAGGACTCCAAAGGCGCCACAGGCTTTCCTATCAGCTCCTGTGCCTGTACCAGAGAGTAGTAGACCGTCTTTCGCCCGAGAAGCTGTTTGTGCGTTCCTTCTTCTACAATTTTCCCGCTAACCATAACAACGATGTTATCGGCATGCCTGATTGTTGATAGTCTATGAGCAATAACTATGGTTGTACGACCCTTCGAAGCTGCATCTAGAGCTTTCTGCACAGCGCTTTCGGAGCGAGTGTCCAGGCTAGCAGTAGCCTCATCGAGGAGAAGAATCTTTGGGTCGGATACAACAGCGCGGGCTATTGCAATGCGTTGCTTTTGACCGCCCGAGAGAAGTGACCCGCGTTCTCCTACATGGGTTTGGAATTTCTGAGGTAAGCGATTGATGAAGTCGTAGGCGTTTGCGGTTCGGGCAGCATCCTCGATGAGTTTCCCTTTGATCTCGGAAGAAGCCTTTGACCATCCTGTCAGTAATGGCTTGTGTTCACTTTTTGCTGTAGTGAGCGAAGATCATACATTTATGATAACTTTCCCGGGGGAGAACATCGAATAGCAAGAAGGATGTTCGAGATAGCACTTACATTTTCATACTCAGTTCCGACTAGACCATGTTCGATACAATCGTGGATGGTATTATTGAACAGCACTGGCTCTTGGCTAACCAGTGACATGTTTCGCCTCAGCCACCTAAGATTCAACGTCGAGATATCTCTTCCATCTAGTAATACTTTCCCGGCGATAGGAAGATAAAATCGCTCCAGCAAGCCAAGCAAGGTTGACTTGCCTGACCCTGACGATCCCACGATAGCAACAATTTTCCCAGCATCGATTATGAGATTGAAGTCATCGAGGATGGGTCTTTCCGGTCTCGAGGGATATACGTGTTTGATATCGCGGAACTGTATCTTGCCGCTCAAATTGTCTGGCTCGTCTCCGGTTTCGGAACCAGGATCAATCGGAGACTTCCTTTCAATGGTGCTGAATATCTTGGTGGCGGCTGCTACCGCCAACCCAAAAGTGCCGATATGAGGCGTGATGTGATGTAGAGTGCCTCCCGCTGCCATCGAAGACATTGTTACCGTGAGTATTTGCGAGATTGTCAAATCGCCTGAGTCCGCCCAGCGGGAACCTTGCCAAAATGCTAGACCGTACTGCATGTTTAGAATAGCTATGGCGCAAGCGATCATGAGGCCAAGGGTAGCCTTTGCCTTGAGGTCGAACTGGGCGGCTTCGTCTAACACGGCGTCGTACTTCTTTACCAGGCATGGCTGAGTTCCAAAAGCAGTGACATTGCGAGAAGACGATATCGCCTCTTCAGCTAGGCTACCTGCGGTAGCGTAGGCGTTGACAGATTTGGTCTGATAGGTCCGCATGAAGCTCCCAAGGATCCCGAGAACTAGCCACATGGCAATCACTGAGGAGAGCATGACGAGTGCAAGCATCCAGGACCGGACAAAGCTGACGATAATTGCGGAGACGAACATCGATATTCCAGAAATGACCAGGGTTACCTTGTGAGAAACGCCGTCCTGCACCAGGTTTAAGTCTGCGAGAGTTAGCGGAATGAGACTTAGCAAGCTACAATTGAGAATGAGATTTCACCGGCAGTGATTCGGGTCGTGATCTCTCCAGATCCCAGGAAATCAAAAAAAGCAATGTTCTGACGGAACACTGCTTGAAGATAGAGCTCCCTAATCTTCTGCGTCATGCTTTCGCCCGTGTAACTAAACCCTACCATACCAACAAAGTAGGAAACCAGCATGCCAATACCTGTTGTTCAATAAAATCAATAACAGTCGAGGCGCACGACATCAATGGAACCAAGAAGAGCTCACCGATATAGACTAGAAACATCGACAGGTTGATAATGGTATGTTGGACGGACTCGTGTATGATTGAAGGGTCGGTATAGAATTTGCTGAAACTGCCCGTGAGGTTTCCAATGACGAGCTGCAAAAAAAAAGAGCAGTCAGATAGAGCTTGAGATACCAGCGTAGAGGACTGACCGTCATCAAGGGGAAGGCGGCACCTCCGGCCATTGCAGCGAAGGCCGATACAGCCATGATCAAACTCTCTGTCTTGGTGGCATAACGGTAGAGAGAAAAATAGCCAATCTTGACTGCAGGCACATCGACCTGTGCTTGAACGACTTGCTGTTCGGATGCCGTAAGTCTACGGATGTGGTCATTGTCTGGGCGGGAGTCTCTGGATTCGGGGAGCAGATCAAGCTCTGTTTCGTCAATCATTTCAAGGAGTTGTCAAGGGTTCATTCCGCAGAGAATGGAGTGGGACGAAAGTTCTAACACGGGATGTGGACCGCGGGAAAAAAAGATAGGAAAAATAAGCTCAGATAGAGGCTAATCAGATTGCATCTCCGATTGATGAAATCGATAAGAGGAAAGGACTGTTGCTTTACACAAGGTCTTAGATACGTGTAAGCTTGAGACTAGAGAAATGCTCCAATTTATAGGTCCCCTCGCGGTCGCCTCGTTTCCAGATTGAGGAAAACGAGACGGCTCCCATGCTTGAGGGCTGGACCATCTCTCGTACTGTTTCGAGCGTACGAGGCGGTCCGTTGACATGTTGATGAGAACGCGTAAGGAGTTCACCCACGCAGGTGTACGAGGCGAAGAGGAAGGGATGGAGCTAGATCGCAGTAGGCTAAATGCACTCGGCAGAACCCAAATAGTCAGCCGATGCGAACTCCGCCACCGTTATCAGGTCTCTTATTGGCCACTATGAGTGCCAGGATTCTCGTATACCGAAAGCGTGTACGGCGCTGCTGATCCATGTCGACGATCTGCTACTTCCCTTCATCATGGCCCGGTTCTTCTTCTTCCTACAACTGTCCCATTGTAATCAATCATGTCTCTTGGAAGCCCCAACATCTCCTTCTTTCATGTGTCAGCTCAGCGACTGGATGGATCTGGGCCCGACTTGCAGGATGTCTACGGCCGCAGTTGTCGCCAGCGCCGCCGCCACGCGAAGTCCAAGCGCGGCTGTGCTGGGTGCAAGCGACGTCGTGTCAAGGCATGATATAGGATGGCCTCGATTGTAGTTCCTGCTAATACAGTTCAGTGCGACGAAGCGCTTCCAGCATGCCACAACTGCCTCAGACGGGGAGAATCGTGCAACCTTCCAGAGAACCAACAACCAAGCCCACGGACCCCACCATCTCAGAGCGATGAGTTTCTTGGGCTGACGCAAGAGGTGAACCTTTATCAAATGAAGCTATTCCACACATTTGGCACTCGAACAGCACGCACCCTCATCTTCGGCGAGCACCTGTGGCGAAACGGCAGTACGTAAGCCCCCGACACAGATAAAAAGTTTCCTAGCAATCTGTCTATTTGAAAAACTACTCAGGGAGTGTTTCGAGACAACCACAGTGGTGTCTTGGAATCCCCTGAATAAGTGTCTTACGCCAACAGTACCTATTACAAGAAATCAATAACGGTTTCCTCACTCTGGTTCTGAATGATTTGCTAACCTTATTGCAACCTTTAGTCATGCGGCAATGCTTCACGCACGACTACCTAATGCATGCTATCCTCCTCATATCTGCCACGCATTTACATAGCCTAGAGCCCCATGATCCCCGAAACTACAATGCTTCCGTCGTCCACTTATCGAAGACCCTTCAGCTTTTTCGCAAAGCCCTCTCGGGTCCAGTGACGCATGACAATGCCGATGCGCTCATGGCAACCGCGATACTCTTGTACCACCACGCCTGGACGAACCTTGACTCCTTCACACCATCTACTCCCGTAAGCGACATAGATGGACAGTATCCCAAGCAGCCCCTCAACCTCTCTACAGACCCCATCTTCACCCTCTCAGCCGGCCTCAAAGAAATCTTCGACAAGGCCAAGCACCTCCTCACCAGAGACGGAAGCGCCTGGCTCGCAACCGCTCACTCTCGCGCCCACCTCCCCATCGTCGAAGCCGCACGCCGTTGTTCGAAAGCCCCAGAGTATTTCGAAGAATACTTGAAACGCTATTTCCAAGGCATCGAGAACCCCCTCTCTAGCACCAACGCCATAGCCGGCGTGTCCTCGAATCGCTCACTAATTGAGAAGCTGCTACTGTCAGCGAATACGGACGAGGCAGCCGGATGGTTCGACCTCATACGACTCAGCGAGCCTACCGAGAACACCAGCGTTGCAGATAGAGAGATTTTGACAGCCTACATGACGGCGTCGTGTCGTCTCGCTCCGCTGCTATCGATGTGCAAGCCGCCGAAGCCAGACACGCGGCTATTGATCGTCCGTGACCCGGAGGGAGCGCATAATCTCTCGACGAAGCCTATGCATGATGGGTTGTATTCCTCTGTCGCGCTCTACTTGTTCTCTTTTCCGATTCGGTCGGACGCCGTCTTCAACGCCATGGTCCGGAGGAACGATTGCAGAGCCTACATGGTGCTGCTGTACTTCTATCGAGGCGTCAAAGCACTTCTCTCCGCAGAGACGTACTGGTGGTGTCGAGCACGGGCAGACTTTATGGAGAGAGCGCTGCATGCATCGCTCAGGGACACGGGCTTGGGCAAGATCATTGATGCTGAGGAGCACGCATTTAATGCTGGTCAAGTGACGTGGGCCCGTAACACTGACAAAGAGGGGCGAAAGGCTGGCTCACCGTGCTTCTTCCAGAATCTTTGGACCGAACATGGCGGTTGCGTAAACTGTATGCCTAACTATACCGCTCCTACAATATGATCCTGTTGCCAATTCCCATCTCAATCAAGCTCGCATTAGCGCATCAAATCACCTCGGATAGCAGCAAATAATCTTACAAACAACTAATGCTGAATTCCGGTACTGTACAGCACAACTGTCACATCTCTCACGAGTGCGACTTCTTCGCCCACTCTCTCAGCACATTCTTCTTCAGCTTCCCCGTACTCGTCTTGGGCAGCTCATCTACCACCTCGACCTCTCTAGGTACCATAAACTTACTGATATCGCTCTTGTGCTTCGCCCAGTCGATGACGTCGTCGCCTTTCAACGAGTGCCCGGATTTCACAGTAATGTAGGCCTTCGGACGCTCGCCCCAGTGCGAGTCTGCGACGGCGACGACGCCAGCTTCGAGGATGTCCGGATGCGTTACTAGCATGGATTCGAGGGCGACGGATGAGATGTTTTCGCCTCCTAGACGAAAAGAAGAGTCAGTTTCCACAACTTCTGAATAGTTTTACCGCTTCAACAAGTGGCTGCATGTACGTACCACTAATAATGATATCCTTTGCCCGATCCAATATCTGAATCGCGCCATCCTCATGCATCACCGCTAAGTCACCTGAGTGACTCACCCCTCCTTCCCATAGCTTCCTCGTTGCCTCTGGGTCGCGATAATACCCCTTTGCACAGATGTTACCCGCGAACACTATCTCCCCGATCTCAAGACCATTTTTCGCAACGTCAATCAGCACGCCCGGTTCCTGGTCTGGCTTGATCACTCTGGCGGACTGCGACGTGATGAAGCCGTGACCCTGTCGTGCCATCTTTCTATACTTCTCCGCCAATGGCAGATCTTCCCACGAGGGCATGTGGTATCCCTTCGTTATGGGTCCGTACGTTTCCGTCAGCCCGTAGACATGTACAGGGTGCAGATTCAACGCTGTCATCGTCTCGAAAAGATGCGCGGTAGGCGGACTCGCCGCTACGGTTACTCGAACCGCATGCTCCAACTTCTCCGCCTCCTTCGCCGCACACAGTAGTGTATTGACTGTCGGCGCAGCGTTGAAATGCGTGATCTTCTCCTCCTTCAGCAGCCGCCAGATCTCGGGGTAGTCGATCTTCCGTAGACAGTAATGCGTGCCCCGTACTGCCGTAATTGCCCATGGAAAGGTCCATCCCGTGGCGTGGAACATGGGCAGCGTCCAGAGGTATTTGCAGCGGCCGATGTGGTAGTTCAGGCCGCTTTCGATGACGTTGCCGAGCGCAGCAAGATAGACACCACGATGCGTATATTCGACGCCTTTTGGCCGGGCGGTCGTGCCGGATGTGTAGGCGAGGGCTATCACGGACTCTTCGCCCTGCACTTGCGTCTCGAGACCTGCCCAGCCTTGGGAGCTGTGCTGGTGGTCATACGTCAGGCCTTCGAGGACGGCGTCGTCGAAGGGGCCACTGAGCTCGCCTTCGGTTGCGTCGGTGTCGTTGTCGATGATGATGGGCACTGATGGATTAGCGGCGCTGTAGTTGTCTAGCAGAGATGTAAACTCGGCGTCCGTGATGATGATATCGACGCCAGAATGGGTCATGATATATGAGATATCATCTTTCTTGAGGCGGTAGTTGACAGCTAGAAGGCATCACGTGTCAGTCTCCCAGAAGGTCAATTAATCTAAAGGAGACCCTACCAATGCTCACGGCACCCGCAGCGGCAATTCCAAACAGGCTCTCCAGGAATGCGGGTGTGTTGGGACAGAGTATGCCGACGCGCTTGTAGTTGTGTTGGCGAAGGTAGTATGCTAGTCCACGAGCACGATCCGCAACTTCAGCATATGAGCGGCGCAGGATCTTGTTGTTTGCCGTTCTGTGATAGACTGCCAACGCCTGTTGTTACTCGGTTAGATGTTCAGTCGTTCAATACAGCTCATATGACTTGTTTCGAGCAGGGGGGGCGGCAATCCGCATACATACATCGGGTTCAATAGATGCCGCACGCTCGAGGAAAGCTGTTGGAGATAGCGAATGGAAGTTGTGGCGATGGTCGTAGCTAGTCTGACCCTCCTTCTCCGGGGTGTCCGGTGCTGCAGAGACGAAGTGTGATGCGAGCCTTTGAAGGCGAGCTTTTGCGTTCTCCATTCTTAAAAGTCCGGGAAGTTGAGGCGGACTGGCTTCGTCACGGCTGTAAGAACTGACACGAACCAAGACGGGAGACGGGGATATCAAGGAGCTTCAATACGCGGGCAGCTCGTAGCTTTAAAGCTCCTCGGAGCTTTGACTCGGGCGGGTGGAGGGGTGGGACGGCTCTACGATTCGCCTCCACTACGGCACTTGTCTAGCTATAAAGAGGCAAGCTTCAGGGCGGTGTACAGAAAGCCCGAGGTCGCGGATGTGGACGCGGCATACGCGTCTTCATAGAATATCTGAGCATGCATCGACGCTCTATGCACTGCATTTGGTTTTATGCATTGGTTCCAAGAAGGATACATCTTCGACCGCTTGACTTGGCACTACGGGGAGTCATCTTGTCCGTAGGACATCACACAAGCCCCACTGATAACCCCGCTATCTCACTCGATCTCTCCACAAGCGAGCCTCATGATGTGGTGAATTCCTTAACAACTGTCTATTCAGGCTTAGACATATACCTGACCGCATAAACGCGGTGACTCCCATATTCACGCTACTGGAAAGATCACCTAACAAGCGAGGCCTGACAATGCCTTAGGAACTATGAAACTGTAGTATAATAACCTTCCCTTCATCAAATTTTCACATTCGGTCTCTATCAGTTCTTCTCCAACATCAATCTATATCGACTCCTCTCCAATATCAGTCTATCTCAATTCCGCTTAAGCAAAATGGCAGCAACGTCCTCTTCCACTGCTGCAGACACTCCTCGCGGCCGCATCCGCGACCTTCTCCCTACCGTGAATCTCGGCCGCTTCGCTTCAGGCCCTAAGAACTCCCTCACCGACGTCCCTGGCGTCCTTGTCCATACTCAATCCATCCACTCGCATCCCGCTGCAGCCCCCGGCTCCATCAATACCGGCGTCACTACGATCTTACCCCGGAAAGACTGGTTCCATCAGGCATGCTTCGCTGGTCTCTTCCGCTTCAACGGCTCCGGGGAGATGACCGGGAGTCATTGGATCGAGGAGACGGGATTACTACACTCCCCTATCATCCTGACCAACTCGTTCGCCGTGGGCGCTGCTTATCAAGGAATCTACGAGTGGGCAATCCGCGAGTACGGGGATGAGAAGGGGAGTGTAGATTGGTTCCTGTTGCCCGTAGTCGGCGAGACGTTTGATGGATACATGAACGATATCGCCAAATTCTCGGTAAAGCCAGAGCATATTGTTCAAGGAATGGATCAGGCAAATGCGGATAGCGTGCCGGAAGGGAACACGGGAGGCGGGACAGGTATGCTCTGCCATTACTTCAAGGGAGGGACGGGATGTTCCAGCCGTGTGATTCCAGGAGTGAAGAAAGATTACACGGTCGGAGCACTCGTGCAAGCGAATTACGGTGCCATGCGGGACTTTCGAATCAAGGGAGCGCCGCTTGGAAGACTGATATTAGAGGACCAGGAGAAGATTATGAGAGCAAATCCGGATGATCCTAAGCTCCTGGCGCAAGCTAAGCTGCTGATCAAGTTGACAGAAGCGAAGGACAAAAAGGATGGGAGTATCATTGTGGTGATAGCGACAGATGCACCGCTGCATCCTACCCAGCTGCAGCGTGTGGCAAAGAGAGCGACGATTGGGTTGGCGAGAGCTGGGGGCTGTGGACACAATCCATCTGGGGACATCTTCCTGGCTTTCTCGACTGCGAATGAGATTCCGGTGCAGACTGTTACGACACAGGAGCGGAAAGTAGATCCTTGGACTCCTTCAACTCTGCCAATCGAGTATGTTGACGGTAAGCATACACAACACTTTAAATCAACCCCCTCCTTAACTAACTTCTGTCTTAGATCAGACAATCAACTCGATATTCGAGAACACGGCTGATGCGGTCGAGGAGACGATCTTGAATGCCTTGTGTATGGCCGAGACTATGACCGGACATGAGGGCAATACCGTCAACGCCTTGAACACAGACCAGATGAAAGAGATGATGGAGAAGTACCTGTAAATGGATGTTCTTCATATTCAGGTTTGATTTACTTGGAATTGAATACGCTGGAGAGCCTCATGCAGCGTCATGGGTGAAATCACCCTAAGTCTCTAGCACGTTCGATCTGGACGACACAAAACTTGACATCTTGTTCGGATTTTCCAGATGCACTGGGACACCTCATGCAGTCAAGTGCATGTGGAATTACCTTAGGTTTACATGTTCGATCTGGACCTTGAAGATCTTTACATTTCATTGTGATTTCTTTCGACGGGCTGGGCCGCCTCACGCAGCATTGTACAGGTATAAACACTCCGGATACACGGTAAATCGAATTTGGAGCGCGAAGATATTTACATCCCGTTCGGACTTCCTTAATGTGCTGGGGCAACTCACGCACTATCGAACAAATGTAAACGCTCCGTGTGAACAGAGTGGCTCAGATGTCAGACTGATTTATGACGTGCTAAACCTTACATACCACCCAGATTTCCTCAAATACGTTGGGACACTTTAAACAACGGTGCACAGTCGAAGTCTGCACATGCCACACCCTACTATTTCAGTCTGTCGACTTCAGTGTTCGTAGCTAGCCATGAACAGTACCTCGCGACAGCTTCCAGTTACCGGTGTTGTCAGATCCAGGCATCATTACCACGGTAATGGTTTCACTCTCACCGTGAATCGAAAGCTGACAGCTTCGTGGCCAAAGTAAGCACAAGCTTTGATTTCAAGACTCTGGGAGGCCAAAGATGTGGCAACTTGGTCGACGGCGATTTTGAGCAGTTCGTGACCGCACTGATGCGGAAGATATATTTCGTAGACAGGCATCGCCGATTACTCGAGGTGGTTGGATTGGGTAGCCTATTTGTCGGGACATGTGCCCCTGATAGAGCTGCATATAACAGATCTTCAGACCATTCTTTTAGAGTGCAGTTGGACTTGGATGCTTGGTTAAGGTGCTTGGGTCCACTGCGTGTCCGTGTTCGTGGTCTCAAGCACCGGTGGGTCAGGGATTAATCGGTCACGTGATGTATGAACTCTGTCACTGCTCATTCGCTCCATGTATTGCCACCCAATACTATCAATAATTTGATGGAACATAGAGAAGTGATAGAAGATGCTCTCTGTAAATATTTCCTATGACTTTCACAGTTGCAGGAGGCAAACATTGGAAGTCATGAAGGAGGGCGCCTTGAAGCGTTGGTGCACGGCCTTCACACTGAATCTGTCCCTTCGCCGGGATCTTCATCGCCTTCGCACTCGCTGATTCGCTGTAGGCCGGGCAGTCTCCACCTCGGCGGCTATATTTATACCAGTAAGAAATGAGGAACGGCGTCGGGGGTGTAGCACAGCACGGCAGGGCGGCCGCGTCTTGTGAAGTGTGGACGAGTGGAGCAAGCACTCGCAGTGTCTTTACTACCCGAAGACATAGATTCTATGATGCGAACAGAGTGCAAGTGCCGAGACAGACACACACGATGTGTGTTGTTGAATGGAACAGTCTAGTGTCGCCTGCAGTTGAAGGCTGCGAGGAAAATTCCCGCCGAGCCAGGCCTCTTCTAAAAAAAGACCTCGGGCGTATCGCAAACAAAACGGGACTAGGGCAGCGGTTCGACAGCAGCTGGAGCATTGGTTGGAGGCGTTGGCCGTCCGTGCCTCTTTGCCAGACGCTGGTCCACACCTGCCCGTTCACCATTCAGTTCAACATCACCTGAACCTCCTCCTCAATCCCTCCCACCGACATCGCCGCTTGGACGACTCTCTCTCTCCTCGCACACTCCCCTGGCTGGTCGTCCAAGCCTGTTCGCAGCACGCTCTTCTGCTGGCCACTTTTGCGGCTCTTGTTCCATCGAGTGCGCCGTCGCCAACAACCCAAATACCTACGCACCTCGCGCTGCTCGAGCCGCCTCTCAGTCACTCCTTTGGCGCTTAGTCGAGATCTGGCATCTCGTTTCAACTTCTGCACTCTTCATTGGCAGTCCGGTGCGTATCGCTGTTCTCTCTACCCGCGCTCCAACTCTCCACTCATTCACTTCTTTCCTGCGCCATACTCCTACCCCTCTGCTGCCCTGTATGTTTCGAGCGTAATTGCAGTCGCCGCTCGTCCACGTTGCTGCCAGCTGCTCCCACCAAACTCACTCCCATCCTCTTGCCCTTCGTCTTCTCACACGCCCCAATGCATTTCGCCGCCCACTATGGCGACCACCACAATGCTCCAAAAGGCTGACAGTCCAACTCTCAAAAGGTCCTTTACTCCGGACCTGCCGTCTAATTCATACTTTCGAGCCAAAAAGCCAGACCACAACGCCGCTCCATTCTCGTCCCATCCTCCTTCCCCACGTCGGGCATCGTGTAGACAGGAGACCGTAGACCGACGACCACGATCCCGCGGCCTGGGACCGCCCGGACGGCCCCCCAGAGTCTTCAACCCAAGCATGCCCGTTCAGACGACTTCGAGACCTCATGTGCCAATGCCGTCGTTCATGTCGGTTTTTGGCGAGGAAGCAAACGACACCGGGATCCGGGATTATACAGAGCGCAACGCCACTGCCTCCCATGGCGACCTCGTAGCGCGGCCTGCATCCAGCGGGAATATTGCCATTCACCAGGGCTCGAACGCGCCCTTCTCTGTCTTCCATCAGCACCGGGACAGCACTTCGACATCGGCGTCAGAGTCGTCCGACTCGTCGCCTACCACCACTATTTCCACCATGGACTCGTCCTCCATGACCGAGCCGTCACCAGCGACGTCGCCCGAGTCTCCGCATGCCAAAATGCTCCCTTCATCGTTCGTGGCAGACTTTAGATCGCGACGCATGGAAGCACCCACGCTAGAGCCCACGCAACAGGCCTCCTTTTTTGAGCTGCAGCGGCCCACAACGCCTGCTAAAAAGCCCCGGAACCTGAAGAATCTGGCCGTCAAAACATCGAGCCTGCTGAACACGGGACGGGCAGCCTCCACAGCGTCTCTGCCAATTGTTGCCAAACAGGAGGCCGCACCTTCAGAGCCAGCTTCGCCTTTGTTTGTCAAGCCACCAACGCCACCAAAGAGACGACCAAGCAACTTGGGCCTCACCATTCAGACTCCAGGACACGACAATAAACCCATGCGCCTGCTCATTCCATCCACCCCGTCGTTCAATCGGCCTGCGCTGCGCCATTTCCAGTCTTCTCCTTCACTTCCCTTGTGTTCGCCCAGCGTAGCTCCCTCTGGAGGGATGCACTTTCCTTCTCTCCGACCTCTAAAAATAACCAATTCGCATGGCTTTGCCGAAGTGCCCATAGAAGTGGAAGAGGAGGACCAGGAGCCAAATTTTGATATACCGCAGTCCCGTGAGGAGAAGCCAGCGGCTTACCCGAATGGGCCAATTTGCATCTACGAATCAGGGGTGTTTTTGTATTTTGAACCCACTGCAGAGCAAGCGTTGAATTACGACGTAATTTTCAATGTCGCTAGCGAAGTCAAGAATCCCTTCGCTACAACTGCTGTCGGCGAGGACTCGTTAGAGGACCTGGAGGCTAGAAGACGGGATGGCAAGCCGACCAAGAGCCAACCAACACCGAGCGTTGGTTCTGCCTTAATGCCCACGTCCACGGGGGTGGACCGCACGGATACTCAAGACAGCTCCCCGACCACCCCAAAGGCTACACCAATTTCAGAGCATCCTACAGCATCAGTAGCGAACCCAGCTCTGAAAGCTCCGGAATACATTCACATCCCGTGGGAACACAACACTGACATCGTTCCTGATCTCTACAGACTGGTTCAAGTTATCGACGACCGTGTCCAGCAAGGCAAGCGGGTCCTTGTCCACTGTCAGTGTGGTGTCAGCCGTTCAGCTAGTCTCATCGTCGCCTACGGGCTGTACAAAAACCCAGGCATCAGCGTCCAAGAGGCTTATGATGCTGTCAAAAAGCGGAGTAGATGGATAGGTCCGAACATGAACTTGATCATGCAGTTACAAGAGTTTAGGAACGGACTCTTACGACAGAATATGCCGAGGAAATCAGCAGGGCTACCTTCCGCTAATTCTCGGCCGCTTACTTTCGAAATGGATTCATCGCCCACCGGGTCGAAGACTCCCCGAACTGCCCCATTACCTCCTGAAAATGACTCCTTGATGCAACGAGCAAGCACAGGGAATATGGCCGATGTCTCTCCAGGCCCCATGACTGCACCTTCGGGGGGCTTTTTCTCTCCTGGTTATCGCCGGTCATGGGCCTCCAGCCAGACCCAGACGAATTTCGACGTTCCTCCTGGACATGCGCCTGTCACGACCGCCACTCCCTACGTTGATCCAACAGGCCACATAGTACCAGTAGTTGCTGTCAATAAGGAAGCAAATACCATGCAGCCTCCACGACTCAGCGAAGAGAGAAACCTCGTAGCACATGATGCCGAGTTGAAGGCCCCTCCGGTCCCCAATTTCTCTCGTCGGTTGACTCTCCAGAAACAGGATGATGATCTTGATGCATTATCTGGACTACTTTCTCCTCGCGCAACCTCGTTCGAGATCCCTCAGCAGGCGTCAGCTTTTTCACCAAGGTCGACTGAGTTTCACATGATTCCGCTACAACAAGCTCCTGATTATGATTCATTTGGCTTGACGTCACCCCGAACGACGACATTCCAGACATCTCCCATGCAACAGGAGTCTCTCCAAGAAGCGTCAATAACATCCCCAAGGTCCGCCGAGTTTCACATGACCCCCCTAAAGCAAGACGACTTCGATGGGTCATTTGGTCTGTTCTCTCCTCGCGCCACAGGTTTCGAAATACCCCACCAGGCATCAGAGATACGGCCAACCTCAACCGCCGGTGAATCTTTGATTTTGAAAAATCAATCTTCCAACTCCTCTGAGGACTCGAAGCCTGCTTGGGCTTCTCCTGACGCGTCAGCTCTGTCCCCACGGTCATCTGAATTCCATATGACTCCTTTCAAGCATGATGACTTCGACGATACGTATGGCTTAACGTCACCAAAAGCAACTAGTTTTACTTTTGGAGCACCTCCGACATTGCCACAATTCGGACAATCACCAAACCAAATGTCAAACCCACCTGCAGATCTAGTCTCACCCAGGACTGCCGAATTTCCGCGCAGCACCTTTGAAGACGAGCCGAGAAACCTCGACGTGACGTCTCCAAGGTCAGCCGAATTCCACATGACACCTCTCAAACCCCAGATCGAGGACAATGACTCGTTCGGTTTAACGTCTCCTCGCACGTTTGAATTCTCTTTAAACCCTTTCGAAGGCATCGAGCGAAAGTCAAACCCAGATGGAAGCCTTCCGTTTAGACAGCACCACCCGATCCATCCTCCAGCCCATCTCAGCCAGCCCGAAAGTGAGAATGGGTTTGCTTCATTGAATGGCTCGGCTAGCTTCAAGCCCTCATTTGTCAAATTGAGCCCGCCTCCGAGCTTCAAATTGGCCAAGCCTCCCATCAGAATTGATAGCTTGAGTTCTTCTGAAGAAGTTCCCCCGCCCCAATCGAAGACGGCCGAAGCGGTGCAAGATGCACCTACAGCTGTACCACCTCAGCTGTCAACACATCTGGCGACTCCATCAAAGCCAAACACCCTCAGAACACGTTACTCGTCTCCAAATCTGCAAGAACAACGACGCCTTCACAAGCTACAAACGGAGATAAAGACCCTGCTGCCACCACGATCACCCAATCTCGCACATGCTGTTGACGATATGGACGCATTGATGTCGCCAAGAGCGACCGAGTTCACAAGGAACCCATTCCATATCGACCTTGCTAGTCCGGGAGAAGATACTAGCCCGGCATCGTCCATCGAAACGATCAGAGCTGGTCAGGATCACATTGAAGGATTGAATGCTACTGCGGATGCCCACTGGCTTGCACCCAAACCAGTCGACGACGATCCAAGGAGCCCAGCGCACAAAGGTGTGAGTCCTATCGTGCGCAGTATCTTCGACGTCCTATGAGCAGACTTATAGCCTCTTCCCGCTGTTTGGGTTACGTCAAGGGAGACTTGATCTTCCATCCGCAATGCCAGTTGAGTTGAGCCAAAGTTCAGGGTGACTCACCGCCTCGAGAGGTGGTTTCTGGCTATGAGGATGGTCCCACGCATTCAGTATTCCCGGATGCGTCGAACCGTACCTCGCACTCTCCGAAATACTGACAACTCGACCCTATCGTGGCTTACCATATTGCCTATGGCTTACGAACCGACCCAGACGTTCGGCCGATAGCGAGAGAGCAGCAGCACCACCGGGATAATGCAAGCCAGCAACGGACATGCACGATGATCAGTCCTGTCAAACCGCCGCGTCCGGGAAACATGGGGCATTCAAGCAGCGGCGGCACCACGACCCAGTGCCTGCACAGTGGCCAGAGCGGCCACTGAGCCACACAACGCTCTCCCACCCCAACTCCTTTCTCTTGTACCCGGGCACACCACGTCACCCAACCACACGCTCTCTACCTTCCTTCTTCACATTCCCTTGGTGGCGTTTTCGAATTCGTCTCTAAGTAGCAACGACACCAAGGCGCTACGCACTCCGCACTCTATCGGCATTGGAGCTCGTTTCTTGAACGCCAAACACCATAGTGTCTACTCTCTCTCTCTCTTTCTCTCTATACAAGTCTCTCTTGATTTTTGCCTGGCTTTTCCTATGTCAAACCCAGTCACGAAGGATGGTCGCCGCCAACCAAACGCCCGTCTCAGATCTCCGTGACGCCTCTCCCCCCCCCCCCCGGGGGGGGGGGCCTTTCACACCACTCGGCCTCGGCTATTCGGGTCGTGCCTGTTTCTTTCCTTTGTTATTTGCGTCTCACAGCTTCCCGCGCACGTTATCGCGAGCAGCTTTTTGTATGTGTCGGCCTTTCGGGAGTCTTTTTGGAGTAATACGGGGGGGAGGGGTTTGCAACGAGGCCATTGGAACGGAATATGCGTGTGATGGGGGCACGAAATGTGCAAATGGTTGTTTTTTTTTTTTTTTTTTTTTTTTGGGGGGGGGGGGGGAGGGGCTGCAAAGTAGTATCCGGGGTGGTTTTTTCGGAATTGAGCCGGAGTGGAGTCGAGTGGTGGTGGTGGGTTCATCTATCTATCTAACTATCTAGCTAGGTATCTTATTTGCAATGGATATTATACCTGGTTTTTATACGCGAGGAGAACTGTGCTGTGCTGTGCTGTGCTGTTCTGTACTAAGTGACTTGGGATGTTTTTTGATGGCTGCGTAGGGCGGGCTCTCTCTCTCTGACGCGCCTTTTGGTTAATGTAGGTAACTAGGCTGTTTCCGGAATTTTTTTTTTTTTCAATATCACAAGTACACACACACACACATGCACACACAAAGTCATAAATGAGAAAAGTAAAAATCATGATGCAATTCAGGACAGAAGCCTCTCGAACAAAGCCTCCGCAAGTACCAAAGCCAAGATAATATAGACCCTCCCCCCCCACCCACCCTCCCAATCCCAAACCCAGCCCAAACCCCGTGAAAAAACCCAGCTTTCCCCCCCATCCCTGCCGAGGAAGCTCAAAGCAGTTCATGAGCATCGTAATACAAGCCAAAAGCAAAAACAACATATGCAAGAAGCGAAAGACAGAGCTTATGTGTAAAACGAGCGTGGGTCGTCGTAATTGATGTCAGAGTCATGCAAACAAGAAAAAAAAGAGTAATTCTCATATCGTAAAAAAACACACGTAAGACTTGGGGATTGATAGTGGAGGTGCTATGGCACACCTGCGACACCCGATTCATCCGTCCAGGTCCAAGTCTTAGTGAAAAAAAACGCCAGTTCCATTGGTTGATTGATTGACAAAAGGGAAGTTGTAGGTGACCGCAAGGTGTAAGGGGGGAAAGGGTAGTCGAAGGAGCAATATACATTTAGGGGGGTGGGAAAAGGTGACTAGAAAGCACTGCACCGTCGTGCATAATTGACGGTCGTGTAGACAAGAGCCATGAACAGACTCGAATTGTCTGGGTTTCGTAGTGACGTATCGCAAGAATAGAACAGCAAAAACAGGTAGGTATTGGGGGGGGAAGGGTAGAAGACTGGGTGGATACACCCAAAATTAAACATGGTGTGCAGTGATAAGAATCTGCCTGGAAGCTCAGAAACATTGGCCCATCTGGTAAGACCTCGTGAGGTGGCCCAGTATGTCGACCATTATGTCAGAGCTCATCGATATACAGTCCGATTTAGGATTTGATACGCAACTGAGGATGCTAGTAGGCGTAGGTCTCGGTCCGCCTGAGTCCAGGCTTGGTTTGGTAGTCTCTCTCCTTCTCGCGACCTCTGCTGCTATACCCGACATCCTCTGGTCCATATTTCTTGGCCCAGTTGATCTGGTCAGGGGGGAAGCTTGTTTTGCGGGCGGCTCGCTCGCGACGGAGATAATCTGAGTCGAGTTCGCCATACAATGAAGGGCCACGCGCTGTGTCTAGGCTTGGTCGACGTTCAGGGCTCGTACTCATCGTTGCAGAGCGACCAAGCGGCGGATGAGGAATGCGGATTGGAACAACTCTAGGCGCTGCTGCTGCCCCTGATGGGTAGCGCGATGAGGAATTTGAGGCGGGCACCGTGCGGGAAGTGGTTAAGGGAGATGGGGATCGGCGACGGCGAGCTTCAGGCTCGCGGAGAACAGTGCGATGTCCACCTGGGATACCGAAGTCCTCCGGAGCCAGTGTAACGCCACCTCCTGGGGATGCGATGTAATACTTCTTGGTCGAGGCGGATGGTTGCGCTGAAGGGATAGAGGGGTAGGCGGCGGTCTCGGGACTGGAGTTTCTAGATCCAGTAGGTAATGTGTTTTCGTTGCGCAGTGTAGATGGGCGAGTTGGTGTCGACTCCTTTCTGCGAGTCGATGACTGAACCGACGGCATCGTTTCCGACCGACGGAACACGGGGCTGGGCGAGATTTCGGAACGACGACGGTCGTTGCTCGATTCCATGGTGTGTGCACGTTGCGGCGTCGCGCGTGGGACCGTCTTGATGTCTGCGGGCGACGAGCTCGACTGCTTGAAGGAAGGAGGCCTCCTACTATTATCATCGTCGTCCCATTCAACAATCTCCGGGAAAGCCCAGACCTTGCGGTGGCCATCCCGACCCGAAGAAACAGGTTGCGCCGTATCCCGATCCCGAGGACGAGCAGCAGACGACCGTCGCGGTGCATCTGGTCGTCGGGGCCTGATATCGTAGTAGTCGCTCGCATCCCGAGACGAGCTCGTTCGGCTGGCCTGCGGCCGTGACTCGGCGTTTCTCGACGTCGAGATGTAGTTCTTGGCCTTATCTTCCATGTCACTCAGCTTTCGGTGACGCTCATCGGCGAAGCGGTCATCACGGTCGCGAGAAGAGCTTCGGCGAGTAGACCTCGCAGCCGCCTCCTCAACATTGCGGCGTTCTTCGTCGGCCTTTCGTCGGGCCTCAGCAGCCTCTTTTCTGGCTCTCTCGTGCTCAGCTTCCTGCTTCTCGCGAAGGCGTGCCTCTTCGCTGCGTTTCTTGTATTCTCGCTCGTAGCGGGTCCTGTCATCGGGCGACTCATCGTCTTCAGCATAGGCAAACTTGGCGGTGCGGTCCCGTCGCTCGTCCCGATCCTTGGTCTTCTTGTGGTCGGACTTGACTTTTTCGCTCGTCCTAGACACTCTGATGGGCTCTCGCTCGGTGCGCGAGGAGCGTGGCGCAGGCCGCTTGGTGTATGCTTCGTATCCGTCGTACTTCCTCGACGACGACCGGTCGTCGAAGTATTTGTCGTCATCGTAAACGCGGCTCGGTCTCCGCTCCTCGTAGCGCGGTGTGGAGTGGTTTCCTCCATAGGCGGCGGCGGACGCTGGAGATCGGTAGTCGTAGCTGGCAGAGCGCGAGGGTGTGCCGCCGCCGGTGCGTTCGAGCTTCTCTTTGCGCAGCTCGGCGAGGCGGACCTGGGCGTCGTAGACGGCGCGCTTGTCCTCGTCCCCAATAAGCTCGTAGGCGCTCTGGATCTTGTGGAACTCGTCCTGCTTCTGCAGCTTGAGCGACTCGTCGGTGACCTTGTCCGGGTGGCACTTCAGGACGAGCTTGCGGTATGTGGATTTGATGGTGGCCGCCTCTGCGTTCTTGGGCACGCCGAGGGCGGCATATGGATCGGGGGGAAGGTCAGAGTCCATGGTTTAGGCGGTCGAGCTGGGCCTGGGTACAGCGGCGGACATGCAGTTTGGACGGCGACGACAGCGAGCAGGCGGCGGAGGTTGGCCAGCGACGGGCAGGCGAGATATTTGATAATGCGGGTGTGGTTTGGGTGTGTCGATGGACGGTGTTTGAGGAGGAAGAGGCGCTGGAGGGTCGAAGGAGGCGGGTGTTATGTAGGAGCGACCCGTGACGTGAGTGGTGAAGCGGTGGTGAGAGAGATGCGGCGCACAGGATTACATCAGCCTGGGGGTGAGGAAGGCACAAGCCCGGCGATCCAGCGGCCGAGGAATCAGGGATGGTGCTGCGACGGGCGTTGAAGGGAATCGAAGGCCCGAGAAGCGCGATGGAGCGGATGGAACGTATGGAATGCTGTATGCAACGTGTCCGGCGTCCGTGAAGAGAGTGCGCGGGGAGGCAGTGCAAATGATACAGCAGCACAGAGCGATGGGCTGGCAAGCGGTGAGATGCGGGCCGATGGCGGTTTCAGTGTCACGACCAAGCACCACGCTCCACCAAGCTTTGCAGACCCAGCGACACTGCAGACAGCGGCCTCATATACACACACCGCGACAGGCCAGGGCTGCTGCTTGCACGGCCAGAGAGCCCGCCTCGCGCCTCGTTGCTCGTTCTCGGCACAGTTGCCCGCGATGCGCGCCGCTGCCTCGTCGTCACCTCGCCACGGCCGTCGACGGCGCCATTGGCCTCGGGGGCTCGAGCGGCTGGGCACTGCGATGTCAAGCTGGAGCACGCCGGCGTGGTGTTGAGCGGCCACTGGCTGCAGAACGGCTGACTCGACCATTGGAGCAAAGTTTCTAAGCGCTGGCCTCAGCGGGAGAGACCTCCTGCACGTCGGGCACGGCGGCTCTCGCGATTTGCTGCTGCGGGCTGCGAGGCCTCACGCCCATGGCCAACCCGGAGAGAGCAGCAGGCCGCAGTCTCGGGGCCTCGTCGACATGCGGTGCCGAGCCCGTCCATTATCAAGCGTGCCTCTCGTCAAGCATGCCTCTGGCGACCTTCAGGGCGGCAGGGCGGCAGTCCATTGTCACGGCCTCACAGTCATTTGCAAGCAATTGGAATCGCTCTCGTGCTGCTCGGCCGACGCTGCGCTCTGCGCTCTGCGCTCTGCGTCGAAGCAGCTGCTGGAAGCAGGGCCAGCTGATGCGATATTTTCCATTGGCCCATCAACACCATCGTCTGCCCCAAGGGCCCCTCGGGCTAGCCTCGAGCATCCCCACGACGCAGTCATGGCGTTGCTTGTGGTGTGACGCCCTGCCTTGCCGACGGCGCTGTCGACCTCTCTGTGCCCTCCATCCCACGGGGCGTGACGTGAGGCAGCCCCTCTAAGAGTGTGATGTGAGGCAACCCTCGAAGAGCATCCGAAGGCATCGCTCTCTGCCTCGCCGCGCCGTTGAGGCGTCGACCGATCGCCCTGCTTTCCACGGGCGATTGGCGCGGCACCCCATTGCTAGCCCAAGGCACTCGTCGTGTCGTCCCGGCCCGCCGTCCATTCACATGGCCAATCAAGCATCCATCGACTGAAAGTGGCAGGATCAGGGGTGCAGCGTCGTGCGGGGACCTGAGTCTCTGGCGGTGCAACACCAAAGGCCGAACGTGTGAGGGCCTGATTGCCTGGCCGCCGCCAGAGCGTCATTCCGCACGCCGTCCAGAGCCTGTGGCAGTGACAAGTAGCACCGCCCATGTATCGTGAGATCATGCCGCGCGAACAGCTGCCCTCTCTCTACTATCTGCATCCGTATGAACCTAGCCCTCGCCATCGTCACCGTCCGTCCAAATCGGGAGATCCATATCAACCACGATCGGCTTGTTAAACCGCTTCGGTCCCTCTCCATAGCCCGCCGCCATAAACGCAGCATTAACCACACAAGTCTCCCTCCCCCTCTCCTCCCCTTCTTCCCGCCTTACACCAACACCACCAGCCTCGCCCCCACCTTTGGACCGCCCTCCCAATCCAAGGCTTCCCATACCGTGACGTGTCTCCGCGCCGTCGTCCCCTAACCCCCTCCAGCCCTTCCCCTTCCCCTTCCCCTCCCCCCTCCCCGTCAAATCAACCAGCGACTGCCTCTTGCTTCCAGCACCCGCATCCTCCCACACCTCACACCCCTCCTCCAACCACCCGTCCTCCCCATCGTCGTCGCCAGCCCACCGCACCCGCTCCGCGCCCCGCCCCTCATGTATATGCCCGCAAACCACCAACCGCGGCCGCACGCGCCCCAGCCGCCGGCGCAGCGCCTCGCACCCGTGCGAACGGCCCGCGCCGGCAGCATCGCAGTGGTTCCGCGGCGGCGTGTGCGTGACCACCACATCCGCGTCGGTGGGGATCGCGGCCCAGAGCTCAGCGGCGGTGGCGTCGGCATATTGAAAAGCCCATTGGCCGAGCGTGGGCGAGTACGGGCTGCCGAAGACGGTGAAGCGTGTGTGCGGGCCCGTGGGCGCGCGCAGGCGGATCGAAGCGGGCTGGTGCTGGAGGTAGGTGAGGGAGGGGGAGGCGTTGGTGGTGAGAAGGCCGAGGCAAGCGGCGGGGTCTTGGGGCGAGGGGAAGCGCCAGGAGGTGCCGTGGGCGTCGTAGAAGGGGGCGTCGAGGGTGATGTCGTGGTTTCCTGTGGGTAGGTGTGTGTTAGGCGGATGGGTTTTGGAGCTTCGAGGTGGGCGGGGGCTGTACCTGCAATGATGATCTTGGCCTCGAAATCGGCTTTCTCGAGCCATGCGACGGTCTTTTGCAGCTCGCTCAGGCTGCCTTGGTTGGTGAGGTCGCCCGCGTGGATCAGCACGTCTCCGCGCGGGAGCTTAGGTGTTTGGTTGTGCGTGTCCGAGATGCAGACGAAGCGGGTCTTTCGCATTTGAGGCCGAGGCGGGGGAGAGGAAGCCATTTTGAGCCATGTTTGGTGTAAATGTTGCTCTGTTGGCTGTGTGGGGTGGGTTTATCAGGAAGTTCTCCAGAAGGTGTCGGGGAGGGAGAGCAGACAGAAGCGGGATATCTTCTTGGACCTGGACCGTGCACAATGGTTTGATCGAGCACCAGAAGAGATATCAGAAACCTGCAAGCAGGCTTGTGTTACAGGTCTGAGATTGTATATTCTGTTCCTAGTGCTGCGTATTCTCTAGCGACTTAGTGCAAGAAGTACGTTCTGTCTTGAACTTGACTCTACTTTGACGCATGGATCAGTTTCTATAATGGTTGGGTTCAAGGCGACCGTGGTCCGCAGTGATAGAAATCTATGACAGTATGGAAACATAACACCGTGGCGTTCTAGATAAACTAAAACCAAAGAGTTACGCCTTGTGCCTTCTGATTTGCCCATGGTCAGTATCCAAAAACATGGAAGAAACGCCTTGCCTACAACGCCCGTAAACTGAAAAGTGAACAGCGACCTGCATCGATTCTACATCCCGTTCCAAGGTGGGTCTTCCGTCACAAAGTCGTTATAGTCATACATCATACTATCGTCCGGAACTGGAGGGAGGACTGCATTTGACAATTCCGGCCACTGGCTCAAGTCGCCAAAGGTACCTGGGAAGCCGTCCATTGGAATGTCCGCCGCATTGTTGTCTAGCCTGCTACCAGAAGTCCTGAAAAGAAACCCGTCTAAGGTTTCGTTTGGTATTGTAGACATCGCAGGCATTGCAGGTGTAAACGGGATGTTTGCCGGTGATGATATTGTAACACCAGAAAAGTGTTCCTCCATAGGCGTCGGTACAGAAGGCCTGCGCGGTTCAACTGCTTGCAAGGTCGGAAGCGACTCTGTGTGATCAACGGTGGCTGTTGAATTCCAGTCCTTCATGGTCTTGCCATCTCGGAAATGGCCCGCGATGTGAACCTCGCGGGAGTTCCAGTCTGATAAGTGCAAATGACAGAAACCACAATCCCAGCCATCGTTCTGTGATTCTTCTGCGGAGCTCTTCCACTTTGCAGCAGTAATGTCGAATAGTGTCGAATTGTGGAAGTTCTTGACGTGCTGCCTCAGGTGATCTGGTCTGTAGTACGTCCGATCTTGAAGTGACCGTGCGGCGCATACTCCAATCCGGTGAGACGAGTGGACATGCTCCTCCGTGGGATCTTTCTGCATACAGAACGCACAGCAACTCGAAGTACTACCACGAGAGAAACTTAGACGGGGCCCGTGGAGCATGCAGGTCCATCTGGAACGTGGCAGATGCTGAGTTTCCTCGTGTCGCCGCCACGACTTGGGGGTAAGTGTCTTCTGGCAGAACGTACACTGCCAATTCTCTACACTGGGGGGATGCCGTGGTGCTTGTGAGGGTGTTGAGGCTGTGTTTTCAGGTATGTTTGTCGTCGTATTTTGCTTTCGGTAGTTCTTCTTTTTGCCTCGCCGAGATGGTCCTCTGGTGGAGCTATGAGGGGAGAAAGCGCTTGATTCGGATACTGATTCAGCACGAGGGTGGGACGTGTCGATCTTGCTTGGTTGCGCAGGTCGTGAATGGTTGCCACCACTTCTGTTATTTGCGAGGGTCGTGAAACGGCGGCCCTGGGTGTATGACTCGTATCCTTCGCTCTCCGATGAGGCGTCATCCTCAGAGTTACTTGACAGCCATGTCTCCATAGGGTTCAATTGGCGAGCTCTTGCGTTAGTGAACCAAGTCGTGACCTGTTTCTCTGTGATGCCGCATTGCTGAGCCAGTTGCTTCTTGGTTTCAGCGCTCGGGTAAGGGTCGTGCTGATTCGCATCTAGCCAACCTTGAAGCTTCGTCAAGGCGCTTAAGGGAAGCTTGAATCCCCGGCGAGCTCTGGACCTCGTAACCTTGCATGGCTTTGATTCCCTGGGGCGCGAATTTACTTCCATCTCTATACAGCTTGCACATTTCGTAGGCTGTTTGGGGCTCATCAGAGCGGACAGTTCGCATGCTGAACATCGCTGGTCTTTCTGAACCCTCCCCAATGACTGGTCTGGCGTTGGTAGGGAAGTTAGAAGTCTGTTCGCGCCAGTGCTTTGGCAAATCTCCGCGAATGGCGTTGAGGGTTTTTGATTTGGCGATTGGCTTTCTAGAGAAGAACTCGTATAGTCGTGAAATTTTGTCGACGTTGGAATTGCGAGCTCTGTTCTCGCGTCTTCACATGTTGGTACCGGTGGGCTACATTTCTCACAGAGAATACCCTCGCCCGGGTTAGCGATTGCCCACAATTCGCACGCCACGCAAGTCCGGCTTTCGTCGAGGCTCTGTCCATGATTCAGGAAGATACTATTGGTACGAGAGCAGTCCTTGGACGTGAAGACGTTGACTTTGGTGACAAGGGGTGCTACTTGTTGGTCTCGTTGAAGCCGCACGTGCTCGCCGCCCTTGACGAAAAGATTAGATGCATCAAACAAAGGTTGCAAGAATTGACTTACAACATGCACATTCCAGAAGTTTGGTGACTTGAAGTCGCCATTGGAGTCCTCAATGAAGGGGAAATTTGTAGTGGAGTGTTCGACGGCAGCAGTCTGGTCCTATAGAAGCTCAGATGGACTCTTTTAGAGGCTAGGTTGAGATGAAAGTTTCGGAAGCGTGTTTACCTGGTCAACTTCGACAGCAAGAGATTCGTCGAGTACCGGCTCGGAGCTAATGTAGCCCGAGTCGAATGACCAGATGGATGGCGCAGCCTTGGATGGCTTAAGACCGAACATCACGTCGAGATCTGCCTTGTTGCTGGGACTAGCGGCTTATGCATGCGGGAAAGCATATGAAAAAAGGAAAATGGCAGCCAAGGGGGTGTAAGGCGTTGGAAAGGCGTCTTGTACGATTGTAAGGCAACGCGGGATGCGCCCAGTGATATACACAGACGACTTGAGTACCAGGGAGCCGGTGGCTGTGCAAACACTTTCAACGCCTCGTCGCCTTAGCCACACTGCTCCAGCTGGACAGGCTCGTTATTTCACAGCCTGACACTCGATGGGGCATAGCGGCGGACGCGCCCGCATCATGCGCCGAGCCTTGAGCCTGTGCCACTGCTTAGAGCGCTTCCAACGGATTACCAAGAAGTCCGAGTCTGGAAAAAGCTAAAAGAGACCGAATTATAAGTCCTGCATCATGCTCATAGTTTCAGGTTCTCGCCACTGATCAGGTGCTTCCGGGCATTATAACGGATCTGGATGCGGAAAAGCTGAAGAACGCGTCGCAATCGTCAGTGGCTTTTCACTAATTATTGGCATGCCCTGTCATTGCTTAGGCTGCATGAAAGTATTACCAGACATCCAATTGAGGTGTGAAAGGCTCAAGAGCGTCAATTGGATAGATTTTGTCTGACTGGTCCGCTACTATTGAGGTCGCCTCCAAGATTTCGTTTCACATTGGCATTGCTTCTAGTGCTCTAATATAGTGACCAAGCCGATCGTCAGCACTCTAAAGCCCATTCTGGATAGTTTGACGTTTTCATCATTGTACATGTCTTCCGAGTTTATCATACTTCGAAAAACTTTTACGTCGTGGCAGACTAGTGCGCACGAGCTACAATTCGAGCGGCTATTTACACGCCGGAGTCTTCTTCCTTCACCCCGCCTCAGCAGTGTGACCTCCAGAGGTCATGCCCCGTACAGCCCCAGCCCAACCTCTTTCGTAGGCAGGTTAGGTGGCGTGGCCGTTGAGGCATTTCAGCGGTTATATCAGCCCCCAAAGGCGAGCGTAGGCAGCGAAGGCATGCCCCAAGTTGCCACTCAGTGATAAGTTGAATCGTTTCGGGGTTGATTCTCATGCTCAGCCCTTTTCCACCCCGTTGGTACGTGGCTCCTGTTCCCTAAGGACGTCCATAAAACTTGGCTTTTTGACAAACCCGGGAGACCTGGACTCCTCCTTGATGTGCGCTGGCCAAGCCTTTGAACTACAGATATTCCCCATCAAATCTTTCAGAGCAGGAATCTCCCTGGCGACCATCGCAAAACTCTCAAGGGGTATCCAGTACAAGCCTTCCATATTGAGAAACTGCTGCTTGGTATCATTGATACTTCGCTGAATTTTCTCATAGTCAAACTCTTCCTCGCCCTCCATGGGGAATCGGAAATCCTGGGCAAGTTTCGCTATGTCATATTTCCGCAGAAACAGCTCTCTTTGCTGTGGAGTGACCTCTTTGCGCGACCATTCCGAGTAAGGTGGGTCCATGTAGGCCAGATCAAGTTCTGGGAGCCCGAGAATTCCAGCCGCTTGAAAGGACATCATCCATGGATCATCTGTTTGGACACTGGAGTCAATGTCCTGCAATGCAACTTTGTAAAGCGGCAAGAACCCGGCCGAGATTCCCATCTCATCTCCAGAGAAATGCAAGGGGCGATTTGAGCCCAATTCAGCGGCACGTTTTAACACCCTAGGGAGCTTTGATAGGCGTTGCAAGCGTGCAACCTCTTTAGCCTTTTCTTCTGCCAATCTCTTTGCTTCGTTTTCCGCAGCGATACGTGCGGCTTCATCCGCTATCCTCTTGGCTTCAGCCTCCGCCTCTGCAGCTTTGCGTGCTATCGCTTCCTCTTCAGCTTTACGTGCCGCCTCTTCTTCCGCTTTCCGCGCGGCTTCTTCTTCGGCAGCTTTGCGTTTGGCCTCCGCGGCTCGTCGCTCAGCATCTTCACGGCGGGATTGAAGGACTGACTCTGGCGTTGTAGCCTTCTCTGGTGGAGCTGACGCTTTCTTAGATTCGGTAGCTGGAACCGGCGCTTTCTTAGCTTTGGCGTCGTCTCCGGACTTGTCTTCAACGGTGACCTTCGACTCCCTGCTCTTTTCTCTTTCAATGGTGCGGGCCTTGGCGAGCATCTTCTTGATAGCCTTCCTGTCATCGGGGGACTCCGCATCCGGAGTTGGTTTGACATCACGCGACCTCTCCCGTTCGCCAGGGCGTGGCTTGTTAAGTGGCTTCTTGATGGGCTTTCGATGTTCCTCTTCTTCGCTGTCTCCTGAATGAGCTCCACTGGCACGTCTCTTCGACTCCCGGTTCTCTACCCGAGACTTGATGGCCCTCTTTGGTGGCTTTTGCTCCTGGTCTTCACTGTAAGACCTTCGCTTCGCTACGGGTTTCCTTTGAGGCTCCGGGCTTTCGTCGATTTCTGAAGACGACGCCGTCTCATCGTCGACCACCTGTCTTCGTCGTTTCTTGGCATCTCGTTGATTGGACAATTGGCGGCCCGATATGAGCCGTCCTCTCGTTTTCTGTGGGGCTGTGAAGGACTTGGTGTGTTGAGTCCTTTTAGTCTCGTGTCGTGGCGAAGAGGAGCGCTCGCGTTGGGGCGATGACTTTCTCTTCGGGCGGGCTGGGGCAGCGTTTTGTGCTTCCTTCCTATTGCGTTTCGGGCTCTTGTGTTCAACACGGTGCCTGTCGTACGCCGCCTTCAAGAGATCCCTCTCCTGCTCCCATTTAGGCCCTTCTCTTTCCTCGGATAACTCAAAGTAAGTCCGGCCTTCACGGTTGCGTTTCGTAGGATCGAAAGAATCCTGCTCTAGTATCAGTTTGATGATTTTGAGATGGCCTCTCCCAATGGTAACGAGCATAGGAGTCTCGCTGTGCTTGGAAGGATCTGGGTCCGCTTTCAGCCCACTGGCTAAGAGAATGCTCAAGATGTCATAATGACCTCCACGAGCAGCCGCAACCCCGCAAGCAATGTTGGGCTTGATATTGCTATTCAGCAATTCCCCTACTGCCAGTATGTCGCCTTCACCAGCTTTTTCGATGAGGGTCTCGGTGTTGAACTCATTGTACAATAGTCGTGATGTTGTTCTCTGCTCACTTGCGCCGGTAGCGTTATCTTCGTCCTCCAGTGTGTTGGTTTCGCGGCGCATAGCTTGCTTTAGCTCTTTTTCAATCTCCTTCATATCGTCTTCGTCGTCGTTCAGTACGTCAATAGCGCGTTGGCCCTTTTTGTTTTGGTGGTGGGGATTGACTTTGGCTTTCCCGAGCAATAGCTTCACTACCTCCAAATGGCCATTCTCTACAGCGTCAATCAGAGGCGTGTCTCGGTCGTTCGATTCGCAATCGGTACGGCAGCCTTGGTCGAGCAGGAACTCCACAATCTCGGAATGTCCGTTGAGTGATGCCTTCTGGAGAGGCGCAATTCCGGCAAAGTCCTCCTGGTTCAGCTCCTCTGGGGCCGCGTTGAAGGCTGCTTGTACCGCTTCGAGGTCGCCCTTTTCGCATTCCCTAGCCAGTCTGGTTGCGCCAAAACGATCTACGTTTTTCTTAGGCATCATTGCGCGCGCCGGGGACGTCAGGGCGCGATGCGACGATCGCTTGACACGTGCGTGAGGAGGGATATTAGGCGTCAGGACGGGTCGTGGGGAGGAGGACGTCTCGGAGCTCGACTCAGACCACGTCTTGCGCTCCATGGACGGCAGGACGATGGAGGACAGATCGCGCCTCCTGCGGCCTTGCACACCTTGCAAGACAGACTGCGTAGACGCGGACCGTTTGTGCGGGTGGGTGCCAGACGGCGCAGGCGAGGGGTCCTGGTTGCGATGGCCGGAGGTTTCGCGCGCGAGGCCGTCGATCTTCGGCTTCTGGCGTGCTGGCTCGGCGGCCTTGGGACTGGAGTCTTCGCGCAGCTTGCGCTTGCGGGACTCAAGCGCAGACAGGCTTCTGCCTCGTGTGGTGACGGGGCGCAACGGGGACGACGGCGTGTGAGAGGGTGACTCAGGCGGCTCGACAGGGCTCCTATGTTGCTCTGGCCGCGAGGTAGTGCGGCTGCTGGGCGACGCGGGAGCAGACATCTTGCCGTCATGCTCGCGGCCGTGCTTGGCGCCGTTGGTTTCCTTCGACGTAGAGCTCGCAGCCGGGCGCACAACTACATCTTCGACATCGTCCTCGGTCTTGATGCCGGCGTCAGACAGCACCACCGTCTCGGCCTCCGACTCATTCTGGGCATCGTCGTCGTGGCTCGGGGCGGACACGGGCGGCGAGTCTCTGGCAGCGGCAGCGGGCTGCTCTTCCGCAGGCGAGGGTAGCGAGGGCTTAGGGGCGGGCGACGTGGACGCTGGGTGTGCGCTCCTGGGCATTATGGGAGACAGGATGGGACGGCTCCTGCCTCATTGCGAACTGAAGGTAATCGGGGCGATGGCAGGGTGGCGGGCGAGGCCGTCGAGATCGTGGTGGAGGTGAAAGGGTGAGGGCGAGATTGGATGTTGGGGCCTTTCTGCATCGCCAGATCGATCCAAAGCGGCTTACTGCCTCCGCTTGGCGCGCGTGGGAGCCCAAGGGGCCCTTCAGACCCGTGGAAACGCCATCCCAACACCATGAATAGCATCGCCATTCCGCGATTGCCAGCAAACCAATCCACCCGGAGACCCGGTGGCTGAAGCGACCTGCCCATGGACCTGGATGGGCCCCTCGCCGCGCTGCTGGATCCCGTGCTGCTGCTGCGTGCCTTCTACCTGGCCGCCGCCGCTCTGGTATCTCCAGCCTTCTCCTCTGTAGCAGCGTGCCGATGGCCTCTTGCCCGCTTCTCTGCTAATCCAGCTGCACTGCGCCCAGATACTGCTCATCAGCGCCGTGCCTGCGCTTAGCGATCGCTTTCTTGCCTATGGCTCTCGTTCTGCCCGTTCCCCAGCGCCCAGAAATGCGCCCACCGTCCTCGCCCGTGTGCTCGACCATTTGACGACCTACCGTGTCCCGCACCTCTACTTCGCGCATTTCTATATCCTCTCCATTCTGAGCTCCCTGTTTTGGGCGCATCAGATCTGGACACGTGGGCCTGGTTTCGAGCTCCTAGCCACCTTCGTCCCCGAAGACTCTCCTACCATGACTCTCCCGCAGATCTACATGGTCTGGGCATTGATGCTGCTACAGGGAGTTCGTCGCCTGCTTGAGTGTTTGGTGTCGGCCTCAAATTCGATGAGCACCATGTGGATAGGCCACTACATCCTCGGCCACCTCTTCTACCTGGCAGTGAACATCAGCATCTGGATTGAAGGGGTCCAGGCCATCCGCGCCCCCTCCCCTTCGTCGCACCCCCAACCAGCGTTCTCATCGCTCATACTGCCCCTCGTTCTCCCCATCCTTCTCGCCGCCCATGTCGGCCAGCACAGCTACCACGCCTACCTATCGTCTCTTCGCGCAACGAAGCACTCGTACAGTCTTCCCTCCCATCCGCTGTTTCCGAACGCCATTTGCCCCCATTACACGCTTGAGACCTTGATATATATCTGTCTGGCTCTTCTTGCGGCGCCCGAGGGGCGACTAGTGAATTGGACTGTTGCGACTGGGGCAGTATTCGTTGCCGTTAATCTCGGCGTCACTGCCCACGGCACTAAAGCGTGGTATGTTGACCAATTCGGCGAGGAAAAGGTGGCTCAAAGGTGGAAGATGGTCCCGTGGGTATGGTAGATTGTGCGATGAGCAAGTAGCAAAGCTCCAATACACGAGTGCTCTGCACTGCACTTATCTTGGTATGACTTGGATTTATATTTGCCCGGTGTGGTCAAAGTACGGAATAACTTACGGATGTTCTCCTGCGTTACTAATGTCACAGAATGCTTTCTCTCTAACCATGCCCCCCGAGATTATTTCGATTCGAGGCGTATCCGTCTCAGGTGTTGCCTCTGTTATTCTTCTGTAGGACCAGTCCCGTTAGATCCAGAGCAGACCGTCTTGATCGATCCTGTCACAGCCCCACTCGAAAATTCCAAGCACTCGCCCTCGTCTTCTTGGGTCACCCTATGGAAATCCATCTCTTCACGCACCGCATTGCAGAAGGGGTTGACATAAATCGTCCCTGGCGCGGATTAGCTATCAACGCCCTCGCAAGCAACAAACGAGGCTCAAAGTGCGTACTATTACAACTCGTGTCCAGCTCCGTAAGCCCCATACTTTTAGCAACCCATTCAAACCCCGGGGAGTCTACTATGTTGTCGGTGACCTCGCCCCTTACAACATCTGTTCAAGACGTTACTAAAAGTCAGATGGTATCAAGGGGCATGTGCATAGCTTGCAGGTATAAAAGCATGTGGTTATGTTGTCCAAAGAGTCTCCTGTAAGGGTGAAATCTCCTCTGAGGATAGGTTCAATACACCCTTTCTGCGCGTACAAGCGCCCTTTGACGGTAGTGTCATAGTCGTGGAATTTGTTTAGCTTTTGGTATGCCTGTGGTGCCTGGGGTAAGAAAGAGGGCTACAATGGCGGTAGCAGCCAGAAAGGCGGTGGCGAGGGACATCATAGCCTCCCGGTGAATATAGGAATGGACGGCCGCCTTGCTGGAAGCCACGTAAGGGCCCGTATCTGTCTGATGAACTGTTATTTCGGTCTTACAAAGGTAGGCTCTTACAACGTGCGACAGATGGTGTTCGGGTCTGGCAGTATCAATTGTTCGAGAACATAGATGCTAGCTTAGTTTTCTGGGCCTTGAACAGTGTGTATAATAATAGCGACTCAAAATCAGGTGGTAGCAGGATAATCATCCAGAAGAGGCTCCTGGTGCGGGGGGGCTATATAGACGACCAAACTCTGAGTGCACATGACACATCACAGATTCGAGATCACTTAGTTCTAATTAGTACCCGCCATACTTGCTGTAAATAGAAAATAAAATAAGTTGTGTGAACAAGCCGAAAATGTTAGCGTGAGATACATCCATTCCATCTGCGTACACTTCTCCACCACGGTCTGAGGTGGCCTAGCGAGGTTACCGGCTGTTCCAAATGCTCAAATTGAATTGTATTTGAATTCCTTAAAATGAGCTGGGGCACCACAGGCAGTGGCGAAAAAGTGTACAAAACTTTATGAAGCCGAGAAGGGAAGATAGAATATGTGTCACGTGCTCGTGAGATTCAACAATTGGAAGACATTTCGAGCTATCACATGATTCCAATTCTGTCCATAGATGTTGCTGTATGGCAATGCCTGAGGTCCTCTAGGACATTATCAGAAGTTGCAAAGCGGCAGTTTTGGCAAGCGCCACAGCTCTCTGAGCGCACCTCAGACGGTGTTGAGTTTGCCATTTTGTCTTCCGGGAAGGCTGATTGGAATAGGTTCCATCCCAGAACGACACCTATATATCCGAGGTTCCTACCCTCTCTCGAACTGTGTGCACTTGCTTAGCACTGTTTGAGGTCCTCCAGCGCATCATTGGAAGCTCCAAAGCGACCGTTTCGGCAAGCTCCACAGCTCTCTGAGCCCACCTCAGACGGCGGTACCTGCCACCGCGACAACGCGCCTGCACGCGCGGGATCGGCGCTAGGTTCTTCCGGAACAACATAAACTCAGGCCGAGGGGTCCTGCTTCAAGCTCTCCACATCATTATCCCCAATCCGCCCGACAACGCCTGAACGTCTGCTGCCCACTTCTGCTGCACGTCTCGCTTGTTCTGCTTTGACGCCCCACCCGACGCTGCTCTGTCTTTGACGCCGAGCCACTCCCCAGACAGACTCGTCAATTCCGTCGGTCTCTCGTCAAATCATGCAGTCAACAGCGCAGACCGAGGCCACCACAAGACGTGCGGTAGTGACACGACCTCGTAAGCCTTGCCCCTCACTGGTCCACACCACGTCCAGAAGTTCGTCACTAATCGCACGCAGCATGGGCGTTTTCTTCCTCATCGGGGGATTATGAGACCCCCGACCCTCCCTACCCACCACCAGTCCTCAGCCGGTCCCAGCTCGCCGCTTTATCTCGACAACACGACCGCCTGAGAGAAGCAACGCCACCTACAATCAGCAAGACTCCAGAGGAAAGCGTCGGCCGGTGGCACCGATTCATCGCCCAAGGCCCGTTACCGACACACGTCCCAGAGGGGGCTGTCCTTGTCTCTCCGGTCTGGATGAAGGCGAATCTCCCCAACCTCGAGGCACAGCCCTCCCCTTCGGTGATTGAGACAACAAAACAGCCGGAAAAGGCCACCGGCCCCCACGCTGTCTGGAAGAAGACCAAGGTAAGCCTCAGCTTACCACGCTGTCCCATCTTCTGAGCTAACTGGCACCTTTAGCACGCCCTTGTGAACAGCATCTGGGTTCCGTTCACCCTCCGCCTCCTCGTCCTTGCCTTCACTGCCACCGCCCTCGGCTTGTCAGGCTCAATTTTCCACTTAACCGACGGCACGGTGTGCAAGAAAGGAGCCTCGACGTGGCTCGCGTTGATAGTTGACGCTGTTGCCGTCATTTACAATGGGTACGTCATGGGAGACGAATACAAATCACCGCCGCTTGGGCTCAGGCCCAAAAGCGCGAAGTTGAGCCTCTTACTGCTAGATCTCTTCTTTGTTGTCTTCGACTCCGCAAACATATCGTTGGCGTTCAAGGCACTTACAGACGAAAGTTGGGCTTGTTTCGATGACGTCCCCAACGTGGAATACTCCACCGTGGCGTTGTGTCCGCTGAATAACAAGATCTGCAATCACCAAAAGGCGCTGGCCGGAACGCTCCTTGTGGCATTGATTGCGTGGCTGACAACATTCACCATTTCGCTTTTCAGGGTCGTTGAAAAGATTGACCAAAGACGGTCATGAAGGGCCTTTTTGTGCTGCATAGCGTGGGCGTCTTGGGGAAACTTTCGGGGTTATTGATACCATTGCGTCTTTCTTCTGTTCTTCACGACCCCTCTTCCTAGCTGCAACGAAATACTTGCCTCTTCGATCTACGGTGCCTTGCCATGTGATTTGCTGCTCATTTACGACTGTATGAGGTGCCTCGACATACTCGAAATGATCTGAACAGGATGTAAAGTTCTATACCCTTCAAATTAGACGGTTGTATATTTATGTGATTTGCTCCTTGTTCACGACTGTATGAGGTGCCTCAACGTACTCGAATAATCTGAACAGGATTTAAAGTTTCATACCCTCTAAATTAGACGATTGTATGTTCTGGTCGATGATTCCTAGTTCACAACGCCTTGTCATGTGATTTGCTCCTCGTTCGCGACCGTAAGAGGTGCCTCAACATACTCGAAATAATCTGGACAGGATGTAAAATTCCATACGCTTCAGATTACTTAGTTCCTCCATACTTTCCTTCGGGACCATCAAGATGCGCATCCAGCACCGCGCTCTGGCCACCTAGCACAGCCTTCACAGCCTCCGCCAGCAGCCTATCTAGGTCCTTCGCCGTGCTTGCATGCGCTGCCCATACCTTGCCACCCGACGCCGCCTTTGCGATGCCAGAGTAATCCGGCGTGGGCGCAAGCGAAATGTTCAGTTCCTCGTTGCTGGCCTTCGACCCGGCACCGTCTGGGTGCACGAGGAGCAGCGACTTCCGGGGAGCGTTCCAGCCCTTGTTGTTCAGCACGATAGTGAGGATTGGAATGTTGTAGCGCTCGGCTATCCAGTACACGCTCCCGGGGACCGAGAAGAGGTAGGTGCCGTCGCCGACGATCTGGCAGACGAACTTCTTTTTGCCTTCCGTGTCGGTGGCTAGTTTGACGCCGAGAGCCTTTTTCGGACGTTAGAAGGCCGAATGATGGTAGCGAATCGAGAGATACTTACAGCACCGCCGCTCCATCCCAGACCTCCACCACCGCAGTTCAACCATGAGCCAGGCAGCGTCGCTTGGATCTGGTCTGCTACAAAGCCCGTTTGTGTTACTGCTTCGATGATCCAGATGGTATCGTTCGGACACGCCTTTTTCAGCTGCTGGGCAAGATAGGGGGTTGAAAAGTTTCCGTTATCGTCCACCTTGGCTTCGCTCGCTATCGTCTCAAGTTTTTTCTTATGCGATTCTCGGAGCTTAACCCATCTGTCTGAGTATAGATTGCTGCTTAGTTTTTGACTGAGGTCAGACGTCTTGAGATAAGCGTTAAGCTGGTTGAGAGAGGTGAAGCTGTCTGCGCGGTATCGGTAATGGGCTTTGAGGTAGAAGACTGGTATCTGCTGCTTCATGGGGTCGACGTCGACATGGAACACTTTGGCGTTTTCCTTGGGGTGGCATTGTGTGTTTATCCAAGGGACGTCGCAGTCGATTACGAGGATTACGTCTGCGGTTTTGATTGCTGGCTCAACGCCGTAGCGGAGTCCGAGCCAAGCTGGGTGATTTGCTGCAGGAAGTCAGCGTTCTGAACGAATTCGTTCCCTTCTGAAGGATTGAGTTACCTGGGAAGCACATGTCGCTTCCACCAGTGTCAAGTACCCGGAGGCCCTTGATATTGTCCGCCAATTCGACCAATTCAGCAACAGCATGGTGGTTTCTCCCGCTGTATCCAGTGATCACAAGCGGTTCCTGAGCGTTCACGAGCGCCTCGGAGATGGTCTTGACCGCGATTGATGATAGCGCCGCAGGCTCGACGGGATTCCAGAATGCTTGGTCCAACTTGTATGGTTCGAGATCCTCCTCCATGGGCTCTCGAGCACCGCATAGGTAGACTGGACCCTTGGGATCGCTCATGGCGAATGAGAGTGCCCGATTTACGATTTGCTACCATGGTTTAGCATAGAACCTCCACTTCTGGCTCGAGCTTCATTCCAACGTACCTTGACATTCTTCCCAGTCTTGATTTCTCCAGTGTATCGGCAATACTGGGACACAATTTGCTTCTGGTCCGGCACATCCTGTATCCAGTGTATGTACTCGGTCCTGCTACCTCGCATCTCTCCTTCAATTGTGTAAGGGGATAGGCCGGCGAAGATGAGCACGGGTGCGCGACCGCAAGACGCATTGTGGACTGCTGCTCCGAGACCTTGTGTTCCGACGTCGACGTGGACTATAACGCATTGAGGCTTGTTCGTAAGGCGAGCGTAGCCATCAGCCATAGAGAGGGCGACCATCTAAAATAACCCAGGGATTCATTAGCAAACACGGTCGTAGTCTCGGAAGTCTGCTTGCTCACTTCGTTCGGACAGGTTATGATCTTGGGGAATTGGCCTTTCTTCTCATTTTGACCCTTGACAATAGCCTCAATGATACTTGGATGGTCGGATCCTAGGTTCACGAAGCAGTATGTGACTCCAGCTTCCCAGATGGCCTCGAAGAAGGCGAACGAAGCTGTGTAGACCCTGCGTAGCGTTAGCTATGCCATGGAGAGGGGAGGGGCATAGAGCTTTGGGAGTATACATGATAAACAGCCCGCAAAAGGCTCAAAATTTTCGAGTTTCTAGGATTCAAAGTTCAAAAAAGCTTAGATGTATGAAGTTCAGGACAAAAAAAGAGGAATTGGCCGCATTATCAACACCCGCTGGCGGACGTGTTTGTGCATAGCTCGCTCCGCCCCGCGTTCGTTCCCCACCACGATCGCCGCTTGATGGCAGCCACAATCGGGCCCATTCCGCACCAAAAAGAGCCGCCGAAATCGGGGCCTTATTTCCCCCTGACCAAGTCATCCTTAAACACCATCGACGCCCTATCTTTCTTCTCCATCACATCACACATTTGCTATCCCCACATGCCAGAAATGCTATATTCAATTGCACCTTCCTCTTCAGGAATGCACCAGGTATCAGGTCACGAGCTTGTGTCCCGTCTTTGTGACTAAGGAGCGGCTGGAACAGCGGGCATCGTCGGCACAAGAGCAATCCTGTAAAGCCTCATAACGAAGCGTCTCCGTCCTATTGGTCATTGGTACATGGTTAGGCGCTTTTTACGAGAATTCTAGATCAGCATGCTATGCAGATATTGCAGGCCGCAAACCGAGCTACCCTTAATTCGGAACCGTTCCGTTCACGACGAGTATATCCAAGTAGCAGTCATTCATACAGTGAAACATGGGGACTTGGTGGATTTAGAAACATAGGATGATTAGAAGACTATGAATACGTCATCGAGAATTGACTAAAACGAAAGGAGTCTTCATGGACTTAAAAAGGGCCTCTCCCGTTGCACTCGCTGCGAACTCGCGCCACATGGTATCCAAGCGCCCGTAGAGGAAAGCCAGCCTTGGAAAGGGGCAGAGAACATGTGCAGGAAACCAAGCAATAGCGCTAATCTCAGTGTTGACCCTATTGTCCTGCGTATACGATCACATTGCGAGGGTGTTGTTCCAGCCATCTGAACCAAGCACATTGCCAAAGAGTACTTCGACGGGCAGGCGGTGGTCAACTTGTCCACTTCAAGTGGTCCCGCTCTTGACTTTTAGCAACTCCGTTCGATTTCGTCGAATATCTCATCTTCCCATTGCACATACCAGTGTATCCATACAGTTATGCATTTTATCCTGTACCCCTCTCTCACCATCTTCTCATCAACTGCTGAGGATGATGGTAGCACGCCTCCGGATGGCGGATATGACATGGACATATAGTTTCTTGCGCGGGGGGAGCGGGTGCTGGCGGCTCTGCTGCAGGTTTCCGGATTCGATACCACCAGACGAACAACAGGAACATCCCAAAGATGAAAACGGCCATGGGAATGAATATCACAAGAAATGCCGTCATGTCGAATTTGCTACTTGTTTCAGAGCTCGAAGGTGGATCAACATGGTACGGTGTGCTGGGATTGTCGGGATAATACCGTGTGCTGGAGTCGTCTGTATGGTACCGTGGACTAGGCTCATCGGTATACCTGCTGATACGGTCGGTTTGATGGCTAACGATGCCCGTAGGTCTGCAATGTCTCATCCTTTGCTTTCCAGTGAGCCAGGGTGGGCAATCATCAGAGGAAACCATGAGAGCGAACGTGAAGAAGCAGTGGATGCGGCAGATGGGTTGGAACAGCGATGGTAATCTCGAAAGGGTTTGTCGGGAACTGCTACCGAGTGAGAAGTCTTTCTTTGCACAGCTTTTTGAAAGAGACTCACTTGAAAGCTGCAATAATGGATGCCGATGGATAGTGATAGCTTCGGTGATTGACGGACGCTGATGGTTTGCGATTGCTTGACGATTGATGGATGCTGCGGAGGTGAGTACTAGGATTTAATTGGGTAAGAAGTGGCTTCGACGAGCAGTCGTGCCTTCCTCCCAAGGGTTGATGCTTCAATGGCTAGGTTAGGGGAGGGAACGAACTAAAGTATTTGAGTTTTTTTCGCTCTAAGGGAGCTCATTGAATTCGACGAAACAGTGAACCGAGAAGAAACATAACTTAGACTACTACAGTCGGTACCCGATCGCAGTAAGTCGGCCTCCAACATGACAGCCATCATATTTCCTTAACCCATAGACAAGAGTCTGCCCAGGTGAGGCTACCATACCAAGGAGCTAAAAGAAAGAAACTGAAATCTGAGTCAAGAAAGGAACATCCAATCTCATTGTCAAGGAAGTTGATGCCTAGTCATCCTCTTCGCCTCTTCATCCTCTTCGTCCTCTCCATCCTCTCCATCCGAGTCGGAAAGGAGTACTGCACACTCGTAAGCTAGGTTCTTCACTTGCTTCATCACAGCAGCGGAGACGTCCTTCCAACTAGCCTCAAATCCTTCCTCCATCCTCTCCAACGTGGTCACGTCAAATCGATTTCCTGCCCATTCGCCATGCATGTTTGTGATTCTGGAGGTGCCAAATGGATCATCGGTCCAACAAACTCTCGACGCAATAACAAATTCGAAGCCAACAGGTCTGATGAAGGGTCCGCCGTCCGTGGACTTGGAGAGTTGTTTGAAACCCTCTTGTCTCACATACTCTTTCGCGTCAAGATTCCGAAGGATCCATGTCACACCATCCGCCGGCCACCGGTCGTAGGCTGTGCCTATCATCCGGCTCCACAGTGTACTTCGGCGTCCTCCGAATACGAGTCTTTCTGTCATTTCGCCAATGAATCTATCTGGTCCAGCATGGGCGGAATAGCGATCCATGCAATCATACAGTGTGAATTCTTGACGAATAAGCTCCTCGTCCTCCTCAACAGTGAGAATGCCATCAGGATGACCCCTTGCGTAATCTCCGAGGCAGATGAGTCGGTCGCCAGCCCAAGGCGATAGTTGTTTTTCGAGGATGCCCTTCACATCTTCCTGGTAAGTGAGGAAGAGATATTTGCAGGTCATAGCCATGCAGATCACGTCCAACGGTTCCAGGAATTCCACGATGTTGTCCAGAATTTCTCGAGCCAAGTGACCTAACACCGATTTCTCTGATCTTTTACACACGTTAGTCGGTACAAACTTCTCTGCCTCGCTACAGGACTGTACAGTCTTGTCTGCTACTGCTTAGGCTGCAACAATACATCATCAATATTTTAAGAAGAGTTGAAACACTTTTGTCAGCGGCAAATCGGTGTACCCAGCTTGGCCATTCGAGTGATCGCTTCCGGGTTTCTAGCGTATTGAGGCACCTGGGTTGGTGACCGAATAGTGCTCCAAAACACGTGAGGACGCACTACAAGTGTAAGGGAAGAAACACCCGCCCATTGGCAGCAATCTCGAAGTGCTGGGGGAAGATGTCCGCCCCGGATTCGAAGAACGGTAGGTACGCAATGGCCATCAATCTCGGAAGCTTCAACAGGTAGCCATGGATAATCTGAAAGAGCTTGCGACCACCTGGACATTCCCCTCGCCTTTGTCGATGTTCGCGACTTCCCAATATTGATCCATGGTGGCGAATAGAGGGAATTTGGATTTAGCAGAGATGGTTTTGAGTGCGGGTGCCTGATTGACGGGATACTGGCCTACGTAGGCACTCATTCAAAAAGCGAGCGGAGAAAGACTGCTCGGGGCTACAGCATCTTCTGATGCACCTTCGAAAATTCAAGTGTGTGTATAACGAGAGACTAGGCAGCAACACGACGAGGTGTCACGGCATGGAACTTGTATCAGATTGCCAGGCTAGACTACTCGCAGACTTGATATTTTTCATATTTGCTTAATTCACTAGGTGGAGATCCGGAGAGCAATCCGGGGCGGTAGCAGTCCGAGGAGCGTGGCATCAGAAGTCCTGATGGCGCTTCTTCACGTGAAGGGTAGAAGATTCGTGAAAAACAGGGTGTGCAGGTGTGCAGGAACTCCTTCAAAAAGGGAGTGGAGAAAGAATACTGGGTTGCCGTCATCACCGCTGAGCATAGTCTTGTGTCGCCTGATCATCATGATCGGCTGCGCTATTATCTATGCAATCCAAAGTCCTATCATCTCAAAGTTCGACACGTCACTCGAAGCGCACTGCAATCTAAAAGGATATGGGCGGGCCGATCCAGGACGGTGGGTCGTACATGAAGCTGACTAACAGCTACGTCCTGTGACCGCCAAGCTCGCTGTGGACCGCCTAATCAGGAAGCGTCCCGTTTGCTTACACAAGAACGATGGTTCAAGCCTCGGCTTCGAGGACGCCATCCGTCTTTCGGTTTCCACTTGTGGGCACAGTTCGTAAAGAGCAGGATAGCGGTGTGGCGGTAAATTGAGGCTGCATAGGGATCCATTGTATGTCTCTACCAAGGAGAAAAAAACGTCCGGTTTGAGGCAGCGTGCGCGGCAGCGTAACACTTGATTACAACACCACCCAAGTCAAAAGTTCAAGATATTTTTGGATAATAATGAAGCGCTATGTCAAGGCTACACTTTGATACATTTTTCAAAGATATTGGTCAAATATTGGAGGAGTTCGCCGTGGTTGAGTGTTGTTGTGCTTGAGCCATAAACCGGACGTTTAATACCCCGCGGTGGCCTCTGGTGGATCCGCCCGCGGAGGATTGGGGCCGATAGCGCTAGAACTATTTGGATCAGCTGCCAGGGTGTCCTAAATGCGGGGAAATGCGCTAACCTATATATTCTAATCAACCCCCTCAGCTGAACCTTCAGCCTTCACATCCCCTTATCTACGAGTTGTTCGCATCACCACGATAGCGATCCTACATTTGCTGTCTTTGTTCCGATAGCCTGCTGCCGGCGTCATGGAATCTATTCTAGGGGTCGCGCCCCCAACGCTGCAGCCCCAGTCGCCTTTTCTCAGACTCCCTGCGGAGCTTCGAGTCGAGATCCTGCAATACGCCCTCCACTCTCACGACGCCTGCTCAGCCAAACACAAGGATGGAATGCCGATAGTGATTCTGCGTCGTGGATTCTACTTTGACTCGGCTCGCAACGAATTACTTGATTGGTTTGGTCTTCGACCTTGGGAGAAACTGAGCAGCAAAATCTCAGACCTACTCTGCATCTCCCGCCAGGTCTTCCTAGAAATGGAAGAAATCATCTACCGAAATGCCGTGTTTTCTTACGCGACCCTGTGGTTATGGAAGCATACCGAGCTCCTCCAATGGGCGGATTCGCTGCGTCCGAGAAATCTCCGTCGAGTCAGATACGTCAGACGGCACTATATCATCCAAACCCTGCCTGACTCTACGGCCCAGAAGAACCTACTGTCCAAGTGCGGGGAAGAGATAGCACAGCTTGAAGACGCCTTTCCTCAGCTGAGGCAGGTTGATATCTATCTCGACTTTGTCGACTTTGGGATTGAAGGCCGGTGGCCTCGTATTACTCCTACTATCGCTGTCAAATTGCGGGATGATATCATGGCCGTCAAGTCACGAGCAAAGATATCTGCCTCACTTCCAGAGTCAATGGGATAGCCATGCGGCGATGTTAATTCACCCAAGAGCCCAGATACCAGCGGGTCGCGTCACTAAACCCACTGTATGCAACCATGCAAGCCATTCTACTCGCTGCACCACTGACGCTGCAACCCCAGTCACCACTTCTACGCCTCCCTGCCGAACTTCGCGTTCAGATTCTCAAACATCTTGTCCTGTCTTACACCTTCGAATTCGTCATAACAATGGAATGCTAGTGACCCTTAGGTCATTGGATAGGCACGATCATGCCGTTCAAGCTATTGGGGGAAGCACAGGACGGCAGATCGTTCTCGGGGCCGGAGGATATTGCATATCGTGACTCCTACTTTTACGCCCTTTCTGTGGTGTGGAAAGACGACACGCCAGCCATGAAATGGGCGATGCTGTTGCCTGCTCGTCTCCTTCCCCAAATCAGGTTTCTCCGCGTTCGATATTACTTCATGACACGTCTAAGGAATGATTTGATGTTTCAACACGTCAAGGTAGACTGTGAGAGATCTGTCGAGGGCTTCAAAGTGTATTACATTTCTCTTGAGGGGATTGAATCTGCTACCGGCTTCATCGACCGTGGTAACGAAGAGTATCCGGGGAGTAAGAAGGACGAGGTCACTGTTTTAATGGAGACCTTTATCAAGGACTTATCGGGGCCGGCGAAGATTTCTTTCGTGCTTCCACATATTTCGTATGAGCTCTAATAAATAATACTCCGCTTTCTTTCAAGGAATAGCCAGAGAGAAATTCATACTTGTGTGCCTGAGGTGCTCCAGCGTATTCAAGATAATCAGAATGAGACGTAAAGATCTTGAAGCTCTGCATTAGATGTGCTATAACCAATACTGTACTCTTCAATTTGCAGTGTCTCGTCATGCGATTTGCTATTCGTTTACGACTGCAAGAGGTGCCTCGACGTATTCCCGCAAAATTAGCTTCTATCCTGTATCCGCCCAAACACAAACATCCTCCAGTTACTCCCGAGTTGCTCCACTCCGTCATTTAGACTCCATCCTTTGATCTTACATAATCTCCTAACCATGTCCTCCAGGTGTTCGTCCATTCTTGGACCAGCGATGTGAAGATCACTCTCAACTAGTATTCGATCATCTGGGATCAACTTGATCAACTGCTCAAGAGCGCTCGGAGCAGACGCATCCTGCTTATCTGAGAGATTGATCGCCGTGGAGAAAGAGGCATAGATCTCGGCTGGAATTGCGGGATTGAGGTACTGCTTGAAAGCATCTGGATTGCCGCTGTAGGAGTGTAGACAGATTCGGGGTGGAAATGGTTTAGGGGAGTCTTGCCTCTCATCCGCATCTAAGACTCCTTGCCGATTTGAGCTCTTTGCCGCCTCGGTTTGCTTCTTTTTCTCTCGTTTGCTCAGGACTTTCTTCTCGTAGCCCTTCCAGGTCTCTTGCAGCGTTTCGAAGACGACGCCATGGGCTTGAACGCCGTGGACTGACACTGCCCGTTGCAATTCTCCAGCAAGCTGCAGCTGAGCTTTGAAAAGTTTCTTCTGATGCTTGATGTCCACGCGATAAGGGGAAAGCCTCCGCCCTTCTCTTCCACCCGGGGTGAGAGATTCGTCTCTCTTGTCATGTCCAGGTATCCAAGTTTCTGGTATTCTGAAGGAGCGGTCCAGGCCAACCTCCCCCACCAATGCAAGCGGATACCTTTCAAGGTAGCTTCTCGTCTGCTCGAGAAATTGAGAAAACGGTTCCGGGTCAGGTAAAGACGCAAAAGCTTGACGTTCCTCGTCGCTGAGACGGTCACGCTTGGGCGAGAGAACAGTCTGATAATGCAGTATCTTGGAGTCTTGATCTAATGTTTCTTTCCCGTCAAAGTCTTCCACGTCGAACATTTGATGCGTGAACCATGGATGCCATCCGAAGCAAGGAACAATGCATTCCTCTTGGGACCATGAATCTGGGGTTCGCGACTTAACACCGAATTTATCCGCGGTTTGAGCGACCAATTCTTGGTCTTCCGCTCGCGTAGCCATTACCGTCAATATTCGAGCCTTCATGTCTGGGATCGAAGGTATGGTCGACATCGTGTCAGTAGGGTGGCAATGGGCATCGTACACACCAAGCTGCCATGGGAACGGCTGGCTGGCCTCCCCTTCTACCGCATCAGCCATGATGGACCAGCTTAGGTGCGTACTGGACGCTTGGTGTGTTCTCCAAGGTTGGTGGAGTAAAGATGGTGTGAAGTTGAGCTCCAAAATGACGTCTGGGGTGAATTGGTTTAGTCACTCGCCTAAACCTTCCCTACAGAACCAGACGTCCCCCAGTATGTCGCTGGCAACCTCCACTTCTTCCACAACTTTGGTCCTACAAACAAGTTGTCAGGGCGCCTGATTCCTCAACGCCACAGCAGAAGGATCAATCACCGGTTCTATCAGCATTGTTGAATCTGGAAATTCTCTTTTTCTTATGACAGTGGGGTCACAATCAATCCCACGGTACCAGCACCCTCGTAACTGCAGGGAATACTTCGTATTCATGTCCTGATAGATATGTGACTTCGAAACACACATTCCTTTTGTCAGCTGGCGGCTCTGTAAGTATCATCTATAATGAACGTGAATAGTTTCGACTCCCGACGCGCGTAAGGTCCACCTGCATACGTACAGGTGGTTTGCATATCGAACTCGCCCCCGGATCTTCAACTAGGATCAGGTCTTCAGAACCGTTGGGACAATTGCCGACATATCTAGGGCGTCTAGCGGCATTCAGTGGCTTGTATGAAGGTACTGTGCTTAGGCACAAAGATAACTAGTTCAAACGCGCCGGTCATTGCTATTGTGTACACCCGAGAGAGGGAGAATACGGGGACGCTTCATGGATCTCACGGGAAAAGTACATGAGCTTGAACAGTATGCTGAGGGATGTTGTAGTTGTCAATGGTGCTCGTCGAAGCAATATCACCGCTGAAATTTTCTCCGTCGTCTGAAGTCGGGCGACGCGATGTGGCATGGTCGAGGCTGATGGATAGCCGAAGTGTTTCATCTCAGCCGCCAACACCACCTGTGCATCATCATTTCCACGGGCAGGCATTCGTAATCGAAACACCCAGCGCCAGGCTGAGGGGGCTGCAAGAAATGGATGGCATGGGCCGGCCATGACTCCACAGTCTACCTCCTAGCTGCACAGCACCTCGATAGCGTGTGCCAGATTCAAGGTTCGAAATCGCGCGAACCGATTCTCCAGCAGCTTTGCAAGCCACAGAAGGCTTCCCGCTGCCTTCTAGAAACACGCCCTGGGCTGGGGCGACCTGGGCGAAATGCCACCCTGCAGCAGCACCCACATCAACGTAGCAAGCGATTCGACGCCAGTACGGATCGACTCCCGACTTCGGTATCTAGTGCAAGCTCTGTTCCTGGGCCCTGCAGGCAGGGCGAACGCTATCACTTCTGGGGCGGGTAGCTGCGGAGAGACGTGAAGATATCTTGCCGCCGTCATATACTCTCCTAGTCCTTCCCAGTGGCAAGTCGCGCCCCGATTCGAATAGTTTCAGATTCAACGTCATAAGTGATACGCTCTCTGGATCCTTCAACATACGGTAACCACTCAAGAGAAGATCTACGCGTCTAAATAAGTATATCACGAGTGTAATCCTGGTTTCCTACGTGTCTCATGTCAGCCGTTGACATCAAACCGCTGGCTGCAGACGGTTTGAACAGGAGACAATCATTGATGGTGAACGTTCAACATGTCAATCCCTTCAATGACGAGGAAAAGAATAGGTCACAGAGCTTGAAAAGCGTAGAAAGATGGGACGAATCACCAGCACATCGAAAAGAGACCGGAAATGGGCGTATCGGAAACGTGCAGACATGGAGGGCGGTGAAAGAGTACAAAAAAGCCCTGTTCTGGGCAAGCTTTGTTGGCCTTAGTGGCATTATGTGGGGGTACGATGTATTGGTAAACTACATCGACTACAATGCTTTTCAAAGGAACGGTTGCTGACGTATTACGGCATAGATCGGTGCTGGTCTTCTCTCCTCGCCAAAATTCCGCCAGGACTTTGGATACGAATATAAGGGTGCGTGGGTCCTGCAGGCGAAGTGGCAGATTGCTTTCAACACAGCGTCGTCCATCGGCGGCTTCGTGGGATGCATAGCCATGGGATATCTAGCCGATCGATTTGGGAGGCGGTTGGCACTGGCGGCCGCATGCTGCTTGAGCTGTGCTGCCATCTTCGCCCAGGTCTTCGCAAGCCAGAATGGAGTCCTCCTGCTAGGGAAGCTCATCAACGGAGTCTCTCTCGGATCTTATCTGACGATCTCGTCGTCCTATGCCGCGGAGGTGTGTCCAGTCGAACTGCGAGGTATCAGTACGTCTGGTGTGAACCTATTCCTGGGCATCGGAGAATTGCTTGCCAATGGAGTCATCAAAGCTTGCGGAACCAGGACCGATCGTTATGCGTACCGCTTGCCATTCGCGTGCCAATGGGTCTTTCCGGTCTTTATCCTCTGCGGGCTCCACTGGTGTCCCGAGTCGCCCGTCTGGCTAGTCCGACAGAACCGGAACGACGATGCTGTCGACTCCCTTGCCAGACTTGGGTACCGAGACATCGCCAACACCCTGTCCTTGATTCAGGAGGCCAACAAGCACGAACAAGAAGAGGCGGCACAGAAACCAGCTTCATACTCGGATTGCTTCCGAGGAACAGACAGACGCCGGACCGAGATCGCCATGGGTACCTTCGCCGTATCGCAGTTGACTGGTTGTGTGTTCATCATAGGTTACTCCACCTACTTCTTCGAGCTGGCTGGACTTTCAAACGATAATGCGTTCTCCCTTGGGCTAGGAGTTGGCGCCATAGGAATTGTGGGCAACATATTCTCATGGTTCTTGATCAATTCTGTCGGCCGCCGACCTACGATCCTTTGGGGTGCCTGCAGTCTTTGCCTCATGCACCTTGTGTTAGGCATTCTAGATGTTGTGCCTTCGAATGGCACTGGTAATGCTTGGGGCCAGAGCGTTTGCATCATCCTCTTTAATTGCATATACTTTCTATCAGTGGGCCCAATCGCGTGGGCACTGTATGCCGAGATAAGTTCGAGCCGGCTTCGATCTCGAACAATCGGCCTAGGGATTGTTGTCCAGAATCTCTTCGGCATCTTGTTGCCGACGGTCATCCCGTATATGGTCAAGTAAGTGTCCCAAATTCAGCCAACGGCTTCCTAGGACTAGACTAATGCTCTCTCAGCCCGGACGAGGCGAACTTGAAGGGCAAGGTTGGTTTTGTATTCGCATTCACCACAGCGCCGTCCGTTGTGTGGGCGTTTTTTTGTGTTCCAGAAACCTCTGGGAGGAGTTTCGACGAGTTGGATGCTATGTTTGCAGCGCATATTCCGACAAGACGTTTCAAAGATCACAAATCGTGAGGATACCCCACGGGTTCAATAAAAGTGCGATACCATCATATAGTTCAATATAAGCAGCACTCAACGCTTTTTTTCATGTCTAATCTACAGCGTCTAGAACTTTACACTTACGGCTCCTTAATACCGTCATCGCTGGATTCCTTCAACATCCTACCCATATGCCCAACGCGATATTGCTACACAAGCGGATTGTACCGTCTCTTGACACGGGAACACACATCCAATCCAGCCACCAGCAGGGCCTTGGAGGACTGAGGGGCCCCTACGCTGTAACACAACCGACATCTCATGAATGCCCCGCATCCTCTTACTCAGGCGAATTTGCAGGGTCTACGCATTGTCGAAAATCGACGGCGTCTCCTCACATCCCGTTCAAGTTGGTTCACTCGTCTCTTCTGCATGCCCGTTCATACCTTCGCCCTCTTCTCCTCCCGCCCCGCCCTTATCCTCTCCTCCACGCGCTCCTCCGCTCTCCTCGACGCCTCCAACGCCGCAATCTTCTTCCGCGTGTTCTCATTCTCCTTGAGCGCCTCCTTCCGCTTCTGCATCCTCTCCACCACCTCCCTCGCCCGCTCCTCAATCGCCTCGTCGACCTTCCGTCTCAGCTCCTCCGGCTGCGCAATGCCCTTCACAGCAATGAAGTTCTCGGCGTACTCCGCGGCTACTGTGGGCGAAGGCCCGAGACCGCCAGTGTGGTAGCCGTGTGGATGCGTGAGACGGAGGGCTGGGAAGCGGGAGGGGTGGATGCGATGCGGCGAGTTTAGTGGAATGGGGAGGCGGGGCATTGGAACGTCGGGGAGTTGCTCGCATGCGGAGAGCGGAGGTAGAGCTTGTGATGATGGGTCGAGGATGGCGTGCATGAGGTCGTTCTCAAAGGCTTCGTCGTAGGGTAAGGAGTGTGGCAGCGTGCTGAAGTCGTCGGCCGGGGTTGGGGTTAGAGGAGCTTGAGACGGTTGGCGGGTACCGAAGGGTGTGGGCTGTGTATCCATTTCGGGTCGGATATCTATGCCATTAACGAGAGTTTGGGAGGTCTGCTAGCAGTACTTTGAAGTCGTGGAAAGAAGCTCTTTGCTTTGATTGAAGCTGTAGATGTGGCTTGGGATGCAATGCTGGTGAAGCTAGAGTGGTTATGTAATCGTCCCCGTGCACTAACTAGTTATTCCCCAATCTACAACTTTAACTGCGAACCTCTACAACACCCACCACCATCATCATGGCCGACAAACTACGCGCTCAGCAACAGCTCGAAGCCCTACAAGCCCGCTACGTCGGCACAGGCCACGCGGACACCACAAAGTTTGAATGGACCTCAAACATCGCGCGTGACACGTACTCGAGCTACATCGGCCATCCTCCGATGCTCGAGTACATATCGCTAGGCATGGGACAGCCGCGGGAGAAGGTTCGGGCACAGATGATTGACAAGATGATACAACCTGTTGGGAAGCCGCCAGCAGTACGTTCAGACACCATGTTGTGAGGGGACTTCAGCTAATGAAACGTAGGTGCAAGATTGACCGCGGGGCACACTGGACCTTCTACTCCGCGAATCTATCGTTGGCGTTCCAGGCGCGAACAGACGACAATTGGGCTTGTCGCGAGAGCCTCGGCGTTGTACCTACGCCGCTTGACCTGCTTGGTTTGGGCTGCGCGCTGAACAACAAGATCTGCAACCCCCAAAAGGCGCTGATTGCGTGGCTGACAACTTTCACCTCACCACGGGCACATATTGGAGTTTGGGAAAGCACGGGTTGGAACTTGTCTTATGGAATACCCTCTCTGCTTGTTCCTTTTCTGAACAGAAGAAGAAAGCGAACCCCATCCGTACAATATCAACGGATATCAAAAATCAAAAATCAGTGTCTCATCTGAACGCTCTCGCTGAATCAATGCGCTGTGATCAACATGGCGAAGACCATTGTATGAGCTACAACCCCTTACCATAGATATCCGTACACTTTCCTGCCACTGCCTGTGGGGCTCCAACATACTAATAGAAACCGGGGACAGCGGATACAGCTCCAATCTACGCACACCCTGTTGACGCTGTCTGGCGCAGCCTCGCGGGTTTACTAGTCGTCTAAAATGCCGAACTGTTCTCTCCTTCGGCATGCTGAAAGTGCTACGAAGCTCCTCATGCAACGGTAAACAAGTGTACGGATTTCTACGACGAGGCGTTGCATAGCAAGTACTTGCGAAAAGCTTGAAACATATAATGATGCTGTGAGGTGGCCTTCAAGGTATGTTAGTTGCAGTTCAGAGGCTAATCGGTATCGCTTTCGAACGCTTCAAGGTCTAAGAATACACCAACGCCATTCCAGTCTCTCGCAGAAGAGCATACAATTCAAATGCTAGTCGCTATCGCTCCCGCTTCCCGTAGCCCCATCGTCATCTTCTTGCACAACATCATCGCCCGCGGTCATTGCGAACTCCCCCTTCTGCAGAATGCTCCTAAGCTCAGCATTCCGCGGATCCACCAGTTCCACCGGCTTCAGCTTGGCCTTGTTGCGTATCCGGGGGTCGCATCCAGCGTCCAGCAGGATGTCAACGATATGGTGGCCGGACGACCATTCGGCCTTTGAGAGAGAGTTGACGTAGCGGACGGCTTTGTGAAGGGGCGTGTCGCGCTCCATGCGGTCGATCTCGTCTATTTCGATGCCTTCCTGATCCAGCAGGACGTCCAGGACGTCATCTGTGGAATATGTTAGTACGGTTTTGCTTATATTGCCCGCTGTCCGCAAGGTTGGAGAGCAGCCAGGCCTCTTACAGCTTCCATAGGTCGCTGCGATATGCAAGCATCCGTTCCCAACCCCATCATGGCTCTTGTTCAGCACCTCCGCAATGTAGTCGGCGGGTTTCTTGCCGGCCTTTTTGGATGCGGAGGTGAGATCGGCCAAGGTTTCTTCGAGGAGAGAGGCGTTGTTTCGCCGGCAAGCCTCGAGGATGAGTTCGCGTGGTGATGCACCCTATTGGACGTCAGTCTGTGGGTTGTGGAGGCAGCGGGGGAAACATACTTCGTCGTCCGCCATGATGTCCGGCCTGCTTCACGGAGGCAGCAGATGGAGATTATGGACGGAAGCAGCGTCAACTATCAAGCAATCCACGTCGAGGCTCCTCTCTTGCACTTTGTGTCGTCGGTTATGCGGGAGATCGAGCCTGACAGCCCGAGGGGGGTGGCAGAAAAGGCGAGGAGGCGGAGCGTGAAGGGGATTTAGAGGTCACGTAGGAGGAGGTGGTGGGGTTAATCTAGTGGGGGCAGACAACCCTCTAAGTAATGCACAGAGTGAAGAGCTTCGGGAGAGAGTGAGATGGACGCGCTGTACCGAACGAGCGCGTGTCGCTGTGGCTGAGTGTCTATTTCTAGGTGAACCCTTGCAAGAGCAAGAGTCCGACGTGAGGCGCAAAAGCGGAGAACCGGTCGCCAGAAGACGAACAGGGGTCCGCCAGAACCTCATCTGCACCCCACTCTAACTTGACGATTTCTCGGGACTCACAATCTTCAACATTAAACCCGGGGAGGAAGTTGAGTGGGACTGCTCCACAACAGTCGCCAGGATGCTGCTCTGTACGAAACGTCCTACTATGTCTCTATGCGATGGCGATGAGCGTGCGACTAATGCTTCACAGTCTGCCCTGCCTGCAGCAACATGCTCACAGTGTCCACCATCACGACCAGCGCGGACACCTCATCCGACGACCTCGTTGGCACCAACCGCTTCGAATGCCGCAGCTGCCCCTACCAGCACGTTCTCGACAAACGATACTTTGAGCGCAAGGCCATGAAGCGCAAGGACGTGGAGGATGTCATCGGCGGCGCGGATGCGTGGGCAAATGTGGACAAGACGGATGGTACGCTGCTATCGTTCTCGCGCGTAGAGCTCTACCACTTTCAGGCAAAGTCTGACTCTCTATAGTGATGTGCCCCAGTACCGTGTGCGGAAACGACAAGGCGTACTTCTACCAGCTGCAGATTCGGAGTGCCGACGAGCCTATGACGAATTTCTACAAGGTATGTCGACAGTGTTTCCGGACAACCTCGAAGTCTACAAGATTTGCAAGTCTTGAAGCTAATGTAAACTGAGTGCACCAAATGTGCTAGGTCATGGCAAGAGTAGTGGTTTTCATCTTTGCATTGGGCGGTTCTACGGCGTTCCAGCAGCCTCTGGAGGTTGTTCATTGACATACGAAGATACCCCCACCATCAGCAAAACTCCAGATGCAAACGTCAGCCGGCGGCACCGATTCATCGCCAAAAGCGTTGCCAAGACGAATCCCAGAGAGGGCACACGTCGTAGACACAAAGTGGCCAAGTGGTCAACAGAAACCACGTGGATTTGGATAGGCTTGACTCGATGGTGTAAATTAGGGCAGATATAAAACTCTTCTACAGTGACGTTGAGTGCCTCTCATAGGCTGAGTATATTGCCAAGCTACCCTCGTGACATGCTCGATTCGTGGATGCCCACTATAATCGCCAAACGCAGTCAATACGAGCCTCCGGAGCCGGCCCAGACGCTTCCAATAGTTCAGTGCTTGGCCAGCTGCAGAGGTCATTCGCAGAGAATCCGTGACACGTTTGGGGAACCAGCTAGGCACAGGAGCTCACGTCCTGTCGCCCGTGGCCGCCTTGATTCCTTCTTCCACCATGCGATGCATGACGGTAGGCTGGAGGATTTCCTTGCGGAACTTCTCCTGTTGGAGCAGCTCGAGCGCGCGCAGAGTTGGGCCGGGGTAGCTAGTTTCAGAATCAGTAAGCAGCCCAGTCGGGCAGTGGGCGGCGGCGACTCGGTACCTGAGGTAGCAGGCGTACTTGGGCTCGGCGAAGTAGCGCAAGTAGGCCAGGTAGGCGACGAAGTCGGGGCGGTCGAGCAGCTTCTGGGTCGCGAGGAAGTTGAGATAGGCGGGATTCCCGAGACACTGCACAAACTCCAGCTCCAGGTCGAATCGGCTGTACCCGCCGAACGTGGCATCGGCCATTTTCGCTCTGCTGGAGGTGGGTGTTCAGGTGCAGCTGGGCGGCGGGCCGAGAAATGTACGAGAGGGGGGAGAAGGGGTCTGTTGCTTGCTAGTCCCCCCTGTGCAGGCCGAGAGTTAGCCACTGCGGGGAGAGAGCGGTGACGGGCGGTCAGGCCAGGCGAAAGGGTGAATTTCGCGGCCGAGAGGACGTCCACACGTCTGCGTCTTTGCTTTCATTGTTTCCTCCGACCTCAAGTCACCTCTCACCCCCCAGAACCCCCGAAACCTCAAGACCCTCCAGCATAGGCGGCGATCCCAGCTGCTTCCGGCGCGCATTCAGGAGTCGCTCGGCCATCACTGTTGCGTCGTGCTAAGGCACGTTCCAAGCTCCCACCAAGCCTCGACGGCGCCTGTCGCAACTAGCAGTGCTCCTCTCCTCCTCTCCAACGCATCCCAGCCCTCGCCGTGCCTCACCACATCTTTCGCCCGCATATCGCTTTATCGTCTCCTCCTGACTGGCCTGCGCTGATTGGCGCCGTGCAAGGATTAAAATGCCAGGTATGCTGCTACGTTTCAAGGCTCGGCCGGTGACGTCCTAATTGTCGAGCAGAACCAAACCTCGCCCTCGACCTGTCCGCCTCCTCCTACTCCTCCCTCTCTGCCAACAATCTGTCGTCGAACAACCCCTTCCGCAACCGCGCTGCGTCGCCGCACGCGCCCTCTCGTGGCGTCTCCACGCCCAACAGCGGTAACCGGCCCGTATCCAAGAACCCCTTCCTCGCCGCGTTCGAGGACGAGCCGCCCGCCCAGCCCAATCCCAATTCCTCCTTTCTGATCGACATGTCCGCCACCGTCCAGGAGTCGCCCAAAAAGGCGACGTTTGGCACCAGCGCAGAGGAGCTCTTCGTACGTCACATCCCCTGCCACCTCCTGCTGCAAGGTTCTAGATAAGGTCGCTGGGCGTGGTCCCACAACCTGATACTTGACACCGACTTTTCGCTGCCGCCGTTGTGCCAGCTTCACATCATGGATTCTGCCGTCGAAGCGTCTTCTAAGCCCTCCGCTAACCCTTACGCCCCGCAGAGCAACATGTCCTTGAACGATACTTCTGGAAAGAAAGGTTGGTTCTACATTCAAGACATTGTAACCTCTCCTCTAATATGCGATAGTAGGACTCGGCCAGAGACCTGCGCCTCCACGACCTGCACCTCACCGATCCGGCACCCTTCCGCTGGCAGGGCACCGCCCGTCTCGATCAGGAGAAGAAGAAAAGATGCGGGGCGCACCGCGTGGACCGTCACGACCGCGGGGACCACCAGCACCGCGGAATGGCCTTGGAAGTCCTGACAGATCCAACAACAGGCGCCCGCGGCGCAATTCCGATTCTTCGATCATTGACAGAAGGTCCTTGGACGTCGAAGAGGAACGTAAGCGCAGAGAGCGGCGAAGAGAGAGGGAGGCCAAGGGAAAGGATGGCAAGTCGAGGTCTCACAGGCCAAAGAAACCCCATGGACTCGATTTGATCGACAAACTGGATGTTTCTGGCATTTATGGACCCAGCTGTGAGTGCCCAAAACGTTTGCAAGCGCCGACTCAGCTAACATGAAACAGTGTTCCACCACGACGGCCCATTCGATGCTTGCAATCCCCATCGCAATCGGAGGAAGGACCACCGCGCACCGATGGAGGCGTTCCCCACGAATTCTGCTAACAACGCCATCGGCGGGTCTGGCCCGGTCAATAAGAACATTGATCTCGAGAAATTCCACGGACGAGGGGCTGAGGGCTTCACGGATTTTGCACGAAGCGGGAATGCCGAGACTGAGCAATACAAGAAGCGCCCTTCGCTCGAAGGCCGAACAGCGTCATTCAATCCCAAGGGCAGCATCGAGCCCATTCACGGCGAAGAAACCTATGGCCTTGGCACTTCTACCTTCTTAGAAGGCGCTCCTGCCTCACGCACTGCTATTCAACAACGCCAAATGGACGACGCTGCAGCAGCTCAGAATGGTGGACTCGGACGCAAGAAGTCGATTGCACAGCGCATTCGAGGTATCTCCCAGCCGCGCCGTACTGGATTCGGCGAGGGAGGCCCGCGTATCACGAGTCCCGAGTCGCGCTATGATTTTCGGCCGGGCGGATCGAATGCAATGAGGACGCCGGGCAGTCCACCGGAGCCACCGCCAAAGGGCCTTCAGAGTGCTGGCGGCTACAATAAAGTAAACGAGTCGAATCCATTCTTTGATGATTACGACGAAGCGTACGACAGGAAGGTCACCACGATCAAGGTTGCAGAAACCGAAGGCAATGATGCATCCAGGCCATCAGGGTGGTCTCCAACTTCCCCATCACGCGGAAACGGCCTGGAAAAGCGGGTGACTGCTGACAGCTCTGACGGCATGGGCGACAGCAACAAACCCACCAACGGTTTCCTCAATCGCGTAAAGAGCTTGAAGGGTGGGCGGCGGACGAGGCCTGAGAGACGGCCATCGTGAGACCCGCCCTGACGCGGTCGGGGGTGTTCCAATAGACTTGCTTTGTGGTCATTAGCGCAGCACCCCGACTCGATTTGGGCTCCTAACAATGGAGGAAAGCTGTCAGCAACCGGTGTGCTCAGTTGTGCAGGAGACTGGCGGGCCAGGGGTGCAACACTGCGGGCCATTGTCAACCCTATTTCTGCTTTGCATACGCTTGCTTCTATCTCCTTTGTAAGCTGGTTCTTCTTTTCCTTCTGGAGTATACGGTGAAGACGGGCGGTCGGCTTGTGTGACGGATCTTCTTTCCTAGTGCACTGGATATTGGTTGACTGGGCTGCAATAGTGCGTACCAGGCACAGAAAACTTCTTTTCGGACATGGTCATTGTCTACGATTGTTACGCAAGTGAAGGTCGTGTGGATTGACCGGGACATACTAGATTATCGTTGATTCAAAGATATGAACTCTCTCGCTGCCTCTAATCTGTTTGGTATTAGTGACATGCCGAAGCTTACTTCCACATCATGCTGCTATCGAATCAAAGTCCTTATCTCACGCGCATGATCCGACTTCACAACGCATGAACCCGCCATGGTGGTGAAACTGGACGCCACACCCGCATCCCTACACAGGGGCCGAAGTGGTACACACGTGATGCGCGGTGGTGTATAGCTCTAGTGCCTTGGCAGGCGGCCGTTATCACTTCCGGAGCCGTCTTTACTACCACTCTCATAACTCCATCACCAGTCATGGCACTTGATCGAAGCAAGCCCTACGACTGTAGGCAGTCTGGCATCTCCTTGGTCACTCCACATCCTGCGTCCTGAACACACCACCATTGAAACCTGCAGGCTAATGCCCTGGGCTTGCTCGTCTCTCAAATCGTCCGAACAGCTACGTTCTGAATCCAGGCCGCCGTCACCCATCTCCAAGCTAGATCAGGCCTTTTTCTTGCATGCGATGATGTCTTTCAATGTGGAACGTGGCCGTTGGTCATTCATCCTTTTTCAGAACGGCGGGCCACTAGCCAGCTTCCGCTTCCTTCCTCAACACCTGGGTAGAAGCTTGTTTCAAAGGAGCCAAAGATAACGGTAATGCGACATAAATAGCATGCCTTGAAGTCTTCAAGCGTTTGTGAAGGACATATCAAGCCTTTGGATTGCTTATCTGCAGCAAGCCGCCACGTCCAAGACTCAAAGGTATTTCGCACATTGTCCAGTGTTTGGCTATGTTCTTGTTCCTTTGCAAGCATCCATCAGCGCTTTACGATTACTCGTCACTTCAAAGTCCGTTAGGCGCGCGGATTACAACGCGAACATTCTGTTGGAGTCAGGCCCCCGGGGGTTCCGGTCGAAAATTTCGCCGCTGACAAATGAGCGTCTTCCATACAGACTGCGTTTACTGCACGTGCACTTGTAATTGGGACCTTCGACTACTTATTCCGTCTTCTGCCTAGTTATCATAATTTCGCACAGTTCTTTTCTCGCGTCTCGGCATTCCTCGCTTCCGTACCCTGCTGCGCGCCAGGGGTGCTCATATAAGTATCTGGATGCCCTAGTTGCACAAAAGACTAATCGAAAGCAAGAACCATCGCGCTCTTCCCAGACATATCGGGCTTCCTTGGACAAAAAGTGGCAGTCCACGAATTTGTGATTTCATCCTACAATTTCATATTCTTGCGACACACTCACTTCAGGCTTGTGTACACTTGCCTGGCACCGCTTGAGGCTCCCTGGTAAGTTAAGACGATTCGGGAAACGACAGTTTCAGCAGGTCCGGTAGCTCTTCGGGCCACCTCAGACGGTGTTGGACTGCCACTTCGTGTTCAGCAAACCCTGCCTATCCATGCCAGAGTTCACCTGCACTTTCAGAGACGTAGGGCAGTTCCCCGAATGATAGCGCTGACCTGATGCCCCAGACCGCCCTTTCCGCTTGGGTTAACTTCGTTATCCAAACACCGACATATCTGCAAGTGCAGCCCTGTTGCACCATCATTTTTTCGGTCGCCTCCCTACTCGCCATCATCACCCTTGAATCACTGTCCTATTTCTGTATTCATCCTACAAGTACTCTATTATTCCCCTACGCAAAGCTTAAATGGGTAAAGCGCCAACATTACAAGCATTCTCGTGGCCATGGGTCACAAAGAAACCAGTTTCCACGGCACCGAGCGTCCACGGCATTCTCAAGGCTGGAGACAGCCATCACCTACTTTCGCAGCTTTCTGAAGGGCGACCATCGTCTGAAGCCTTTTCATCTCTCACAAGTCTCTCGAAACCTACCAACGGATCTCGGCGACGGAGGAAGTCCCGAAAATTCGAAAGCGAGGACCTGTCGGCCGAGAGGCGCCAATCATTTGCCGGAAAAGGATCACGATCAGGAGATCGATCAGACGTGCTCCTAGTCGATGGCCAGCCCTGCATCCCCATCAGTCCCGAGGAGCTTGTGGCGCTGTCATTCGTTCTTGGCGTGCCACTGACGGTCGCCTCACATGATGAGAAGGCCACGCCTAGCATTCAAGGCAGCGGCGCATTCGGAATGTCGCTCCGGAGTGAGACGTCGTCGAACAATGTCCACCAAATACGGCTCCGGTACAACACGCCGCCGGCAATTCAGCAACCAGCACCCGGTGGTAGCTACTCGATCCTATTTGCGAAACACATAGCCTGCGGTTCTATTCCATTCGCCAGCGACCAGGACACTACCCACGCCCTCTTCATCGACCCCGAAGCCCTCCCCATCCTCAAGAAAGGGCACAGCGCTATTGGCCTGACCAACCCGGTTTCAACCTACCAGACAAACTACCTGTCTCGCCTTCCTTTTGTTACAACAACGACGTTCCACACCCTCAGTCTACGACCGACCCCCTCTCCACGGCCCTTCCCGCAGCGATCCAACAGCGTCCTAACCACAGCCACGACACCTGCCTCCCCTCGCCGCTCCTGGTCCACCCGCCGCCGCCGCTACCGCACCGACGAGTCCGTCAGCGCCCCGACCCACCGCGTATCCTGGGGCGGCTTCTCGCACCGCTCTCCCACCTCCATCTCCACCCTCAACACCACTCCACCTCCCACCTTCCCGCACCTCCTGGCCTCCCTCCCCCTCACAGCCGGCCTCCCGCCTCTCGCTTCCGTCCCTTTGATCCACGCCGCGCGCTTCACCGCCTCCGCCGGCCTGCCCCTCGGAAACCTCCTCCCCCTGCTCGAGAACCTCATCCACAAGATCCAAGTCCACGCCCCCTCGGCGCAGCTCGGCCCGTACCTAAGAGTTGAGAATACCGTCAAATGGCTCCGCACGGCGGGCTACGTGGGCTACACGCCGCGCGTCGAAGACACGGATATTGCGACGGGCGCGGCGCGATCGAGCCGCTACGTCGCGGCGCTTTCGGCGCTCGTGAGGATGCTAGGGGAGGGAGAGAGGGAAGCGGTGGAGGTGGCGTGTCGGGCGGAGATGGAGGGGGCGTACGCGGAGGCGGTTGCGAAGGAGCGAAGTTCCGGCATTGATGAAAATAGGAGCCGGAAGGGGGGGAGGGACACGCTGGGTGCGCAATTGGCGGATGTCCTGAAGAAGCCGCTGCCGTTGGGTGTGGGCGATGTAGCGAGGGTCGCGCGGCTGGTGACGGCGGCGTGGACGTGGCAGGTTGGGTGGGTGGTTTGGGGAGAAGAAGAGGCGGGAGAGGCGAGGAAGGGGAAGGCCGAGGGGGGGGTTTATGAGGCGGTGGGGCTGGAGGGGTTCGGGGAGGGGATGGTGCTAGCGTGATTGAGTTGTGGGTAATAGGACGTGAGTCTGCGTATACCTGGATGCCACTGTGAGGTCCGCTAAGGCACTATTGTGAATCTGAGTGCGATGTGTTTAGAACCCGTCAGGTCACCTCAGACGGCGTTGTCCACTGGTACGCATAAGGTGAGAGATGTGGTTTGGAGCAAAGAAGAAGTAAAAGAAGTAAAGATGTGAAAGGGGAATGGGGGCCTATGAGGCGGTTGAGTTGGATACGCTTAGGGGGGGCTGTATAAGTAATGTGGACATGAGAACGTAATGTAAAGGCATGTGTGGTGGTGGTTTTGGGGGGAATATACACGACCTTCAGGCGCCCCTGGCCCATGCGACCTGAACGAACTCGTGATGTCAAAGATTAGAGGCCGTGAATCTGACCTGTGAAATACTTCAACCCAACAGCTTCCGGGAACTCAGGGGGCGTGTAGAAGTGTGATTTTGGAAGGGTATGCACCATGCTGAGGACCATCACGCCAATGCAAGAAAATTTAGCATAGTTTGTAAAAGAATCGAAAGGCGTTGAATAAGAATTGGATATCAAATACTCCAAAACATATCGCCAAAGGCCAATAGTTAGTTAACACACAAACATATCGCTAAACATGCATACATAAAACGACCGCAAAAAATGAATTGAAGCTCCACCCAAAGGGTACCGGAACTACTTTCACTGACACCAGCCCCGCCCCAGCACCTCCATGACGGCTAAAAGCCGCTTTTGTGCCGCAATCGTCGCGACGGGGTGGCCGAAGACTAGCACCGTTCGTACGCGCGTCGTGTACATGATCATGCACCGGCGTGCCCATTGTCTGCGCTCTTTATCCCGCGGTGATGGCAAGGGGGGGAATGAGGCCTCCGAGCCCGTCCTCGACCGTGAGCTCTGCTCGAAGGGAGACGTTGCACCCACCCCGAAGCCACCCGTTTGTGGCTCATTCCCACGAGTTGGCAGGAAGGTGCATGGTATATTCGACGTCCTTGCCGCAGTGGCGCCGATAAGACTAATGCAGAAGAAGACGCCGCTGAGACCGCCCCAGCATGAACTCATATCCGTGCGTTTCATAGCCTCGTAGAGGGATATGGCGAGATTGGTTGGGTGGGTCGCGAATGAGGCTGTGTCTAAGGTGGTGAGGGCAGCATCGGGGAAATACGAAGCGGCGGAAAGGGGGATGCGGTTCACGAGAGCGGTGGTGTAGATGACGGCGGCGAGGCGAATGCTTTCGTAGAGCCAGTTGTGGGTGTGGGCGTGGTTCAAGATGTGAGCAGATGGATGCTGAGAGAGTCGGGATTGGAAAGCATTGAGTTTGCTTTCGTAGGCTGCTGTGGCGGCTGGATTGGGCGCGGGTGGAGTAGAGGACGGGAAGAAGAGGGGGTCGAAGAGGGGATCGATTAGGTCGCTGAGGCTTCCGGTACTAGATGGAGTATTGTAATGGGACATGAAAACCTCAGTGAGGTCACGCATATCTGCAAGGATGTTGTAGATCTGCTCAGTGCAGAGAGGGCTTGCGGCGATGGTGAAGAATTCGGAGCGTGGGCAGTAGAATGGAGATTCGGGGATGGCGGTCGATGTCTTGAGAGGATTGGAGCGTTTTGGTATGTAGCTTTGAAACATGGCAGCTGGCTGTCGTTCTGTGAAGATATAGATGTCATAAATAACACTTTGAGCAAATTAGTGCGGTCTTTTGTTAGGAGACTTGAGTTAGTGGGACTTACGATACAGTCAGTCCGGCCACCACACCGTCCCAACCAAGCTTATCCATGCCTCCTCTTTGCACTATGATACGTTCAATACCTGACTCATGGATTCTGAATACATTTTCATCACAGTTTCGAAGTTCGCCCGCAAGGAGATGAAGTATTAAGATGATGGTCATATCGGTAGTCTGAGTTGCTAGATTCGAAAGCTCACGATTGATCCAGATGATTGATTCGTTCTTAATCAGAGTGCTCCTTTCGCTGTCAGTCTTAAGACCGTTCATCATATCAACATAGGTGCTTGTAACGCAGCAAGTGCTGAGGAGCGCATGTGGATGTGTCATGACTATGGGAACCCAAACATCGAGGGTCGTTGAGGCTACGAAGTATCGAGTGGCTAGACACGAGTTAGAACGGTATCATCTAGGACCGATGAGTCGTCACTTTTTCATGTATACAGGCTAAGAGATGAGACTGTACAATGATGAGATCAAGAGATACGTACACTGTCGAATTAGGTCTACTGATGACACGCCCTTACTGGCAAATTGAGGTAGAACGCGAAAAGGATCGGTCCCGTCATAGGTGAGTGCGGCACTTGGGAAAGAAGATGGCTGCATTTTCTCAACAATACCCCGAACAAAGGTCAGTTCCCTCTCGTCGTTTGTTTCATGGTCGCTAATGGGCTTGATGCGAGCATAGTCTAGCTGGACAGCAATCAGGGCCTTTCGGTAACCCGTCAGGGTCATGAAGGAGGGATCGCTTAGCAAAGAGTGGTAAATCTCCTGGGAGCCGTCCTCTTCGGGATTGCGATCTGAAGGCTGGAAATCGGCAAAGTTGAACCTTAGAGGTAGTTGGGAGACGGGCGTATCAGGTGGTATTGGGTCGGGGCTGGGAAGCTGGCTGGTGGTAGAGGATGAGGGTTCGGGCATAAATGCTTGTTGCAATGTTGACCGAGTGCTAGTTTCCTTGCTCTTGTCCAGCTTGTAGCGATACTGGATCATGGCCTGCGAGCGGACGCCTTTCATAGTGGCCCGGTCCTTGAACTGCTCCGGATCGGTGGCGGTAACGAATTGAAGGGTTGGGGGTCCCTCATGCTTCCTTCTGCGCCGTCGCCGCACCTGCTTGGGCGGAGCAGCTGTGGCTGGTGTCATCTCCGGGGGTTTGCTGCACAAACAAATGGAACAAGAAAGAGTTGAAGTTGGTGATGAGGAGCCCGATAGCTGAGCCCCTGTCCTGTTCCAATTCCTTCCGCTCTGGTAGCGTCCGTAGTCTGGCCGCGTGAAAGGCTGAAGCAGATTGATGAAGCTGGCAGCGGCCCGCAGACTGTCTTAGCTGCGATCAATGAAGGTGGACGACAGCTGGAGGATGGGCAGCCTGGATGGGGCCCCATGGGGAAGATGCGAGGTCAAATCAAGGCGAGAGGGTTAGATGCAAATTGTGAGACGGTGCAGTAGAGTATGGGATGGTAGCAGCACTACATGTCTTGCCGAATGTGTTCGTGTGCGGTCTATGCTTCTAGTCCGACGCGGGACATGCCCAGGCAGGTGGTATAGTTGTGTAGTGTCGTTGCTGGGCGCTGCAGGCACGTGTTGGGCGATGGTGAGCAGCACCGGGGATGTATGGGATGTATGGGATGTATGCTCTAACATGCGATGCGGTAGTGACCAAGTCGAGAGGGGAAGTTGGGCAGCAGACGATGCCGTGTGTCGAGGGTGCACTGCTGACATCGAGTTGTGCCATGTTGCACGCCTGGCCAGCCCTGTGTCGCAGCCTTGTGTCGCCAATTATACCTGCAGCCTCCACCCCTAGGCGGTCATCTTTCTGGGGCTGCAGATACGCATATCGCCTTGTCCACATCGTCAGCCCTAGCGGACCCTTGAGCTGACTTGGAGCGGTACCGACCCGCTCCGCTGTTTCCAATGCTTGCCTGGAACAAGATGCTCAACCCGTCCGAGATCGTCGACTATGGTATATGGTATAATATGAATAGAAACTAACGTCCATCCCATGCACGTTTCACGCCGCCAAAGATCGGACCATGCAGCAAGCCATTCAAGCCTACACGGCCGACCGCCCAAACATCAAACATCATACACTTGCCATCATCGTAATCATGCGAAACCCCGCCCTCTCTGCGTCACTTCGCCCAATTCCCTTTCGCAATCACCACAATACTTCTCCACCCATGTCCGCACACCTTGTGCTTCCATCCCTGTCCGTCCCTTCTCTTGCCCGACTTCCGTCGAATTGAGCAATGTCTCCATTCGCCCGCATCTTCCCCTCTCATCCAACAGCCAATTCTCGTACTCGGCTGCTAGTACCTCTCGCTCGACTCGGTTGACAACTCGCAAGGACACGAGGAGATCGTGTCGGTATGCTCCCAAATGCTGCCGTGTGCGGTGGATACGGCTGGACGTCTGCTTGGTTGATCTTGATGATAGCGGCGTCAACGGCGACACTTGCCCGCTATACGGGTTGCTTAGGAGATCTGCGAACGTGTGGAGACTGGAGAGTCACATTAGTATATTTGAATCGAGACTTAAGTCGGGAATGTAGCGGAAGTGCAAAGGAAAGAGCAACGTACCATCTGTTTCCATCGTCCATTCCCAGGCCCTCCGTGAGGTTGAGTCCCAGTACGCTCTCCTCCACATCTCTCAGATACACGGTCCGTGCCATATTCGTGCTCGGTCCAACTCCCAACCGTGCCATGAACTTCTCGGCGTTGCGCTCGTTCCACCACTGGTACGAGTCCCGCGATGAATAGAACAAGTTCGTCGTACCGCTCAGCGCCAATAGTCCGATAAGCAGCGTATGCGTCGTGCATACTTCGAAGAGGCCGTTCAATGCAGCTATCAGCCACCCTAATACCGTATTCATTGCGCTGACAGCGAAAATGGCTGATAGCTTGAATACCACAGAGGCAAGACTGCGTCTCTTCAACTTGAACCGGCGTGGACGTGTTGAAACCGGTAATTCCGATGCAGGTAATTGCGTGGCTTGATTCGCCTGCCCAACTTGACCAAAGATTGAAATCACCTTACCAGTCCGAACATTGCTGCCGAGCTTCTCCACCTGCTCACTTATGACATCCGCGAGGTCCATTGCATCAAGTTCAAGATCGCGAAGACCTTGCTTTTCAATCAAGCTGCGAGTGAATTTCGGTGTCCACGACCAATCGACTTTGGTGTATATGGCCAACTTGCATCGTGATTTCGCTACGTGCGTTATAACGATCCTGCTAACAAGGGTGAAATGGTCCGATAGAGGCAGATGCCAGGGCGTCTTCCTATCCGCGACACAGTAGCAAAGATGGTCATTGTAGACCTCGATGATCTGGTAGTCGTTCACCACCATTGCTTGTGCCGACCCAGACTTATCGCCCAGCGCGACTTCATATTCAAAGTCCCGCCGTTGGAGGCCTGCATCAAGCTGTACCCATGGACTCTGAACGATGCGGTCTGCCCATCGATCCCTATAGAGCATCTGAAATATCGTACTCTTGTCTCCAAAGAGAATGTGGAATAGCGCTTTCGGGCTTATGGGAAGCTCTTTTTCGACTGCGACCTGCGTCATGCCAGCAGGGGCATACAAGACCGGTTGCGAAGGCAGCTTGAACTTAGTAGCGTTCTTACTGACAGGTATGGCACCCGGACCGGAGAACAGGTTACCATCAATTCGCAGACTTGCTTTGACATCTTTGCCACCATAACCATCCATGGGCGTATTGACCGAAACATCCTCCCAGCTCTCTGCGCTTGGGCTGTGAGCGTTATCGTCAACCTCCATCCGAATGAGATGTTTGAGAACATCTTCTAAACTGGTGTCTTGGTGGTTGGCGTTGCGGACGAGATAGTTGAGCCGTCGCTGGAGAAGTCTCAAAGGTTCCAAGAAAGTTTTGATTGTGACCCTCGTCGCCTCATCCGGCCTCGATCGGTCCTTGAAGTGTACGAACAGAAAGTCGCAGTCCTTGCCAGGAGCCGCAGTGACCTCGTCAATGGAGGCAAGCCCAAGCCCAGTGATTAGGACTAGCCCAAGATAATTGCTGTAGAAGTACATATCTCGGGCGGTCACGTAGACTCGCCCGGGAAATTCCTGCTGGTCCGTCGGATTCCAGACAGCTCGAAACACAAGAACCACTTTGTCCTCGCGAAGAACATTAGGAAAGAGCATCCGGAATTGAGCATCCTGAACTCGAAGTGGGATCGGGTAGTAGTTTGGAAAGTCATCTGTGACAATGGACGGCCGCTGCACAATAGAGGGAATAGGCCCACCAAGACTCATCGTTTTTCGATGCGTAGAGGGCGCGGGAGATACGTTCCGCGATCCTGGCGATGATACGTCTGTAGAGCGTTCCGCTGGTAGAAGGGCAGCGGAGCGACCGGCAGGGCTTGGAGGCTGCGACAGGCTTCGCTCGTGAGATGGCTGCACCTCTCCCCTTTCGAGGCGGTTAATGTAACCCCAATTCATGGAACCCCACAAATTTGCCATCAATCCTCCTGGCATTCCTCCATCAGATCTACTAAGCGCAATACCGCGCTCTCCAGTAATAGCGACAGCAGCTTTACTTAAATTCGTCGCCGTAGGGGGGTTTGCGAGAGTGGAGGGAGAGAGACTGCTAGTAGGAATGTTCTGCACAGATGCGAGTCTGGGATCTGGTATTCCTGGTGCTGGTGATGCAATCTGCTGCGCTGCAGGCAGTACATTGTGACTAGCTGACATCAGGCTTGAGGATATCAAGCTTGCTATGCCACCTGAAGCTGGTGTCGGTGCATTTCCAGTAATTTGAGGATTGATGGTAGATTTGCGATGTAGATCCAATTTCTGGATGATTCTTGCAGCGTGATCTCGACTGCTACTTTCACCATCCCTATCAAATCCGGTACCCCGGCGTGACTGAGAAACGTCAAAGCTACCTCGAGTAGCAAGGCCACCCTCCACTCCAGGTATTGGTAGAGTTTCCGATCTTTCCACAGGGCCGAGCTCATCACTAAGTTGAGAAACATGACCATCTGCAGTCCTTGCAGCAAATTCCGGAGCGACAGGTGGACTGATTGAGAATGCAGCATCGAGCCTTTGGGAGCCAGCTGGCGTGTCCGTTCGCGCGGTATCTTCCAAAGCCTTTCGTTTTGCCCCCTCGAACGCTGCAATCCAGTCGATAAGCTCACTCTGGGTCTCGGCTTGGAGCAAAATGTTCGTATCCTTGGTCTTGACTTCGAAGCAGAATCGCCGTTCTTCTTGGAAAGCAGGTCGAATTCCACATAATAACACCCCGATCTTCTCAGACTCTTCCACGGCGCCGGATCTTGAGCCCTGGGTCAACCAGCCAAATATTCCATTTTTAACGAAGAACCATCTTCTGACCCATACAGTCCTCGCCGGTTTTCCTGTGATTGTTCTTTGAAAGAGCCAACTCTGTTTCTCTGCTTTCTCAGGGGTGGGCTTCGCCGGCGATGGCTGATTAGCAGACGATGGGCCTTGTGATCCGAGGTATGGCACCGTTGACGCCGCATAGTAGTCTAGCTCCCTCGAAGGTCTCGCAGCTAGCTCCGCATTTGCCTCAATCTCCTTCCTTGCCATATGCAATTCTCTCTTGAACACTCTTTCGCCGTTCTCCATTTCCCTACTCCACCCCCTCACTCGATCCATTTCCACACTAAATTTCGTAAAGGCGCTCGACGACGATTCCCTCGCGCCTTTCATATCTCGCCACTGATCTGAGGTCACCCGTACCATCAATTTATCCAGTGTACCCCTGACCTGTGGTGACATGACGCAGAAATCCATGCTAGCTTTCAAGTAGGCTCTCCTCGCCTCGTGGAGTTGAAACGCATCCTCGCGCAGTGAACTCGGCTCTTTCGTCTTTGCTTGGCCGCTATACCGCGCAAGCAGCCCATCAAACTGTTTCTGACTCTGGTCGAGTATCTTCCGGCTCTCCTTTAGCATCCTCAGATCGTTCTGTAGGAAACTGCGAATCGGGTCCACAACCACCATTTCGGCGCGCTTCATCCCCCGCAATGTCGCCGTCCAGAACTCCTTCGCGCCCTCCCCGAACCGCTTGAGCGCCAGCGCTGTGTAGTCATGGTCGATGACTGCTTCTGAGACTTGTAGAGGCGGGGCCGACGCCGCGATGTAGTTGTTGACGATGCCCTCGAGAGCTGTGACTTCGGAGGCGAGCCTCGAGACGGACTTGATGTAGTTTTCGAGCCAGCGCTCAATTAGGTCGATTTGTTCGCCAAAATGTACGGCGGTCGCGCGAAAGGTAGGGCTGTCGAGAGCTGCTTCTTTGATCACAACGGGGCTATGCGAATGAAGCAAGTTAGCATCGATTTGAAGGAGCCATCTAGAAGTAGAGAGATACTGACATTAAAGTCAAAGGTTTGCTAATGGGTTGAAGGGCTGTCTGAGATCCCTGGTCTTCTGCCATACTCCGGACTTCTTAACAGTTCCACGGTAGAGGCACGCGGGCAGCGGCTGCTGAGTAGTGCAGGTAAAGCGTTGACGACCTATTGTTTGGGATGCGAGTCCGATAATTTGTACATTGAAGTATTCTATAGTATGTGGTAGAAAAAGCTACATTGATTCGAAGGGACTCGTATGTATTCCCAAGCTCAACTCCAAAGACGTTTGCGGGTGCTGACGTCCAACACGGGCGCGAAATGAGGCAAGCGCGAAGCGGTGGCAGAGAACCAGATCACGTGATTTCTTTCGCCCTTTGAGTATAAACGCCGAGATTCACTCCAACTTTCACTTGTTACTCTTCAAGTCCTCGTTTCGGCACTTATCTTGTAGATTGTCTTCTGGTTGTTTAATACCAATGAGCCTCGCACTGTCAGATGGTGGCGCTGGAGCCTGGAAGCTGGGGTATCAGCTCAACGACCTGAACAATTCCCTCATCCCCGTTTCACATATCAAGTCTATATATATATCATGCTTTTCAAAAGCCATTCTCACCTCTACCTTATCCGGATCACTGGGAATCACCTAGGAAGCACTATACCACTGTGAGAAATAGTGATACCACGCTCAGCTTATGAGTCGAAAAAGCAACTCTACATTCATCTCGATCCATCCCATACCAGGCATGGCTAAAATCAAATCGCTACTTCTCAAATTACGCCCTAAGAGCGAAGCTACTCCTGTAGCCGTTGTGCCCCCATTTTCACACTTCCTACATCTACCAATAGAACTCCGCCTTAAGATCTACGACTTCGTCCTCAACGACCTTATCGTGCAGCCTCAGAGACCACTGAACGCGGGAGATTCAAGGCTCAACGCTCGCCCAGTCATCAGGGTCAATCTCTCAGAGTTTCATATGCCCCGCCACCGGGCCCATGTCCGCGAATGCGTGGAACATATCACTGAACTACGGGCACCAACTCCAAAGCTCACATCGATCTTGCTTCTCAACCACCAAATCCATGACGAAGTAACAGACCAGCTACACTCCACATATCTGTTCGTTTTTCAGTTCCCAGAGCCTCAGCACGTGCGACGATGGATTGAGGGAATCAGTGATCGCGCCCGGAGACAGATACGCCATCTCGAGCTGCAGTTCATCCTGGAATGGGATAGTATGCGGCACCTTCGCTACGAGACAGCATGTCACACCATGCAGCAGCTATTGCCGAACCTGAGAACTGTCCGGAACTCCGTCACTTTGACGGAGCCTCGGAAGTGGAACACGGATGGGACTGCCTTTCTGAACGGGAAAGTCTTTACTGCGAGAGTCGACGAGGAATATGTGGATAGATTGATGCGTATTGCGGCAGCGTTTCAAGACTCGGATGTGTTAGTGGAGCACCCTGTGCGCTCCCAACTCTGTCACAACGTTGACTGTATTCGCCTACGCACTGAGCGGCAGTGGAGAGTCCACTTTCCACTGTGCGTATTGGAGCTCCCATTGGGGAGTAGTCTTCGCGATGAGATCCTTACGTCGTGCAATACTAGGATTCACAACGTGCAGTGGCCTGTAGACTGAAGATTATCATCAACCAAGATATATAACAACATCTAATTTAAAGGGTACAGAACTTTACATCCTGTCTAGAATATTTTGAGTGCGTTGAAGCACTTCATACAGTGGCAAAGGAGTAGCAAATCACATGACAAGGCGCTGTAAAGTGAAGGGTAAATAATTTATTGCTATTATCGACTAAGATGTATAACAACATCCAATTTGAAGGGTGCGAAACTTTACATCCTGCCTACAATAGTTCGAGTATGTTGAAGCACCTCATACAGTCGTAAGAGAGTAGCAAATTACATCCGTCCAATTTGAAGGGTATGGAACTTTACATCCTATTCAGATCATTTCAAGTATGTTGAGGCACCTCATACAGTCGTGAACAAGGAGCAAATCCCATTCGAACTTGGCTCAATGCCCATACTTATCAAACATACCTCTCAGCGCCTTTCTAAAATAGAAGAAGTCGATGTCCGGTGCTGCATATGGGTAGTGTGAGTCAGCACGTCTGCGCAATGATTAAAGAGGTGGTCCTCAACCACGGTTCAGCAGAAATGGAATACGTGGCTAATAAACTATGGTTTGTCGGAATATGGCCGGACTAGATCCCACGGTACCGTAATGGAGGATTATTCGAGCGCAGAACCTAATGCCTTATAAGAACATCTCCATAATAACTTTTTTCTTTCCCTCCATCACTATAAATCCTTGCTACTCTGTTCCCTGGCTTCTTCGAGAAAGTCGCAACAGCTCAACACCTCGTGTCGAACCTCTAAGCGCGACGTTTGAAGCGGACCCCGAGATTATTGAATTTCCTGCGAAGGGACACTTTTTAGTTCAAACGTTTTTGTCGCCAGACGCACCTTCGGGTATTGCGATAGTGAGTGGTGTAATTCCTTGGTATAAGTTTTTAAAGTCTAATTCATTGTGGAGACAAGCGCAATCAACTCATCCTAAATCGACCGAGGCAATCTAGGCGGAGAATTAAAGGATGGAAGTTGATTCCTCGGCATACCCCAGGAGATGAGAGAGAGAATCTATGAGTGGGCGTTGGCCGACGGCAATAATGAGGAGAACTTCGCACACTGCAAACACCGCCTATCGACCCCACTCCGGATTCAGCGAGATACCCTTCGCGGACTGATGCGTACCTGCAAGCGAGTATCGCAAGAAGTCCTAGAAACGCATTATCGCACTAGCCGAATCAGTACATTTGTGAGTATCCGCGATCTCAACCAGATGAGAGAGGGAGATCGGGCTTTCCACAATCTAAGGTTGCGTCTTAATGGAGACCCTCAATACATCAAACAGTTGGATGTCACCGTCGACTGCACAGAACGACCTAATTGGTTGGTTTCCCAACCCAAGAATTTCGAATTCAAGAGATTCTGCAAGTTCTGCGTCTTCCAGGTCTTCCAGAACCGCAAAGGCGAGGAGTTCAACCATGAATTACATCGCGAGTTGGAGGCATGGGTCTGTCGCAATTCTTTAGGGCAACAGGTTCGGGCGTTGTTACCACTGGGTGATGATGACGAATGCGTACCTCGTCGCCCTCCTGCATCGTTAACAAATACAGAGACTATAGTCCGTCTACCCCTCCTAGAAAACGTAACCCTGCGATTCGTTGGAATCGAGCATGATTTGAAAAGTTCAACACTCAACCATGTCGTTACGCAATTTCTGCAAGCTTTCAAAAGCAAGAAAGACTTTGCCCTCAAGTCCGAGTGCTGGGTCGGGCGGTCCCAACGAAATAATATGGATTGGATGAAGTTCGCGATGGGGAAACCTGGGTTTGGCCCCAAACCAGGTCGTGGCCGGCCTCAGCAATGGACTTTCAGAGTGCCGCTGGAGATGGACGAAATCCCACAAGAGATGCTCCGGTCTGGCGCGCCTTGGAGAGATATCGACAACGAGATAAGGAGTAGACTCGAGAATGCGACAGGGCTTCTCAGCAAGGACCACAACGGACTTCTAAATACTTTTTTCATGACCGAGAATCGGCATTCTATCTGTCTCGAGGTCTGGGGGCACCGACGACTTGGTGAGATACGTCCTGGCGAGGTCATGAAATCGCACGAGAAGGCAATTATGAATCTGAATCCTCTTGCGTGCAAAGACGACTACCAGTATCCGACCTGGCAGCCGCCCGACCTAGCCGAATCGAAGGACTCTCCGGCGAAAGATTCATAAATTAGCTGGGCTTTCTTTTTGATACTCCATATTAGATAGAATTCCTTTTACGTACTTTCAAGATCAAATATCGACTGAGTCTGCCGCTCATTCACTTCTGCGCTGTTGCTTCGTCATCAAGACTTTCAATCTCACGAGGCTTCAACAGAGGATAGTGACCGTATCCGTGACATTCAAAGATGTCCCTGCGTATGGGCGTGAGAAGATCGCACTCGTCCAGAAGTTGCCGTTGGGCGTCTCCTCCGCGCCAAGGCCCTTGTGGAAGTTTCTGAGGTTCACCACGAGGTTCTGTCGCACCTCAGACCGCATCTCGACCATCAACGGACTCTGCAGCGTGCTCTCCACTCATCGCCAACCTGCAAACAGGTGGCCGGACGAATTCTCTGACTTGCCGACTACCGCCGGACACAAGCGCCACAGTACTTCGTACAGGCCTCCCTGTCTCCCTGCCAACCTTGTTCAGGGCAGTCGTGCGGATGATATCATGGAATCTTGAATCTGGGCGGCTGGCCTCTGCGGCGCACAGGAAACCCCTTTCTCCCTTCATCAATGCCCGTTACGCTGAAGCGATGGTCATGGCAGTGCAATCTTCCATAACAGGTCAGGCTGTGCCACGTTTCATCCGCATCCTTTGACATTCCGCATGAACGACGAAGAAATCCCCTCGCCGCATGCAATGCCAAACTATTCTTAGTGCTTCCTGTCCACCCCCACAAAGGTCCGGCTGTGTGGCGATGCATTTCTCAGCGACACTAGGTAGACGCGCGTTGAACGGCAGGCTGTGCCACAGACGCCACATGAACAAAGAGCCCAGCTTGGTGAGGGTGGGCATGAATAAGCGACCAGGTAGAGTATCCAATCCGGAAAGGAGCTCGCCTAGTTGCTGGATCTGGGGAGATTGGCAGAACAGCCAGTACGACACCCCAGTCCGCACACAAGCACTTTATTTTCCCGCTCAGGGAACGAAGCTACTCACGCTCTAGCCCGAGCTGTGGCAACAATGGTGGCATCGAATATCATTCGTTTGCAACATGGAGCGGCCAATGACGTTCGCTAGGTAGAGTACTCGACATTTCCTACTAAATGGCGTCAACGAACAGGTGAAAGACATTCCGGAGCAAGCAGATAGCAGTCACTGTCCTCGTTCGAGGACATCCCGTTCATCATCTTTGTTGACTGTATGTGGTAGTACTCTGCATAGAAGCTGCCGTATTGCCAGTGGATGATATGTGGACTTCTCAAGGTACCCTTGTGTTGTAGTGCTGGGTATCGGTAAAGCCTTTCATGTCCTGTATGATCTTAAGAGCAATGTCTAAACTGCATTTAACGACAATCTTATCCCACGGCCTTCAGACTTCCAATGAGCAATTCGACTTGAACAAAGACGAGGGAATTTTGGCAGCCAGATCGACTTCCGGACCCACTTTCAAGGCCTTTTGCAACTTCCCCATGACCATTTGACTATTAAATTGAACGGCGTCGGACGGGCCGAGTGGACGGCCCGTGGTTCTGGTTCGTGATAGAGAGCTTTGTTGATGGTGAATACCTTCCCGTGCTTCCTTCCCTGCTTCCAAGTTAGCGAGCTCAGACCACCTGCAGAGGTACCAGCCTAAGTTCAACGCTAACCTCAGCCACAGCAAGAAAGGACGGCGTGAGGTGGTGAGGACATCAATAAGCGGCCGAACAGAGCATCTAATTCGGAAAGGCCGGCAAATGAAGCTCTCCCAGTGGCTGGAGCTGGTGCAATTTGCGGAACAGCCATGACGACAGGGTCTGGAAGCAGTGCAGTCGGCGGCGATCCCCCAGCTCAAGCTTACGCTTTGGGTCACGGTGCTCCCGTTCCAAGGTTTCACCGCAACAGGGCGCAGAGGTGCGTTGCTGGCCGGTCACATTCAGGAACCGAGCGAATCCGTGAAGCCGTGCCCAACTGGCCTCTTCAAAGCATCCAATGGCTCTGCGGGGACGTGGAGCCGTGCTTCCTTGTGGGCTATGCAGCGTCATGGACATCGCCTCGGCCAAGTCTGTACGTAAGCTCACAACAAGGCAGTGCGCGCGACCAGGGAGACGGAGCTGGCGCCGCAGTGCGCTTGTTTGTTGCTGTGCGCACGGCTCAGTGCTGCTTCATGGCGTGGTTGTGGGGCAGAATTACGTAGGGGCTGGATATAAGATCAGTCCTCCCTTCATTCCTGCCTCTATCAACTACCACGTCCGAACCCACCTTCACCACCACACTTTCACTACATCTCGTAAGTAAAGCCAATCGCTATGTCTGCCTGGCCATCAACTAACTGTCTTGCCCTGCTAGAATTGACACTCCACTTTCACTCCAAACCTCACTACCACCAATCCATCAACATGCGTTTCCAAGTCTTCTTCGTCTCGGCCCTCAGCGCCGCCGTCGCCAGCGCTCAACTCGTGTCGCTCGCCAACTCGATCGCCTCTGATGCCCAGAGCGTCGGCCAGAGCATCGCCTCGGAAGCCCAGAGCGTCGGCCAGAGCGTCGCCTCTTCCATCGGCTCAGACATCAACTCAGTCGCCTCCAGCATCAACTCGGACATCACCAGCATCGACGCCTCCTTGACCAGCGTCGTCGCGTCCATCACCCAGTCCCTGGCCTCGCTCACCACCGGCTCGCTCGCTCAGTCCGCCCTCTCCAAGGAGTCCGGCCTCGTCAGTAGCGCCGAATCTGTCGCTAGCTCCAAGGCCTCCTCCGCCGCGAGCAAGGCCTCATCCGCCCTCTCTTCCGGTCAATCTGCCGCCACTGCGACCTCCACCGGCTTCGCTGCCCCCAACCAAGTCCCCGCCATGGGTGGCCTCGCCGCAGGCATCCTCGCCGTCGCCGGTCTCTTGTAAACACCTCTCACCCAATCTCATACGGAGGAGCTACACCTAAGCGCCACCGTTATCTGACTTCATGGCATATCAGACGCGCCGCTGCATGGGCGTAGCCAGCTCGAGGCATCACACATATCTGCGGTGTTTTTTGGCGGCGGGAGGATGCATGTGGTAATCGGACTCTTTCGGGATTTCTCAAATCAAAAAAGGTTCACACTTTCATCATGGCTGTATTGTCTTTAGCAGGAATTTAAAAAAAAAATTCTAGCCACGGGCTATCACATGGAAATATCGCGCGCCTTGCCGCATGCAATTGTGATGGTGCTGTCTGACGTGTGAACTGGTGATCGCAAATGATGTAATTTCGCCGACGCGCAGGGATCGCGAGGATCATGGCTGACAACCGAAATCTCGTGATCGTGAGACTACATAATACGCGTGGGTGATGTGTGAGCGGCTCAACGAGGCATCCATTGCGCAGTGTCAGCATAGCATGAAACAGGTAGTATGATATCTGCCTCGGAAGGCCCATTTCCGGGCCCAGTTCCAGGGCCCCAATTCTCGAGCAAACTTACCCTCGATGGAAAACAGCTCAAGGCTGATCTGCGCCACTTCATCATCCATGCAAGGGTAGAGCCACGAGTGGCTGATAGGTTCCAACGTCGGTCCCAGAGGCTGTATCATTGCCAAACAATTGAAGGCGTGCCGTACTGTTCTTACGAAGGCTAAACGGATTCCTGATAGAAGAGTAATAATGCAAGCCTATTACCCCTAGAAAACTCACACCATACACCCACTAAAGGGATGCCCTCCCTCTGTTAGTGAGTGCATTGAACCGACGGATTTCTCCCTGGGGGGTTACATAAGGATCCCCAGACTATCTGCATGATATCCTGTCAGCTAGAGGGGTCCATGCTGCCACGATACTTGTGTTCTCCACCTGCTTGTATGAAGCTTCGTTGCTTGCTCAGCCTAGAGGATCAGCCCGGAAGAGCCCATAGGACTAGGCGGGGCTTGCATAGAGCCTTATCACAGGACTATAACTCTACCAGGTTGCAAGATTATGCTTAGTTACTTAAACGAAGCATATGAGCGAACATGTCGGCTGTCGACGAGACAATGATTGGGTATATACCATGATGACATGTCCAGGTTTCAAGAAACGAGCCACTTGGTGCGTATTTTGTCGCAATTTGGAAACCCTTTGCGTTGGACACTCTAGTTGAGTTGGCTGCATCAGCGTTGGAAACGCGGCGGAAAACAGAAGAAAAGAAGGACCGGGGAGACTACGTGAGAGCCAAAATTCGGCCTGTCGACTAGGCAACAAGATGACGAATGGCTCGCCCGCCGGATCACTCGAAGAGGCGAGAGCGCATCTCTACCCGAGCTAGCGCCAGTGCCCACAGTCAATTAATCACACCTGGCCGCTCAACCTCTCAAGTTGAGCTTTTCAATCCTATCCAGACCTAGCATGGCTGGTCAGAAGACTGAGATTGCGTCTACAACTTCTTGTTGACAATCGAGCAGCACCCCGAAGGCCGATATATTAGCTGAGAATGTCCCATCAACATCAGCTCCCAATATAACCGTTTGCGCTCTGGCTAAGTCGGCGAAACCGAAGGTAAATAAGGGGAGAAAGGGGGCTGACAACAATATGGGAGTAGAAATGTCGGCTGTCGACTGGGCAAGGGCAACGGGCAATGGGAAATGGGGATCGGAAATGGACCCTCTTTGTGAATATGAATGTTGTCCTTGCTGGTGAAAAAGCATCTCCCGATGACGGGTCATGCAAACATGGAAAACAGGCGCGTACTAACCCACTTAACCACCTCCTCTGCGCTCCATTCATTACTCGCGACATCACCCTATTTACACGCTGCAGGGTTAACAGCGTTGGCAGCATCGGCGCTCATCCTTACTAATTGCTCGGTTAACAGATCAAAGACAGTTACTTCGAATTCACACTTCCGTGCTCTGTTGCATCTATAATAGTTCATTCCGTGTACTTGATAACTATCATAAAGAGAAACTTTGAACTGAAAGACCCGAAAACACTCGTACCAATATTGCAGTGTTCTAAAAACTTGATAGCTTGTGCCTCAAAAATAAGCGTTTTGTAGCAATGATGTGCACCAGAAGCTCTCTGTACTGCCGCCATTATGGTGCTACCGGACTCTAGGGAGTTTGACATGTCCCGCTGACTTCAGTCGGGCAGGGTGCATTCTGCAATGCTTCCATGATCACACCATACAGTCTACCATCTCGCAATGCGAGATAAATGTCGCTAGCGTAGGTTCCGATGATCTTCCTCGACCCAGTGCAATTTCCACAAGTTCTACCACCTCCCGAACACTTCGGTGACGGATGGTCAGCCAGTCCCCTATGTATTGGCACTCTAAGCTCGTTTCTAACAAAGCTGTACACAAGCTCGGAAGATTGGCTTATGAATGTGCCTGTCGATTGATGTGACAGAAATTCCCCTCGAACAGATTCATACACTTTGATCAAAGTGTCCGCAGCTCGTTCCTGATATTCTTCGACCGTCCGGAGCGATGGTGGTTCTGTTCCGAGAGACAATGGCTCAGCAAAGGACGACAGCAGCCCGACTACCGACCCCACTGATTCTGTTACTGAAACTTTTGCACGATCTTTAAGATCGAGGTGAGCCAGAGCACTCCACTTCTCCAGGAGGGCTTTCCAGCCAGATATGGAGAACGACTCCTGCTGGCCTTCTGGAATTACCGGGCCGTAGACATCCTTCAATATCTCACAGATGGCGGGTTTCACTGCTTTTACAAACTCTAGGTGGAGGGAACGGAGGTCGAGTGCTTGACAAAGGGCATATAAATATGTTGCTCCCATCAAGGATACTACCTCTACTGCTTCGAGCGTGTATCGAGCAGCAATGAGCGCCAATGAGTTGACAGACTGGTTGTGCATTTCGGCAGACTGCACATGTGAACTGATGGGATGTGCAAGATAGGCCAGCTCAGACATGTATGCGGCCATGTTGACGTCAAAGCCTTTGAAGGTGAAGGACAGGCTTGGATCGTCTACACTGAGATTCGGAGGGAGTCCCTTGTTCGTCATGTTGTTGACGAGCTCAGAGCTTTGGGCGTACAAAAGCTTTCCGAACATTTGCATTGCATTCATCGTCTTTTCCATGGCCGATGTGATTGATGTCGCCTGGAAATTGCCCCCGTGATGGATGCTATTATTCTCCACGTTGATCAAAGGATTGTCGGTTGTAGCATTCATCTCGGTCTGAATTTGGCTGGAAGCCAGCATGAGGTCCTCGAGGTATGGGCCAATCCATTGAGGCGCTGTACGAAGAGCGTATCGATCTTGAGCGAGGCCAACTGTGCGCGCATCGTCGATGGTAGCAAGCTTTGAGCCCGAAAGCAGTGCTCTTATTATTGCTGCCGCCTCTTTTTGCCCCGGATGAGGCCGACATTCTGATATAAACGGATGATAGTTGTCTGCGGTTCCGAGCAGTGCCTCGGTTCCCATAGCAGTTAAGACCTGGACCAATAGTGCGATGTACTGCGCTTCGTGAATGGCAACACAAGCAGCTGCACAGCTTGTCGCTGTTCCATTCATGATTCCGAGACCTTCCTTAGCCTGAAGATGGGTCGGCCGAAGCCCAGCATACTCCAGAGCCTTGTCTGCTGGCATGCACATTAAATGCGCCTTTCCAGGGTGGCCGATTCGAATGAAAATATCTGGGTTCCCCTCGAGCGCCCCTGCAATATACGAAAGTGGAGAGAGATCTCCCGACGCTGAGATGCTTCCCCGTAGTGGGACAACTGGTGTCATTCCTCTTTCTAGCAGAGCCATGATAGCATCGACGGTTGACATGCGGACACCGGAATGACCTCTCATGAGGGAGTTACAGCGTATGAGCATCATCGCTCGCACGACCGGGACAGGTAGAGCATGGCTTCTGAGCCCATCTGCTGCCGGACCGGCAGTACTCATATTGGATATTTTCTTATCCGTTGGAAGCAAAATCCCAACATTGAGATGCTGTTGTAACGCGATTTGAAGCGTCTCGAAATCCGAAGTGCGCGTATCGGCACTTCCGCCGAAGCCGGTGTTGACGCCGTAGATGATTTGGCCACGCTGCAAATGCCGATCGAGGTATTCTACGCTCTCCTGCATCTTCTTGATAATCGTTTCATTCATGGTCAAGGTAGCAGACGCGCCGTACCTCGGAAAGTTGTCAACAAGCATCTGATACGCTCAAAAGGCTGCTACTTACATGCATACAGCAACAACATCAGAGAGTGTCAAAGTGTGTCCGTCGATGTCGATTGCCTCACGCGAGGTCAACACCTTCTGCAGAGACATCCATGTGGCGGTCACCATGTCTGCATAAGGGTGATTCATGGCACCTGTTACCTGCGCAGCCGCCATGTCTGGCGTTGGGATGGCTAAGAATGGCATTCTCGATGCTGAACTGAAATGGAAGCCAAGTCAGATCAAGCCAGCGGAGAATCTGCTTTCGGACCCCATTTTTGGTCCGTTAAAAGATCCTTCGGTTTCCGAAATTTGGTGGATCCTGGATATTGATGTGGCGTGGTACATGGATCAATATTCCGAGCTTTCAGCTTCATCCTGCAGGGTGTAAAGCATTGGGGGGGAGTTCCGTGGCATGATAATCCTGTACGCCCTCGCACTGCCCGCAGCAAGTCAACTCCGAATCGCGCCAAGCTTAGCCCCATGACTAATGCTATTCATAAGGTCTATCCGTTGAATGGAATACTGAGTTGATGGATTAATCGAGGAGGTGGGCTTGGGATTATCTATATATCTGTTCCATCGACACACTAGGCCTGATTCTCTTAATTTGGAACTCTACTTCCAACATAGCATTGTCATCCCAACCCCTGCATGCGTGCCCATGGATACTCAGGTTGAACCAAAGAGCACTCAGCATGTCAAAGATCTCTACCCAAAATTAAAGAGTCAATCACACACTCCAGCCAACTTCGAGAATGGTGTTTGGTTGTTTCCCATGCTGCGCAACCCCTTGCAGCCTGAATCGTACATCTGCCATTGCTAAAAGTTTTCCCCACTCACGGATTGTGCGCTCCCTGGATCCAAAGTATGTCAACATAGTGATATCCATGTTCCTACATCGTGTTAGTGGCAGTGGCGCAGTACATCGATCGTAAAGTGGTTGTTTACCGTCGTCTCCTCTCTTCGTACGGTGACACCGTGAGTGGCTCATGAAGAGCAAAGTCATCGATGACCAAGATCGTGTGCCCCTCCATGATTCCAACGTGGTTCTTCAAGATCTGAACACAAGTGTCATCAGGCCAGTTGTGGAAGACGTTACGAAAATAGTAGACCCTCGCACCCGAAACGGGTTGCGGCTGAAAGAAGTTGTAAGCCTGATACATGATACGGCTTTGCAGATCCTCGGGCACCTTGGCGTCGTGTATAACATCTGGTGCGTCTTGAACCAAAAATGTAGCGTTTGGGAGTCTCCGCGCAAGTCCAAGGCTGATGGTTCCGTTCCCGCCCCCAACGTCCACCACCGTGGCAGTTTCATTGGACCGAAGCGGGAAGTTCTCCAAAATGTAATCGAAGTCGATCTTTTGAGCCATGGCACTCATGGCCAAAGTCCAGCGCGCTTGTCGCGCGGGAAAGTGCTTTAGCTCTTCGTAGAGCCCGCGTTTGGTCTGGTTGGCAAGGGAGAAACCCTACGCAACAAATCCATTAGCTCTACTTGCAAAGTGGCATCGTTCAGAAAGTAACACGCACAGATTCTGCGGGAGATTGCGGTTGGCCGTACATCATCAAAGCATCGACAACCTGGACCGAGGAAGACATAGCATCAGCTTTGCGCATGCAAGTGTCTTATGATGAGAATACTTACTCGTGCAGATGCTGGAAATCGCTCATCACATATGATTCCAGACAAGTCACGAACTCGGCTATCTTCCACTAAGAGCCAGGAAGCAGCGGTATGTGCGACATGATCTGGACGTGGTTCGCAAAAGACTCGCCGTGTCATGACTAGCCGCAGAATTCTCCTTAGGTCTACGAGATTCAGTCCAGATCTTTTGGATAGCTCCTCGAATGGAATAGTTTCGTGAGAGTCGATGTATGCAGCAATCTGGTAACGATGTACCGCTTGCATGCAGAGGACATCGTTTGCCTATTTCATGCTTAGCGAAGACCTAGTTCGCGTGATTGTTGGATTGAAAACACCCACATGAATTGTCTCCAGGAGCTCAGCTGGTCCAAGGGCTAGATCCCTCAGCATTTCAGTCGCGACGATGAGTTCCTGTCTTGCCTCTCGAATATCCTCAGAGCTCGCATCTAGATAACTGCCGACGGCAAAGGAAGGCGAGCAGAGCCCTTGCACAGCCTGATGATCATTCAAAAGGAGAGCAGTTGTCTTGATCCTCTCCAGCAGCTCCAACATTGAAGGCGTGTCATCGTCCTGGGGCGGCTGAGGCCCAGACGCCGTTAAGCCAAGGTGTTCAGTAGCAGCAGGCGGCATTGAGAACGGTTGGAGAATGGGATTGGTGCTGTTTTTGAAGAGTTATAAAGGCGTCTTGACGCTCGAGGTATCAAGGAGTGAGCGATGCAGACTCTCCAAATAACAACGTTTTGGAAAGAGCGATCCCGGTCCAGGATGCTCTAGACGAGTGGGAACAATAGCTGTGAGCCATCGCGCTACAGTGCCGTAGTATTACCAAAGCGCTGGAATGGGTGCATGTGCACATAGCTCCCCAGACCGTTCTCCGTTCCTCGCCGAGCGAGCCTGAAATGGTAGTGATAAATTGAGAGCTCACTTTCTCGGTGTCCGTAAGCTCAACAGCCTCGATCCTCCACCTGTTATGTTACATTTTACATGCACATTTCGGGGAGCACAGCACAAACATTTCGTAACGCCCGACACCCACCGAGAACTGCCGATAACTTTTGGTGAAGCGAGACACTATCCTTGGCGTAGCTTTACTCCTGCCTGTCAATTTCCTTATCAAGTCTCAGTTATCAAGTCTCAGTTATCAAGTCTCAGTGATAGATGATTCTTGGTGGTCGGACGTTGTAATAACGTAGTATTGAAACTTTTATGATGTGAGCGCCCTTTATGCCAGCGCCCGTCTTCGCCACCATTATCGAGCGTTACAGTGGAAAGAAGTAGCACATTCTGAGGGGGGGTAGAAGTGATGAATTGCATGTATGAAGAAGCTCCATGAGCGACTTGACTATAGACCTGAATGTCCGAAGCTAGTCCCCATTACACGGGACAATAATCACTGTGTCCTATGTCTCTTTCGGCCGCAAGGTCATATGCAGGCCTTTTTGCTTCACAAACCACCTACAGCATATCAGTCTCGCGCGTCATGGATGCCATAAAGGCAGGAGTCGTACCAGCAATTCTCCTTGAGAGGCGTTTGACCATCGGCAAGCTGTATATCAAAGCGTAACAATAGTGACGGAACAAGCTATTGGATCAGCATGATAGATACAAAATACAGAATGAATAGGAAAGAGTCTCACCTTTGATATCTCTATCCAGCCGAGGTCTAGTGCAACGTTAGTCTGCTGTAGCGAAAAGGGGCGTAATCGTTGAGCGCATACTCCTACCAATGCAGACCCGCGATCCGGCGCCAAATGCAAAGAAGAAGCGTTCTACCGTCTTAGCTGGAGTTTAGCAAGGAGGCCACTCGGGCGAAGGAATTACCTAAGGCGCCTCGATCCTCTCCCAGCCATCGTTCTGGGCGGAAGACATCGGCGTCGTTCCCGAAGATGTTTTTATTTCTGTGTAGCACCCAAGGATTCGTGCCCACAACGGTCTAAACCTTTGGTTAATACGGACTGGATTCGGGAGCTAGTGATATCACTTACCCCAGCAGGGATATACTTTCCACTTGTTTCCATACCTCCTGGTGGGACGACCCTTGGGAGAGACATACCTACAGCTGGGTGTAGGCGAAGAGCTTCGTGGATGCACGCTTGCAAGTACGGCATCTTTTCAGTCGCAGCAAGTGAGACAACATGGTCGACACGGCTCATTTGCACGATGGGGTCAATCTCCGCCATCAGCTTCGCTTTGCAATCTGGGTATTTGCAGAGGTTGTAAAGCACAGCTCCGATGGATATTGCGGTCGTGTCGCTTCCTGCAAATATATTACTGGTAGCCATGGAGAGCACAGCCATATCATTCATCTCTTGCGGCTTCTCGCGGTGCACGTCCATGAGCATTTGTAGGATGTCGTGATGATCGCTTCCCCGTTCCTTGCGCTTCTCGATTTCATCTGCAGCAATTTTTCGAAGACTCCCGTGGCGAGCACCAATGCCGAGCCAGTTTCCAATGAGAGGAGATAGGGAGTCGTGAAGCCCAAACAGCCAGGGAACCTGACCGATCCAAGCAGCGGACTTTAGAGCAATGTCGATTTGGCCAAAGGAGCCGTCGTCTTTTCCAACATCCAGAAAGCCGAAACGCCTCGAGAATGTGACTTCTCCAACGACATCTACGACAAGTGAGTTTTAAGATCCGTCCAGACGCAGAAATTCAACGAGGAAGCAGCTGACCGAATGCAAAGAGTTGCGCCCAGAGTCCCATATTGACGGGCTCTGATCCCAAAGCAGATAACCTTGAAAACAGCACCTTGAGCACCTCGTCCACGTACGGCTCAAGCTTCTTGAGAGTATCCATTGAGTAGATATTGCTCATCAATCGTCGCTGGGCACGATGGATAGACTCATCGCGCTCCGCGAAGAGGTCGAATTTTCGCTGACCTTGCCAGACGCTATACCAATCGCTTTTCCGGAACTTGGAGCCTGCGCCTATGCCAGCATCAGCCCAAACTTCAGCCAATCCCACTCGGTACCATGCAAATTATACGAACCGTAGATGAGCTTCACAGCCCCGGAATCGGAAATACTCAGTTCTTTCGGCCCAGTGCGAACGACGGGTCCATATCGCTCGTGGAGGTCAATCATTGTTCGGTGCATGTCGCCATTCTGTGAGTGATATATCATCCAAAGAGGAGACCAACGGGCAAGAAAAGGACCTGGGAAATCCCGCAACGGATCCGCGCGCAACACGAGGAAGGCGACAGCGATGCACCCGCTAGCCACAAGATATGGCAAAGCGCTCTCCATCATGTCGCCGTTGCCGGGACTGGTTGATGGAAGGCAGCTGAAGGACGGGAGTATATGTACGCAGTGGGTTCACCACGGACGCCAGACACACTAAAAGGTGATCGGTCTGTAGGCTTCGCTGTGGCGCTCTTATGCAAGAGGAAGAGTGCGGTGGCATTGTAGAGAGGCTTGTGTTGTGGTGTCAAGCAGGTCGCTCGGAGGAGGCGAGTGGCGGCAGGGCGGGGATCATGGATGAAGATGCTTTGCGCACGGGCCCCCACGCCGACACCGTGTTGGTACTTGTACAGTACAAGGGGGTAACCTGAGCGGGCTGCTCGCTCTCCCTGTAAGTTTCAGGGGCATTATAGTAATATCCTAGGAAAATAGTGCTGGTACGACCATAATGCCCCCAAAACTGACAGGGAGGGCGAGCAGCCCGCTCAGGTTACCCCCTTGTATCCCCCCCTGTACGGGCTGCGCAGGTCAGTGCTGGACAAGGGTTTTTACAGTGTAATTGACCCTTGCCCAGCACTGACCTGCGCAGCCCGTACAGGGGGGGATACTGTACCTTGCACACGGCAGCCTGAGTGCAACCCCGCGGCCACAACGTGAAAGTGCCACGGCCGGAACGCGTACGCTTTGCTGCCGCCCATTCCACATGTAAATGTCGCACGGCCGTCGGAAGAATAGTCTGCCCGAGCTCGCCTCTACGGTGTCGTCACCTGGTCCTGGGCATGCGGGGGCAGCAGGGTCGGCGGGTGTGCGGGTGATCAGCGGGCCCGTGTGCGCAATCCCGCCGCTTGCCTCTTCCTACAATAGCTACCCTGCAACACTGCATCTGAGCGCCCCCAACGGCTCGCACTTCCGGCCTCTCTCTCCGCTTGAACTTGCAATCAGCCTTTCTCGAGGCTTCTCGCCATGTCTCCCTCGGCCTTTACAATCAAAGAGCATGTGATACCCTGCCAGCACATTCGAGAATACCACGGCGCTGTCAAGGGGAACGCTGCCTTGCAGCTGGCGATCAAGCAATACACGCCCCACGATCATGGCAAGACGTCTCCGAATGCCGTCACAATTATTGCAGCTCATGCAAATGGTGTGCCCAAGGTGCGCTCCCCTCAGGCGTTGCCCTCGTGCGTAGCTGATCTCCGTAGGAATGTTACGAGCCTCTCTGGGAGGATCTGCTCGAGACTCTGAACATACCCATCAAGTCAATTTGGATCGCCGACTGCTCACATCAAGGTGCCAGCGGGGTCCTGAATGAGAGTGTTCAAGGCGATGAACGTATGTCTACCCGCGCTTCTTACATTTCGCCAGACTAACCCTGTCATGCTCAGCCAACTGGTTCGATCATTCGCGAGACCTTCTGCACATGGTCAACCACTTCCGAGACCAAATCATGCAGCCAATCATTGGAGTAGCTCACAGCTTCAGCTGCTCGCAACTGTGCGTGCCCCCTTTCCCGAACAACGTATCGCTACTTGGCATTGACAATGGGCAGCGTCCACCTCTCACTAATGCACCCAAGTCTCTTTCATTCACTGGTATTTATGGAGCCCATGATTCAGAAGGAGAACCCGAGTCGGCTGCAAAGCGCCCCTCAAGCGCGATTCAGCAGCCTTCGTCCAGACATCTGGCCATCTCGTGTGGAGGCAGAAGCGTTTCTACGGAGCTCTCCTCTTTTCAGAAAGTGGGACGCTCGAGCTGTAGACAACTTTCTCGAATTCGGCTTGCGTCCGGCCCCTACCGAACTCTATCCCCAAGCCTCCCCTCCTGGAGCAGTGACTCTCACAACGACAAAAGCGCAGGAAGCGTGGACCTTTCTACGCCTCTACGCCTTTCCGAGTTCCACTGACCCGTGTGATCCCGTTGAGACCGTCGTGGGAAAGGATCTGGCTCGCGAGGCTCGGGAAGAAGACATGAACAACCGAAGCTACGTCACCAACTGTCCTTGGCCTTGCCTTGCGTATGAGTTTCTCCCATATCTCCGACCATCGACTCTCTTTCTCTTCGGCGAGAGCAGCCACATCAACCGACCCGCCCGACGCGAAGACAAGCTTCAGCAAACCGGAACTGGCTTAGGGGGGAACGGAGGTGTTGCAACGGGTCGCGTAAAAGCTCACGTTATCCAAGGTACCGCACATATGCTTCCATTGGAAAAGACGAGCGAGACTGCTGCACACATATCACATTGGCTTGAGAAAGAAGTGAGACGGTTCGGTTTTGAGGAGGAATTCAGCAAATCCTATAATAGTCAGAAGTCGGAATGCGACGGGAAAGCCCTATCAGCGACATGGATGGAGTACATGGAATTGCCATCTGGAACCAAACGGACGCTGAAGTCCAGTCTCTAGACTTATCCTGGAAATTGAATTTTCTCTCTTCCAACAACCGAGGTGCTCTTCACATGCGTCGCTGAATTGCTAATTATAATGGTTGGTCGCTGAGTCCTCATACGCCGAGAAGGAATGTTGTCCTGTTACATAGCATTTATTCCACAAACAGGCAGCAAAGCAGCTAAGCATGGATTAAATGATTTCCCGAATAAAGGCACGCCCCGTTCCACAGCACTCATTTTATGGTATGGCAGACAGATCCCCAGCCAGCAAAGCAAACCAGCATGGATCAAATGACCTTCCCAAAAAAGAAAAAGGCATGTACTGCTAGGAGGATCCAACGCCCGACTGCCGTAACTGGCGCCGTTCTAGAGAAATATTGTGTGCCTTGCATGAAACTTGCACTGTGACTAGTAATCCGTCCAACGCTCAATCCGTCAATCGGCCGGCGGGTCAATCCACTCCTTTTCAAACCCAATCTAATCAATCCGGGGCTTGATCAATCCTCAATCGATTTCTCGCGTGGAATAAGCCATATTTGGGCTCATGCCACGTCTGAATTCCACTTGTATGCTCATTTCTATAGGCCAGTGCTACGTGTACAACCCCTTTTTGCTGCTTGCACGATGTCCTTTTGCTGCATGCACGAAACCCCCCCCCCCCCCCCTAGCTAGATTCCTATATAGAATCGACATCTATTTTCCTCCAAATTCTTACCTGACGTGATCGGAAATATCACAAGCCCGCAGCCTCGTGAGGTAACTCGTGAGGTGGTTTATGAGGAATTTGATGAGTATGCAGAGGAGCTTGTAGATGATGACTTTACGTAGGTGCGAAATTGATGGTTTAGGCATCCTCCTAGGCACGTATGCATGTAGGCACGTAGCTATACAAAATGGGAAGGCTATACGTGAAGCTATACGAATTGGAAAGGATGCACGTGCAAATACACGTGAGAGTGAATGCCCGGAGGAACCTCCGAGCCCTCCGAGCCAATTAGAACGCAGTGAAGGGGTTGGGGGGCGCGGTTGTCGTGCATGCAGCGAAAGGACACTTGTGCAAGCAGCAAAAAGAAGTTGTATATGTAGCACTGGCCTTTTTATACCCGTTGTGATGGTCTTGTCAGTAAATATATCGGATTAAACTGGATTGACAACAACAATTTAATCCGTAATCCGTCTAATCAATCCTTGCTGTATCCTTGCTGTAACCCAATTAATACAAGACGCTTGAACTCCGGCCGGAGAGTACTAGCCATGCTGGAAGCCCGTGTGCGGCCAACCTAACGCTGGCCCTGAGTTGAATGCAGGAGAGTGCTAATAAGACGCTGTTCCCATTCACCATAGTGTCCCTCATTCTCAACTCAGAGGCTTCGTACCGCACCAAGCCAAGAACAATGTCTCACTCTTTGTCTTCGGATCCCAATACCTACCCTCCAGGCTATCTCGAAGAGTATTCAGGCCAGGGGCTCATCGCTGCATCCGTGGCTTTTATCGTCCTTGAAGTGCTCGTTGCGGGCTTGCGACTCTACGCCCGCCGTATGAAGGAACCTGGTAGAGGATTAGACGACTGGTTCATCTGGCCTGCCTTGTTCGTGAACGTGGCAACATGCATTGAAGGAGTCGGTAAGAATGCCAAAGAAACTTGGTAAAGCTTGTGAAAAAGCTTGAGCTAACGACGCCTGCCAGTTCTCATTCCGTTGGCAGGCGTAGGGCGCCACTTGGCGGCTAATTATATCTACCATCCTGAGAAGCTCGAAGCGTGGAGAAAAGGAATCTTCGCTTGTGTATGGCTTTGGGCTCTCGCAGTCTGCCTACCGAAACTATCCATCTTGGGCTTCTATCTCCGCTTCTTCCAGCGGCGAGTCGAGCGTATGGTGACGTACTCGCTTATGTTTATTGTCGGAGCGACCTTCATTGCCACTGGAGTGGCTACTACGTTCCAGTGCTCGCCGGTGGCTTTTCAGTGGGACAAGACCATCCCAAACGGCAGATGCTTCAACGTCCTCGCTTTCTATCGTTGGATGTCATTTCCCAACATCTTGACGGATGCCGTCATCCTTGTTCTCCCGCTACCCATGATATGGCGTCTTCACACGTCGACGAATACCAAGATCGGAATTATGATGATGTTCATGACTGGAAGCGTGTAAGATATACTATTTACCCCTCAGTCACTTCGCAGCTCGCTCACTTCTCTGCAGTGGTCTTATTTCATCCTGCCTGCGTTTCGTCATCTTTTTCCGCCACAATGCTTTCCAAGACAACACATGGACATCGGTTTCGCTGTTGACGTGGACGGACATTGAGCCAGGCATCTACTTCATCGCCGCCTGTATGCCGTCGCTGCGTCCAGTTTTTCTCCGTATCCGTCATTTCCTAGTGTTCCCGAGGAAATCAAAGACAATCACCAGCGACCCGGCCGTCGACGGTAGTCGAACGTTGAATATGGAGCTAGCCACCATGTCCTTCTCAAAGGGAAACAAGCGTTCAGGCTTCGAGCGACTGGTCACCGCGGAAGCATCATCCGAAGAAGGAAGAGAGCACGGACAATTCAAAGGTCGAGGGACCATCCCGAGCGGGAACATTGGTGTTACTAAGAATATAACAATCGAGCATGATATAGCGTAGGATGACAAGACGCTGCATCAGTAACGTCACAAGCGCCTCCCTTGCATCTATCTCGAATAGTCTCCAGTCTTGAGCAGCTATAGATAGAAAGTAGCTACAATGTCTCCACTTTGTATAGGTCGCGGATTCGAGGTTAGTGCTATTATTTGGGTCGCCGTTTGGGGCATTAGGAAGATGACGGTTGGATTTCTCACCTTTGGCATCCAGTCGCTAGTTACAAAGGTAGGTCAGCTGCGCTTAGAGCAGAAAATCAATTCCCTGTCTTTAACGGCCTCATGGGGCCCCCCCTCAGGCTTGAATTTTTCCTTTCTCTGGCGTCGCTATTATTCGTAGGGTTCCCTCGGAAGCGCATGAATGATTGTCATCTGTTTTATCCCCTTCCACAATGCCGGTTCAATTAACGTGTTCTGCGACACGAAGCCGTTCTTAGAAAGCAAGAGCTGAGAAGTAGTGTTCAAAGGGTTTTATATGCCAACTTTTGGGCCATTATTCAACCAGCGGAAAGAAGGTAAAGCGCATTTGCTTGTTCGCTATCGTTACTACCATACGCCTACCTTTGCAAAGCTTATTAAGGCCTCTTTATTGATTACCGTCTTTGTGACCGGAGAATAATATCTCTGAAAGTGTGAATTCAAATGCTTCTGGGGGTCTAGGTTCCATGGGTGATAGGTCCACGTTGTTGAAATGTAGGCTCTGAGCAGTAAGGGCCCAACATTGAGTGACTGATTTTGTTGATTGATTGATGCACCAACTTGCGAGACGGCGCAGCTATATACCTGACCGGCATTCTGTCATGTGATCTGATTGCCAAGTTGTGAAGGCGGTAGGGAGAGGACGGTGCGGGGATGAGATGAGGGTTACACAGTACATAGTTTTGTCGTGGGGAGATAAGTCTTGTGGTTTTTTGTTTCATCTGATTTTGCGCACGATGGTTAGTACATTTTGAAGGGATGAAGATAGTTTTCAAAATGCAATGGTGGTTCTTAGATCAGTCGTCTAATATACTAACGTACTCCACAAGCGAGTCAGCCACACAAGCGAGTCGGCCACCCCATCATATTTAGCCCGGGCCTGAGCCGAACTCAGCCACAGCGGTGCTGGGTCACGTGCGCAGAGGGGTCGGGTAGGGTGCACATTGGGGTGTTGAAACACGGAGGTCAGCACAGCCCATCGCGGCGATGCTGTGAGGTTAGAGGCCCTGGTCGCTGGGTTGCGCCTCACCCGTGGTTCAGGTGCAGATCCCCCGGGTTTTGGGGCTAAATTTGGAGTCGCGCGCGATAAGAACTGCGGGTCGCGCTGCAGAGCCGCATGCGAGTGGAGTCGGTTGGTAACGCGTCGCTTGGGATGGTTTTTGGGGTTTGGAGAGGTGTCGCTGTTTAGAATTGTCCAAACGGCGGTTTTGTTGACTGGTAAGTGCGATAACGACGTTTTTAGGACTCTTAAGTCGCAATCAGCCTGGCCTTCTTAAGAGCACCGCTAACGCCTGTAGGACAAAGAAGGCAATGTGAAGTTAACCACGATCAAGGACAAACTTGGTAAAAACGTGCGCAAGCCCGCGCTTGTGTGTGCAGCAACGAATTGAGAAGGCCTCCTTGGGTGTACAAAAGTCGAACAGATTCAGTGAGAGAGGTAATTCCATGACATATTACACAGTAGACATAATCTCGTCGCACCACACCTGCCCCTTTCATTATCTTGACCAAGACAGCTAACATCTTAGAACCGACAGCTCTGGATATACGCTCTACGGAGAGCTCCAATAGGACAGTTAAGGAAGAGCACAATACTGACACTGAACGATAGCCGAGTGTATCCACAAGCCGAACATTACAATCCTACCTCTCAGGTTGTGAAGAAGCAGTTCTGTGTTGATTTGAAGAGGCATAAGGCCCGTATATATAGCCTATGAAAGGGGGGGGGGGG